CCTATAAAGAGCTCGAAACGTTGATTTGTTTGAAAAACGCGATAGAGATCCGAAATTCCTAATCCTATTTTCTATTTGCAATAAAACGTTGTTAGGAGAAATCATTTTATATTACCAGGACAATAAAAACTTTGTTATTGGACCTAAAACACTTCTGTCGGCTCTCAGCCAATAAAGTTTTTTTTCTAAGTGCATTATCGCAGTTCTTTAATCGTTTTAAATTGTGTCGAGCCCTGAAATTGACTACTTTTACAATGTAGCAGGTGGACACGCTTAAATTAGAGCTTTGGGACCCTGTTGGGCGCAGCAAAAATACAAAGAGGGGGCAACATTTAACAAATAAATATGCAATAAAGTATTGAGTACAGAGCACTGCCATTGCGCCGGTCAACCTGAAACATAAGTTGAGGAGTACCATACCTGTAATATCACAAGCACGCTTAGGCTGGTTTCAGAGCAGTGCGGGTTTATCTGCGGACCGTAGTGCTCCGAGCGGAACACGCTTCGCGTGGACTCAGCACGCACGGGTGTGCGTTCATTGTAGGCAATCCCCCGTGAATATCCGCACTAAATTAAATGCTCGATTCAGAACAGTGCGGGTTCTACGCATGCGGATGGCTCGAAATCAGCCTAACCCTTCAAAACCGGGACGCAGTAACGTTATAGGTCAGGTATCGTCTTGAAGCCGTATGCAGCAGCACATAGAAACTTATCATCGAAGTTTCAGTGGCCAAGGGCGATAAGGATATCATTCGGACTGCTGTTTAATCGACCGACAGTAAAAGTCCAAGCTTCAACGCTATTCCAGCACTACTTGTTCATCCCGTCATTTCATATCATAAAAAAAGAACCTCACTGTATTCTGAACGTTAATCTCCTGAAATTTAAAACATACCCAGTTCACAATATGAAGTTCCTTTCTTGCAAACATCGTAACACAAAAAATTTTCTGTGCAGATAATGCGCAGAATTAACAGAAGCAAAACGAACCACCGTAAAAGCTCCAAAATTCAACATCTTTATGACATTAGTTTTTTCAGCCGTATTTCTTTACACGAAACTTATTATAATTTAATTGGTAAAAGATCATTAATGGAAGAATTAGAACTATTAAGTGGGACATTGTTGGCATAGATGAAGTGAGACGGAAAGGTGAAGATCTTACCAGACTATCTTGTGGACATATGCTTTATCACAAAGGGCATTATGATCCGTCATACGGAGGTGTTGGTTTTCTAATTCACAATAGACTTTATAGCTCCATCAAATGCGTTAAAAGCATCTCAACGCGTGTGTGCTACGTCGTAATTAAGCTTAACGATCGATATGCCTTAAAAATAATTATAGGTATTGATATTTGTAAAGTTAATTGGAACAACAATATGCTTGCCGGTAGCAATTTTGTAACATGTGTTTGTATCAGAGACGTATCTAAACGTGTCAAATGTCAATCTCAAAAAGTTTCATACGATATATTAAATTTTCTCACAGTTTACCATTATTAGTCAAAAATTAAAGAGACAAAACTATGTATCAGCAAGGATAATTATCAAAGAAAACAAATATCTTGTAATTGAATATCATGGTGGTCAAACTTCGTGACATTCAATAAACTAAGAATTACAGTTATTAAAGCGAGATTTCTAGTCAGCTGCTGGCAGCTGTAAAGGCACTTGGCTGAGTGAAGAAACAGATTTCTCACAGCCGCTACGGAAAAAAGTGGTTAAAAACCAAAAACAAAGATTTGCAACTAGCATATAGAAAAATTCGTAAGGTCCGTTGGTTTGTTCCGGGGCTTAGTTGGCATAGCACCTGACACGATTTGCTGGAAGACGTTGGTTCGAATCTGAACTGATCGAAGCAATTTTTTCTTAGTGCCTCGATTTTTGTATTAATAATTATAATAAATGTCATGGTGATGATGATGAATTGATTATCATGGTGATTAAATATCGTGACATGCAATAAACGTACAAGTTATAAATATGTATCTTGATACTTTCGAACCCTGGTTATTACTGGTTATGAGACTGATTTAAACAAGTCATAGGGTAGACGACATATTTTGACATCGATTCTCGATTTCACTGATCGTGTCCCATCACCACATGGTTTTGTCCAATCGAATGAAAAACATTAGGATCAGGCCTTGGTACACGTGCTGTAAAACGTGACTAATACACAAATATTTTTGTGTTAACGTTGTAAATTTTTACATAATGGACATGGAGACGCGGTCCATAAACCATGTAGGATGTTTACGAACGAACTAACTGCTACTGTTCAGATTTTTTTATTCTAAACTATTTCGTGTTCTTAGACTTTCGCAATTGTTATACATAAGAAATTAAATTATTTTTGGTATATAAAGCGCGTATACTTGATAAATTGATTGACAGCAGTCATTTTTTTGTTTGACGCCCAATTTCGCTATCACGAAAATAAACGATAAAGGATTTTTGTGGCCTTGTTAACATTTTCATCAATAAAAATCCGTTATAAAATCTCATAACACACCCGCCCGCATGCGCACATCCGCCTTGCAAATTGTATTAAAAATTTAAATCAACTTGGCGCTGAAATTATCATAAGTGCATTTATTCTTGGCCGTGGGCACGTTTGAAATATAAGCTTTGAATAAATTTAATTGCTCTTTAGAGAGACTTTTTGAAAAAAGTATATCGCTGTTTTCAAATTTTGATTGAAATCGGGTGGTGCTGTGTAGGGAGGTATGGACTAGTGTAAGCCATTTATGTAGGTCGATCTTTTTCCTTTCGTTAATAACTAAAGTTCTATCATGATACCTGCCATCTCGAGAATCCCGAGAAAAACGAGACTCGAGACTACTTCAAGCTTTAGGTTTCCATACTACACAATATTTTCGAATTCTTCTTTATGTAAACAAGTTATGAAATCAATTTTTTTTAATTTGTTGTTTAGTTTTTTTTTTGATAAGTTAATAAATAACATAATAATTAAATGTTTTTTTATTTTGTCTGTTATTTGTTCTTAAATAATTTTCTGTAAATGTATTATCTCTTTGTTACAAATTATTTCGATAACATATTTAAATCGATTTTTTTTGTCATTCGATTTTACTTCACTAGAAACTTCAAATCTCAAACGTCACCGTAATCATGCTATGTGACATGCGCTATAGTACCTGTATGATTTTGTCTGAATTTCACATCAAAACTTGTTTGAATGAGGGACAGAACATGCAAATCGAGAGACAACCGGTAATTATGAGATCATGGGTACAGGTCAAATAATCTTCATCTCATTCATGGGTATGCAAATTACACTTGAAATCGTCATATTCCTAAAGAAAAGTGTACACATTTATCATTTAAAATATTTATTTCAAACATTTTAGATCGACACTACCTGCAAGATCTAAACTGTCACATACTACGAATTTTTGTCATCCAAGTACGCAGAAGCTGTATATTATTATCCTTTAGTATAAAGTTTGTGAATTGCAAATTTTGATTATCAACCGCAATGTTATTATAGAAGGTATAATAAGATTGCGTAACTTCCTAGTTACCGTAATAGTGTATTTCATTGACCGTAGGATGGCATCACTTAATCGTGATTGCGATAGTTATCCTGTAGAACAACGCCAAATAACCTACGTCACCAACGCGTTAACAATGTTACATAATAACAACCCCTCATCGACTGTAGAAATATTATGAGTGTGTTAACCTAGTTGACCTTCAACCCTCATTCGCATTAATGCGCTTGTTTACAAAAAAAAGCTAGAACTATTAGCTCAACTTACACCAGGTCTGTTCTTTTGGACTCTCGCCAAACGTCCGTCATGATCATATCTCATTTTTTAGTGTTTCGTACCAAAATTTAAGAAACGTAACTCATCATTTTTACTTTCAATCTGTCGGTTAGTTTATAGCAGCTGGTTTTCTCAGCACAAACTATTTAATAAACCATTTGACTTTGAAAGTTCAAATTTGACATAGTGATGGAAATTAGTCGCCCTATCACCTCATATCTCTCTATCTATTCACAGCCATATATATACATATAGTAATTTTCTAAATGAAAATAATGGAACAGAAAACATTTATTTTGAAACCAAACTACGGAATACTAATTACGAGAATTCGGCTTGTGCAAGCCCTGTTTTTTTGGCTCAATAACTCGCATTATAACGATACGCTTTATTATTACGTTTACTTTTTGTTACTAAAATCGTAGCCCACTGAGATCGGACGTTTGCCAGACAGGTTTCAATCACATCGGAACAGAAACAAAATATAATGGTTTCAAACTTACCTTAATAAACTCATTTTCTGTTGCGGTTTCTGAAAATCGCCAGCGATCTAACCGCATAAAGCAAAAGACAGACGATGACATTGTTATTCTACTTAGTCTTATTTAATCTTTCACGAATAAACAGTGGCCGAAACGGCTCCACTGAGTCGGAAATATTAGTACCACTGGGTAGTCTTTCACCTCGCGTGGTTAACCTGCTACGGGTCTTTTGGTACTTACAGTTTTCCTCGATTTTTTTACGATCGACAGTGTCGTCAGATACAATCGAGGAAATATATAAGCAACAAACGATCTCTCGATTTAGTAGCAGCAGAGCTCGTTATGAAAGAGTTCGTCCAGGGAAGTAACACAACCTTACCTGATTCTGCCGCCAAGCAGTAATGTTAGCATTACTGCGTTCCTTAATTATAATTATATCTTTATAATATCTTTACGATTTAAAACTCTGAGTGACACTGCAACAGTTATGGACAGGCGAGTCGCTTACCACCAGGCGCACGACTTGTTCGTCTCATCACTTGGTTGTTATAAAAAATAATCTATAACGTACTTTTTGTCGATCGACATTGTAGAAATTAAATTTGGCGTGGGCTTGGATTTATGATGTAGGCGTCTAATTTCAAGAAGTTCCTCTAAAATTCGCCTATTTTGTAGTACGATACACGACACAATGCTTTACCAATTTATTCTCATTGTTACAGTGGACGAGAAAATCTTCTGCTGCCACGGCGGACTGTCACCTGACCTACAAGCGATGGAGCAAATCCGGCGGATCATGCGACCGACAGACGTGCCCGACCAGGGATTGCTATGTGATTTGCTCTGGTCCGACCCGGATAAGGACACCGCGGGATGGGGAGAGAACGATCGTGGTGTCAGCTTTACTTTCGGCACTGAGGTTCGTACTTCTATGTCATTTCACGGATATATAAATATCGGCAAATGGGATAAGGAGAGAACGACCGATACGTTGTCAGCTTTATTCTAGACTCGTGAGGTTTTTGCTTGGTGACTGACACGTGTCAAGTTTCGGGCTAATACTCAAACTTTTCTTAGTATCAGTGAATAGTCTATCACTGAAAAAGACAAGAACAAAATAAAATTAAGCTTTATATATTCGTTGCTAACGATTTTTATATTTTATATTATTTCTTGTATTCAAATATACACTGTTTTCTTTGTGTTATTTATCGAGACTATACCAATATCGTGCTGTTTTTATTACCAGAATAGTCGCATATTTTTTGGGAAAATACTCCTCTAGTTTGTTATTATTGGTACAAAAATCGGACAACACAAAGAAAAATTCCGTCGATATGACTGGTCTCGGATCAGTGTCTGTTGCTACACCGGGGCCACCGCTCTTACCAACTGAGCTACTTCGAGTCCAGTCATATAGAAGGAATTTTTCTTTGCGTCCGATCTTTGTATCAAAAATAATGACTAATAAACGTGTTTCGTATATATCTGCTAAAATTTAAAAACGGGAATTAACGCGTTTTCACACCTACATACCTATTTTTCTGACGTTTCGGCCAGGTTGCACTGGCCGTGGTCATTTGCTGACTGTTGATGCGGTGTTACATCTCTATCTCGGAGGTGGGATCTTCATCCACTCTCGCAATATTTCATTAAAATGCCACCACACGCAACACTAACGATATCGTTATTCTGTACCGAAGCCGTATTCTGGTAAACAGTCGATCAGTATCTGCTGTCAATATCTGTCGTGCCACAGTGTCTACTCGTTATTTCCTAGCGACCATTGAAAGTAACAGTTCTTTCGACATTTTTTCAACGCGATGGTTCACATTGAACCGCTACATTTCGGCAAATTTCATTTCTTCCAATCAGATTTCGTCATCCTGCTGTAGAGATTTAACGTGGATACGCCAAATCTAGTTCTTAGGTTTTTGCGATTGTTACACATAGGAAATGAAACTACTTTTTCGGATCTAAATCGCATATTTGACTCACTCAGTCGTGACTATGGGACCTGTAAAGGGTTCAAAACATTGATTTGTTTGAAAAAACAAATATATGCAGACGCCAAAGCTACTCAACTGAACTTCGGTAGGTGTGACTCTACCGTCGCTTAGTTGATGGCATTGTCCGGAACGTTAACAAAACTTAAACGTGTGTTGAAATAAATTGAAAAAAAAATCGGATAACGTCGCCGTGAGTTACTGAACTGTTTATCAGTGAGTAAGAATCGATAATAAATGTGGTGTTGTGACAAATGACGATCGCCGTTCACGATCGGTGACGTATTGACATGTCGTCAGAACGTGTGCTTGGGGTCAATATTCTCGCTTTAATGTAATGGTGTATTGTATGGGCAAACATTCATCATCGATTTGGGACTGAACCTTTATTTTTATTTTATTTATTTTATTTATTTATTAGATTTGCCAACAGAAATACACTATTGTACATGAACAAACAATAACATTACTTAAAATACTCGAGTGTAAACCCAATAATAGGCAAATACAGCATGCACATATCAGAAGCTCGTGTCAAAAGCATTTTTTGTATGTTACATTACAGACAAATTGATGGATAAAACAAAATCAATAACTAAACATGCTAAATTAAACTGTGAAGTTATGGTATTTTTAGTCTGACCATTTATACAATAAAGTTTTATATTTATTTAGTGACAAGGAAAACAAATCTAAGTCAATTAATCTATGTTTACATATTTTAAGAGAATTATTGTACTCTCGGCAAACTCGGTTCAAAATAGCATTGTAGCCAACGTTAGTTCTGAACTTTTTGATTTTAAAAAGACGATAGTTACTTGGTCTGGCGTTGCGACGTGGAATAGAAAACTGGAGTTGTGATAAAAGTTCTGGGCAGTCAATTTGCCCCGAAATCAAACGATGTACAAAAACTTGAACGGCAATCCAACGGCGACGTTGAAGGGTGCACATTTGAAATGAACTTAGTCTGTCCTCATATCCCTTCAATAAGTGCAGCCTTCGTTGGTGGACTGTGAGGAAAAAGAGAAATCGCTTTTGAACGCTTTCTTTGCCTAACCTTTAAAGCTCCGCGCTTTAAGAACACAAGAGTTCTAACCAGTCGTCGCTATTACGACAGCGAAAGCTATCTACTTTCTACGGAAAGCTACTGCCGAGGTCCACATACAGGAGTACGGGATGTAAATGCAATCCGCATCGTGTTCGTGTGAAGCTTATAAAGGATAATTCAATGCACGGCTGCGTCCACTTAAAATATTCTTCACAACAAAATTTAAATATTCATATAATTTCCTTCAATTTCAGTTTGGTAATTGGTTAGTTTAAAGCGCGGCTCGGAAGTGATAATTGTCACGATAATTATTACTATAATAACTTGATATTTATAATATTAATTGGAACAACAAAGTGTATAAGTGTGTGTAGTGTCGCTAGCAAACTCGTGCCCTGTGTTTGGATCCAAAACGTATCCAAACGTGTTAAATGTTAATCTCAAACGCAATTCTAAAGGCGGCTTCCCCAGGCCCGGGGGCTTCACCGGTGCTCGCCCGTGGAGGCCTGTTCGGATCCGACGACGCGAGAGCGCGCGCGGTCTAAAGCTGCTAGCAGATTGACTGCATGTGTGCAGTTAATGCGTGAAGTCGTAAAACGACTTCATGCAGCCGAGACCTCGACGGCATGATGTTGAAAACAACTTCACGTATCAAAGTGCACGCAGTCGATCTCTGCTGCATGAAGTAGGTTTCGACTGCTATTATTATCCGATGCTGCTGTTAAATTATCCGAGACGTCGACTGCATGAAGTTGATTACATCTGTGGTCACATACCTGAATACGCGCCGTGAGAGTCGGCCCAAGGCCGCATGGAGCTAGCCGGTGACGCGAGCCCGCCCGTACAAATCGGCCCGTTTGAAATCACGGGCCATGAGATGCGAGCGTAATAGTTTTCCCCAAAAAATTTTCATTTTCAACTGTTTGTCATTTTTATTCGAAAATTAGATTAAAAAGGCAAAACTATGAATCAGTATGGGTAATTATCGGATATTCCTCTAATGATTGTCACATAAAATATCTTGATTCATTCGAACCCTGGTACAAGGCACATATTTTAACGGTTGATCTCCTAACGCGTATACACTGTGGTATCATCTACTTTGAGATCAAGTAAAAGAATATTTTAGTCACACAAAAAGTAATAATGAAATTTGTCTGTTCGTTTGCAGGTGGTAGGCAAATTTTTGTCGAAACACGAGTTCGACCTGATATGCCGCGCGCACCAGGTCGTCGAGGACGGCTACGAGTTTTTCGCCAAGCGGCAGCTGGTCACGCTTTTCTCCGCGCCCAACTACTGCGGAGAGTTTGACAATGCGGGTATGTACAATAATAACAATGGAGCATATTCGTTTAAACGACATCCCCAAACAATCTATTTGTATCATCATTTATTTTATTGTGAATATCATGATATTTTACTACCACGATATTCATATGTGTTTTATATGAAAATACTCCACTAGTTTATTATTATTGATACATAGAAGAATAGGTAGTAATCTAAACTTCTGTACCATAGTTTTCCCAAAGTGGTCGCTACCGCCCGCCAGTGGGCTCTGAAGAGTCCTAAGGGGGGCAGAAGTCTCGGAAGCAATTGGCGGGCGTTGATGCTATTGATGATTGTTCAGGGGATGCTACCGCATTAGAAAAAAAAACTTGAATATATCTTTTTCTTTGTGATTTTTTTATTAAGTTAATATAAAAAAAACACGTGTTTTCAATGATTTTTTGTGGTGGTTTTTGGGTGGTGGACGCTAAAATTTTTTTTATCGCCTAAGTGGGCGGTGAGCTAAAAAGTTTGGGAACCTATTTTCTATACTAATATTATAAATGCGAAAGTAAGTCTGCTGTTACATTCTCAGGCCTCGTACAGCGTCCGCAGTGCAAACCTTTGGGCCACCGAGGTCGTCGTTATTTCGAAATTCTTCATAATCCCTAAGTATCTATTTTCCATTGATCGTTCTATTGGTTCGTTGATCGTCCCTGTCTATGGACCCGAGAGACTACGGGCTCGACGGCAACACCAGTACCGGCAACTATCTGGGAAATAGGGAGGGTGCTGTACGTGCACCCGAGGTGGCTCATCTAAGGCACTAGCCTTACAGAGAACCGGATGAAGTCCGTGCAAACGTGCTGATTCGGGGCTAGGACCTGAATTAGATGGTCCCTGTGCGGGTTCGCTTGCACAGGTCATAGTGCCCTTCACGTTTAACCAAGAGGTAGATAAGGAGGGGCACTATTAACAAAACTCATGTAGAAAGATATCGTTCTGTTATCACAGGGACTTTGTCTAATTTTATTATTCTCTATCGCGATTAGTTGGCAATGTCGTGATTTACGGAAATTTCACGATAACATAAAACATGAAGAAAATATTTCGAAATGCACGAAGTTTGTTCAATGATTAATATTTAGAAAATGAACATTATCTATCTAGGTATCTAAATCAAAATCCTTTATTGGAATACCTTGTATCTAATCTAATCTATAGTAGCAGTAGAGTTTCTTTTGAAAGAGTTCGTTCACGGAAGTACTGCCACCTTATCAATTCTGTCGCCAAGCGATAATGTAAGCATTACTCCGTTCCGGTTTGGAAGGGTAAGGGTGCTTGCGAAATTACAGGCACATGGGACTTCTCAACTTATGTCTCAGTGTGACGGGCGCAGTGGTAATGCCCGTAAGATCCTTGCAATTTAAAGCTCTGAGTGGCTGTGCATCTGTTATGGATAGGCGTGTCGCTTGGCACCAGGCGCACGACTTGTTCTTCCCGTCATTTGTTATTATAAAAAAAAATACTTTTACATTCAAACTTGTAGTTTAAAAAAGACTATGTATGGATGTGCGTGCTAATTGAGTGTCTGTTGTTACTTCCAGGTGCCCTTATGTCAGTGGACGAGACACTAATGTGCTCCTTCCAAATCCTAAAGCCAGCAGACAAACGCAAGCTGTACTCCGGCCTGAACATGGGCCGGCCCAACACACCGCCCCGGGCGCAGCCCAAAAACAAAAAGAAGTGAGTGGCCGACACACACGACACGCGCAATCGATTGTACATACACGCACACACCTACACCGAGCAATACGGGATTGTCGATTTTATGTGCCAGTGCTGGTATCGTATTTATCGGTTTGCGAGAGCGTCTGTTTAAATCAGTACAGCTAACAGAGCCCGCTTACATTTATACTTTAAATGGTTCCTTATAATAGAGTTGAATTTACAAATCGAAATGTAAAATCCAGCGTTCTGTTGACTGTACTTTTTAACTTTTGCTATGTAACTCAAAAATGTACATGGCCTCTGAGGTCCCCGACACGTCTACGCGTATAATAGAACTGCAACATTTACTTTGCAATTATACTGGCATACCGTAAAAGTTAACCTGGTATGCTAGTATGTTGTGACCCTTATGTACAGGGGCCTTACTCACGAAGCACGAAATCCGTAGTTACGGCCGTTTTCCCACTATAGATGACCTACTGGACTAATTAGTCCAGTCGAAGTCCGTCAACGACAAAACGAGTCTGGGGGTCTACTCTCGATCAACGTCTGACAACCGTCCGAAACTTTATTACTATCAAATAAATAATATTCGACAAAATTAAAAGATAAGTACCAAGTATGAAGCTTCATTCGCATCACGTGTCTTTTAATTTGGTCAAGTATTGCTTATTTGGCAGTAACTGTTTCGGACGGATGTCGGACGGAGATCGAGAGTAGACCCCCTGCTCGAAACTGTCTTATCGCGTTGTCATACATTCTTAGTTCTAACCCCGATCGAAACTCAATCTGCCACAGCATGGCATGGAATGTGTGATAAACCCTTCATAAACCTTCCCGTGACATATTTATTTCAGTTGTTAAAGCTATGGTTGCCACTGTTAAATATTTTTTATTGCGAATAGGGAATCTGTAAGATCCGTGCTAGTCATTCATTCTTTCGTTTATTTGGTATTGAACAGTTGTTATACATTTTGAAGAACAAGGATAACGATATGAAATTGCATATATCTTCTTCGTTTAATTAAAAACAAAAAAAAAATATTAAGCTTCTAGTACTTTCAGTTTTTATGTTTTACTTTATATTGGTTATTATTTACGTACACACATCAAAAAAAGTTTGCGATCACTTCGAAAAACTGAAATCTTTTTTGTTACTGTAGATTATATTATGATTTTTTCTTCTTTTTAGATTCTTTATTTAAAAATAAATTAGAACATAAAACAATGACCCCGTTCAATTGTTTTTTCATATAAAAAGGCTTTCAGTCCTAGCTTACGCTCATTCAGAAATCTGATTTAGTCAATTATAAGCGATTCAAGATATTTTTCGCGGAAAGTTGTGATTGAAAAAATGCCAAGAGGATTATCAGAGGTTTTACGAGCTAGAATAGTAACTTTGAGGGAAGAAGGATACACCACGAGAGTAATAGCACGCAGACTTGCTATATCCCAATCCTGTGTCGTGGCTACGTTGCAGAAGTATCACGGAATGGGGAATTTAGCTGACCGACCCCGCAGCGGTCGCCCAACTGTTTTGACAGCTGCCCAAAAGCGCTATATTAGATTGCTGGCAGCCCGTGATCCAACAATCAACGCCACTAAAATAAAAGCAGAAGTCAGGGCCGCCTCTGGGCTTGAAGTTAGCACGCAGACCGTTCGCAATTGCTTGCACCAGACTGGATTACGAGCACGGAGGTCTTGGCGAGCTCCGCTCAATTCCCGGCAACGTCAACAACGAAGATTGCAGTGGGCTAGACTTCGGCAAAATGAAGAAGGTGAGGACGAAAACATTTGGCAAAACTGTCTCTTCGTTGACGAATCCCGAATCAGCACTCATCCAGATAACCGACGTGTCCGTGTCTGGAGAAGACCAGGCGACCGTGAAAGACAAAGAACTGCCACTGGAACAGTTCAGCAAGGCGGAAAATCGGTGTCCTTTTGGGGTGGCATTATGATTGGAGCTAGAACGCCTTTGATCCCGTATCGGGGCTTCATGACAGCAGACATGTACAAAGCAGTTGCTATTGATGATATCGTCAGACCATTCCGAGTAAACCATGGGCACCAATTTGTACTGGTCGATGATAATGCGCCCGCACATCGAGCTCAACGAGTCAATGCTGCTCTTCAAGAATACGATATCACACGATTAGACTGGCCTGCCGGCTCGCCCGACTTAAACCCAATAGAGCACGCGTGGGATGCTCTTAAACGAGCAGTATGGAACCGTGAGCCACGTCCCCAGACAGTTCCAGAGCTCAGGGAAGCCGCTATTGAAGAATGGGATAGGTTACCCCAGGAAATGCTGGATAACTTGATCCTCAGCATGCCCAGGAGGATCTTCGCATGTATTCGAGCCAGGGGAGGAGTTATTTTATATTGAATTCACACCTTCAATATTAAATTGTTGTTTAAGTTTAATTAAACAGTCTTTTTCTTTCTATGAAATTTCTATCACTATTACATTATGATTAATGGCTCAATTTTTTAAAATAAATAATAAAAAATAGTTTTATATTTTAATTTCAAACAGGGTATTCCTATTTAAAGAAAGCATACAACATAGATTTTTTCTTGATAAAGTTAAATTTAAAGAATTATAGGAGCTTATGCTATTGATCGCAAACTTTTTTTGATGTGTGTATTTCTAATTACTCTCATGGTATTAAAAATGTTCTCACCTTTTTCCAATAATTTATACGTATGTATCAATTTCTTTGATTTTTTTAAATTTCTTTTTATCTCATATGTCGCGCTCAATTTTTACGTTGATAAAACTATTGTGCAAAACTATCAAAATGTTTTAAAATCGGCAGTAACCTTGCGGTGCTCGCCATGTTAGATATTGAGTGTAAAATTTTAAAATGTTTTTCACTCGAATTTCACAGCTAAATGTGGGTATAATAGCTTTATCGCTTCGGCATGCTACGAGGGCTATAGGTCATACGTAGTGGGAAAGCTGCCGTAACATCGGATTTCGTGCTTCCAGCGTAGGGCCCCAGAATATGAAAACAATAAAGTTTTGCAAATGTGCAATCAAAGTGTACAAAAACAATGTCTTCCATATAACTGTTACATCTACCACAGTGTATATGTAAATAATGGCAGCGTTGAAGAATATCGGCCGACTCACCGCCAATACCTTAGTTATTAAGACCCCGAAATTTGTATGGAATTTATAAAAAAGAAATGTTTATTCATCCGGCATTCATTGCCTACTCCTCCCATTAACAGGTGATAAAAGTTCGGGTCTATTCAGTAGCGCACTTTAATAAACCAATTTTATATTACATTAAAACTTTGACGCCAACTAGTACATGAGAATACCACCATCTTGTCTATTTCTACCATAAGACACCATGGCTGTGCATGGTATGGGGTCTACTCCCGTACCCCATCCGATATCCGTCCGAAACAATTTCTGTCAAGTGAGTAATATCCGACCAAATCAAGAGACAATGTGAAGTATGAACCTTTACTCGCATCATGCATCTTTTAATTTAATCGAGTGTTACTTATTTGACAGTAATTCGTACCTCCAATTAACTCTACGCCATCTTTATTTTTTACTAATATTATATATTTATTTACTAATATTATGCTATGCCAATTTTGTGAACAAAAATAAACAAAATAATTGAATACCAATTCAATAAAAAAAATTAATACAATCAATAGCGACATCTCTAGCCGGGGCTGGTAGCTGTAAAGGAATCTAACTGGGTGACAAAATACCATAGAATTCTCATAGATGGTTGAAAAACCAAATACAAAGATACGACGTAACCACATAGAAAAATTCGTAAGATCCGCTTGTTCGTTCCGTGGCTTAGTTGGTTATAGCGCCTGGCACGGTATGCTAGAATACGTCGGTTCGAATCCGGCCGGATCGGAGGAATTTTTTCTGAGTGTCGATCTACATATGTATTAATAATTATAACAAACCAGTGGAGTAATTTCACATAAAAATAATTGAATATCAATTCAATAAAAAATTTAAAAATAAACAAACAAAAAACAAAATTACGAAAAAAACAAAGAGACAAACAAAATAAAACCAGAACTAGTCCAAAAATTAAGTTGGCGTTGTGTTCGTTGGAGGTATCGAATTGTTTCGGACCGATGTTGGACGGAGAACGGTAGTAAACCCCATGGATTGAAAGGCAGAGAGCGAGCGCCACCTGATGCGAGACCTGTAAATCATTATATTCAGCGATAAGAAGCGGCGGTTCATTTAGTTCTTAAAGTGCATTACAGAATCGACTACAAAACCCCTTAACTATCCTAATTTTGAGTTTTTCTACCACTTCAGAGATACATGAAGATGGGCAAACCGCATCAAAGGTAGATGAGTGTGTATTGGTTCACTCGAGTGTGTTTTCCTGTTTGTTATTGTGATTGATAGCGTATATGAAGTAATCTAAACGTCGCGTCATCGAGTAAGGTACACACCACACTTATCGACAACGTCTTTTTCAGCTCTTATTGCATTCTATACCGATAACTGTGGTCACTTAAACCTGACATATTGCTGGACATTGTCCAACGACGCAGCACGAAACAAAAACAATGTGAAACTTATGTGAAGACACTCTTAAGTTTCTCACATGTGGCGCTGACGTTTAAACCCAAAGAAGCTCTGCTACAAGCACATAGTGAAATTTAGAAGATCTGCTTTCTTTTTTCATATTATGATTCTGCCAATACGACCTTTAGCCCTGCTGATCATCTATCTAAAACTAAATTTATAAAACTTTTTGTTTCTTTAATGCCCACTATAAAAAAAAACTTTTTAGTTCATTTTTTATTGTATATTTAGTCTAGACACTACATGGTAGTAGTAATCCAGACAAAATTAGGTTAGGTTTAGGTTTTCACGATTGATACACATAGGAAATTAAACTACTAGTTTTCCGGATTTAAATCGCGTATATTTATTTTTTCAAACAAACCGACATTTCGGGCCCTTTACAGGTCCCATGTCAGTCAACCGTGTCCATGGGACCTGTAAAAGGTTTATTTAATAATACGTCGACAAGGAAGAGTCGATTTGGAAGTTAAGAAGTCTAGTTCTATAAGAAAGATCTTCATATACGCTATTGGTTTTTTTTAGCATTTGGCAACTCTTGTTTTTCGCAGCTTTAGCCCATCACGAGGAAAACTGTCGATAAAATGAACATCCTTATATACATACATACTGCCTACTGTCACCTCCGCAAAAGCATGCGTGTTGCCATGCCTTTCTGTTCTGAGTATTGTGATTTTGTCTTGACTATGAATGAATTTTGAGATAAGTTCATTTATTTGGATTCTAAATGCAGTTGAAGTTCTCGATTTTACTTTCGAATGACGAATTATTATTTAATATGAGAATTGCCCAAATGTAACGTGGTTCCTCACTTATCGCGGCACGCGTCAGTGCAGATGCTTGATGACAAGTGGGACTTTACACTTATTTATTATCTCGTAATTCATTCATTTCGCGTTACTGATTTGTTAATGAAATTCTGAAATTACTTATAGAAGACAAGTTAAAAAAAAACATTGAAATGCATTAGCTAGTACAGTTGGAAATTCAAAACGGCCAATCACATGAGTTCTATTACTGTGGTATGGCAATCACGTACTATATTTATTGTGTACAGGTTGTTGGGTAGTTTACAACAAATCTTTTGAACGGGTTTCTTTTGGAAACGCAAATAGGCTTTCATCATCATTGTCAACCCTCCTCTAAGGATGGATTATTTAAAGTTATGATAAAATGATCATAACCTTCAATAATGCACACATTCTTTACCTAAATAGGCATTAATAGAAAAGAATTTCAAATTCGAAGAAAGGTTTTACACGCCTATGGTGCAATTTTGTATGGAAAAGTGAAATAACGAGTTCTTAGGTTTTTGCGATTGTTACACATAGGAAATGAAACTATTTTTCCGTAATTAAATCGCGTATATTTGTTTTTTCAAACAAACCGACGTTTTGGGCCCTTTACAGGTCCCATGGTCACGGTTGACTAAGGTGTTACAGTCTTCAACCAACCAAAAGTTATGTCTAATATTGATGCAAACCACCCTTTTTTTTCACTATAGTTTCAATAGTTATTAATTGAATACCTTATTTTAATTTTGCAAAGAAAACATTCCAATTTACGCTACATTAAGTTTTACAAATTACTTTATTGAATGAATTTTTATTAAGTTCAATTTATTATTAATTAATAATAGAAATTAGAATAAACTAAAACATATTAATTAGTACTGCAGTCTTATGTCTGTTTGGGATTTTTCATTAGAGGAAATACTGGATCCCAAACTGGTGGTACGGAGAAACCATCTTCCCTGTTGAAATTAGGATGTTTTTTAATTTCAATTGCCTCTCGCGCAATAAGGTATTTGATTAGTAACTATTGTAACTATAGTGAAAAAAAAAATAGGGTGGTTTGCATCAATATTAGACATAACTGGTTGAAGACTGTACCACCTCAGTCAACCGTGACCATGGGACCTGTAAAGGGCCCGACACGTCAGTTTGTTTGAAAAAACAAATTACGCGATTTAAATCCGGAAAAATAGTTTCATTTCCTAAAGTGAAATAAATTAAGATTCTTATTTTACCTTTATCAATATCTAGGCTGTTTGCGAGATCGAACAACCCTATCAATGGTTTGCTGTCAACCACCTAACATAGTACGTTCTTTACTAGAGAAGAATATAATATGCGCCCCTAAAATATTAGCAAACGCGGGAGACATGCAAATTCAAACAAATCAGTACGCCTACAACCTCTATAACCACAATTCTGACGTCACCATTTTGTCCCCCAGTTAACCGCCCGGGCAGCGCCGACTTGCATGGATTCCCACTCCACGTAGCTTCTGTAATTTTACACCGCTCCGTTGTTTTCAAGGCTCAGAATAAATTCGTTGCACATAAATACACATGCCTTTTACCAGATATTGTTGAGCTGGATAAATATTAATTTAATTTTACATTTATGTAACTATTGAATTCAGTAATTTCTCAAGATGAAAGAATCTTGAATCTTGGAAATTAAACTACTGTATAATCTAAAAATTACAGCTGATATACACACAACAAAAATGTCTAGGGATCAAGGTATTTTTTTTATAAATATTTGATTACCCTATTAAAATATAACGAACGTATGTATATAAATCTATTTATTCTACAATTATGAAAATTATCGGAAAAACCATTGGTGTAAAAAAAACCCGATTTTCAGTCATTGGAAAAAGCGTGCTTGAACCCTGGACACTTTTGATGTGTGTACTTTTTATGATTATACATATGTTCACGGCAACAGTATCTTTCTAATATTTAAACATTAAAACCAATCATAAAGACAACGGACGGTGTACTTTTTTACCAGAAACTTTGTTTTGGTATAAGTTTTTATTATGAAATTTGTAAATCACGCAAAAAGAGATACCTGCTCTCTCAGTAACAATAATTTATATTAACTATGGAAACCCGTTTTAATATACAAACTGTCGTTATGTCATCTTCTGAATTTCGCTTGTACACTGAAACTATTGGCTGGTGTTACCTTAAACAGATTTAACTGGAAATGGAACAAATTTCAGATAAAAAAAAAAGATGGCCGCCATATAATTTTTAGTCTTGTGTTTTGAACTCTACGGGAGGTGAGGTGAGTTGTGTTGGTATTTTAAGTGTAGAGTTTGCAGACCGATCTAATCGAATTTTCGCGGCAAAATTACGTACAGTCGGTGCTCCACGATACCTGACCCCCTAATCGACTTTTTAATTACATTTACGTAATGTAATTAAATATCAAATTGGCCTAAAAAGTTTCCTAAAACTCATTCACTGATGAGGCAATAAGAAAGTCATACCAAAATGGATTTTACGCCTCACAGGTGAAAGGTTAAGTTTGTTAAACACCTTCGTTCACACAAATCTACTTCGCACCAAAAGACAGTTAGGTCAGCAACTTAGAGCGTCGCCTGTACGCGTAATTTTGTTTTTTATTGACAGGACAAAGAAAATACATCGTACAGATACAGCTCTTGCGATGTATTGTAACTGATCACTATGTCATAATTACGTATGCGTATTTCGGTGGCGTAACTTCCTTTAGATTTGACTCTCGTCTGGAAAGTGATTTTTGACAGTTTGGTGTATTAGAGCGTTGGTCCCTCCGAATGCTACACTCGTTGTTATAATTCCCGAACGAACTTTACATGGCATGTCAGGTGAATAAACGTTCACCTGCTGTTCAGACCCGCTACTGGGTAGGAATGTACCACACCTGTATTTACAGTGATTTGTAAACACTAAATTGATTGTCTCAATTCATTTACGTCCACTGCCAAGTAATCCCAGTAGCTCTAGAACAGTGGGTCCTTTGACTTATTTTTAGGAATTATAATCACGAGTGTTATTTGTAATTTAAGTTTTAAATTCCAATTGTTAAGGTTCATATTTGTTCGCAAATAACAATTGCTGGACGATTGTTCGGCTTTGACTTGGGCAAACATGAACTTGCAGTCTTTACACATGTAAAATGAATCTTAACTCCATACCATTACGTACTGTTTTTATTGTGACGTAACAAAGATTTAACGTCAATGAAGAAGCTAACTAATACTTAATTAGGGTCATCATGCATTTGGCGGCACACACGCGTTTGTTACTATGCGTGCTGACAAATGTAGCATAATTCTAAACAAGTTCCTAATACAATGGACAGAGTCTAAAATTACTTAGTGTAAACGTTATAGCAAAGATTATCATGTGTAGAGACTAAATTCTCAATGTACCTCCAATAAGGAGAAGAAATTTTTAATAAATGAATAGCGCAGGTGAAATAATAGAACAGATGAGAATTGTAGGTGGATATTTGGTATCTAGCTGTTTAAGTTGCTAATCAGACGGCAGAATAATAGATTTTCTCTGAACCTTTTACTTCAATTATCCAAGGATAACAGAGAAACAAAATATAATAATCAAGCGTCTACAGGTATCATTTACTTTTTGGTATTATTAACAAAGAAATAGAAACGTTCAAGACGATATTCGTGCATATTAGCGAAGGGCTGATACATGAGGGACAGTAAAAGTAGACCTTTAGTTTCTCCACATACAATTCTAGACAAAAAAAATCCAGTGATTTGGCTTTGGGAAATCCCTGTAGGGTGATTCACAGCGGATGGATGTCAGTACGCTACGAATGTTTGTATGACTGCTTTTGGATGGATGTGCATTAAATATCCAACGTTAATATAAGGTAATACAGTTTCAATCTTGACGAGAATTCGAGATTAGTTCGAACGTATAATGGCCTGTGAAAGAGATGGAAATATTTAATTTGAAAGAAAAAATATTATAATCAACGTCTTTATTTTTATCTTACATTTTTCTGCAGAGGACATAATTACAAATCGTTCGTTGCAAATATCATTTAAAAAAATGTACAAATCCCTCGTTGATATACTTCAATGGCATTAAGAGGAAAGTACTATTTATTAACTAACAATACATAAATCCCCGGTCTTTTGTATTTGTTTTTGTAATATTTTTATGGAAAAAACATTTTTTTTTTATTAACACCAATTCAGATGTGTGAGATTCTTCGCAATCCACTATAACTCGAATGAATGGCGTTAAGGTTTTGTAATTAACTGTCAATATAAGCTTTGTAACCTCATTATGTAACTAAATTATACGTATTTGTAGTCTATTTAGTATTACCTTGTATGCGCTTATATAAAGGTGTTTGTAGTTTAAATCAAGTAAAACGCCATCTATTGACAAAGTTTGAAATTTGAACGCTGAATGTCAAATAGTCATTTGCATTTCGAAGACTGAATCATGAAAGGTTGACACACACTTGTTGATATCGTAAACTTTCGGCATCCAAGTAATTTTTTTTTTCCGGATCAATAACAAATTAAATATTCCGGGATTGTTTCGAAAGTTTGAATTGTAATAATAATGATAAAATGTAGACTTAGGCCATTCGCAATAATATATGTGTAGTTCGTATAAGTAAATTTTGCATTGCAATATTTGGTGTCATTAATTTTTAATCGTAACGGATAAATACGTAACTTACCGGATTGTTATTTTCCGTATGTTATTACGAAAAGTGACGGTAAAGTAACATTCCGGTAGCAATACAATAGCTTCATTGTGAAACCCCATACATTTTAATCTGCTAAATATTGCAATGTTAAACCCACTCGTCAAAATTGAAACCGTAAACATTAAAATTTAATTTAATGACATATTGAGATAAAAATAATGATAATATTACTTCGTAATGGATACAGTTATGGATAAGTAGTAAGCATAAATATGTAAAACAATGTAGTTGAGGACAGAACAAAAATGTCTGCCGTCACTGGGCGACATAGAAATACATTGTAGAACGCATAGGCTGGCACTTGCATTTTGTCAGTACATTGGCGGTTTTTGGTCGCTGCACGTACCCTCTAAATAGTGACATAACAGAAATGGATGAGTTGAATGAAAAATACCATCGCCGTACGAGGGTCTTGTACCCTCGTATGGCGATGGTATTTTGATAAACTTATACCGACAAATTACTATATATTTTTTAAGTATTTCACATACAAAAGATACATTTTATTTATGTACGTCGATAACATAAGTAATTACAAACGTATTAATTGCAGCGTATGAAATCGTCAATGCTACATACGTAAAGACTTAATGTAATGCCTACAATTTTAGATGAAAGGTGTAAAGTTGCTCCTCTTCCATACTATAAAGTACGCTTTAGCGTGCTATCTAAGAAAACGGTCGACATACGTTGCGTATTGCGTGCCTGGCACGCTACGGTTACATGTCTGACGACCCTTAAGTATGGAATTAAGTGTAGCAAGCAAAGTACGCTAAGCCCCGATTGTTATTTTTTTGCTAAAAGTTTTAGACTGACCCGCTTGGCCCGCGGCCGTATCTTAACCAACGTTTACTGATGTATGAACAAGAATTGTATATTAATTTCTTAAATAAAATACTTTCCGATTTTTTTTTATCTTTTATTTCTAGTAGCTGTGTAAGCCTAAACACACATTGTACTACACTTTTAAGCAAAATTGACACTGTACAGCACACATTTAAGCAAAATCATTTTTTGTTTCTTCTAAATTAGGTGCTATTACAATATCGCTAGTAAAAATATAGATTTATTTTTAAATTAAAACTAGACGGCTATAATCACACCTAACGCCAAACGACGATGGTGCGTGTGTCAAAAAATTTGTATTCATTAGCCATAAATAATTTATACGATGTATATTTATTTGTAAGTCAATGGATGTATACCATTCCTTTGCCAAACACTTGGGGAGGAAGCAAAAACCTTGGTGCGGAGTGTATTTCAACGACAAGAATTGATAGGTATTAAACCTTGACTAATTTTCATGTTTCTTCTCGTTAACATTAACCAACAGCGTGTAGTATGAAAATGATGTTTTGATAATCTGCAACGAAATTAAGTGTTGATAAGTGTAGTTCAACCCTCAAAATTTTAGATGACTGATGTATCTTCTGAGTAAAGGGCGACTAAGCAACAAGCTCGTATCCAGTTAGTACGCTACACAATTAACCATAAAGTTCAATATGCTAGGTACAGTATCGTTACAAAAATCCGCTACCGTCCCGTTCAGCCGCAATATAAATTGAGCCTAATTCTAAAATTTTACGACTAGAACCATTGACTTACAAATAAATGGACGACGGGTCTAATACAAAAACCACGAAAAAAATGTCACAAGTCAACCTATTCGAAATTTAAATTGTAATGTCATCGCAGTATCGCGCTGTCAGTAGAACAAATGAAGACTAAAGCGGAGGTAGCGCTCTGTATACGATTTTAGCGCCTTACAAGTGCGGACACTTTTTAGCGCGGACCCGACGTCCATATAATTGTAAGTCAATGACTAGAACCGTCTAATTCACGACTTCTGGGTGCAACCAGACCTTAGGAGCTGCGATTCTCGAGTTCGACGAACGGTGCCGCTAGAATAACCTTTTCCAGCGTGGACAGTAAACACCCTTATAACTTGAACGGCGGACCGACTAAATCTATTTTCCTTGTGTTCACTCTTAAAGAAAGAAAGAAAACTGTTCATTGCACAGGCACAAACACGCGTATAAATTTGATATAATGAAATGTGTAATTTTGTGAAATGTCGCGTCCACGCGGATATTACAGGAGTTAGAAGCAGAGTGCGGGAAGTTTTACCTGACTAATAAGGTTTCACAAAAACTCTAGGCTAGTCACGCTGAATAAGGAAGTCTACCATCTTAAGTAGAAAAATTAGTCGAGTAAAACGTCATTTAATCAGTTCTAATCGTAAAAAACTAGATTTAGTCGGCTCACCATTTCAAAGTTATAAGGGTGTTTTACTGTCCACGGTGGAATAAACTTATTCCAACGGCATTATATTATAGAACCATAGCACCTAGCTTAGATTGCATTAAAAAACTGTTTTAGTCGTAAAAAACAAGTTATTACGCCCGCCGTTTAAAGGTTATAAGAATATTTTACTATTCACACTGAAACAATGTTATTCCAGGCGGCACGTTTGTAAACCTCGAGAACGGAACACAGCTTATTTTTAACCGAAATAAAAAAAGGAAGAGGTTCTCAGACGTGGTCCCATTTAAATTTGAAGAAAATATTCCACCTATAGCAGTTGAAGTGCCACTCAAAGTTTTAAACCGCAAAGATCTTAGGGATACTGCCACTGCGCCATCCACCCTGAGAGATAAGTTGACAAGTCCCATGTGCCTGTAATTTCACCAGCAACATTAAACCGAAACACAGTTGCTCACATTACTGCTTCGCGGCACAAATAGTTAAGGTGGCAGTACTTCCCTGGAAGAAGGAAGGAACGTGGTATATCGATAAGATTACCCTGAAGTGTACATATCGACATTTGAATGACGTGAATTAATACCGGACTTAGGTGATCTTTTCTTTTAACAATACGGAGGGACTAGAACGAGCCAATATGTATGTTTAGTCTCTGAGGTGAAAACTTTTCACTTCAATTGCGAGAAAAAAAGATATTTCAATCGTTTTCACTCTACAAGAAAATTAATCCTCCAAGCTTAGCCTCCAAGTTACGAACCAAAATTCGGACGTTTTCGCGGTATTTTTTTTTTATTCAACCAGACAGATACAACTAACGCGGGAAAATACTATGGCGCCACCGATGCGGAAAAAGCACGGAACTAAAACCGAGCATACTACTGACTGTTTGAGTTCGTTCACTCGATGTAATTTAAAAATTAGTTACTTTTTTACTCCGTAGGGATTAATAATGCCGGGTGCACGATTTTGCAGTTGGCCGCTGATGGCCTTGACTGCGCCACCGGAGAAAAGGGCGAGCTGAAGGCTCATAACCCCTAAAATAAACTTAAAGCTAAGTAGCGGGCCTGAGGGCGCCCAAGTGGGCACGGACCTCGGCTCAGGGCGCTACTGGAGACTTCCGCCAGAAGGGCGTGCTGTAGGAGAGAATCTACCAGTGTACGTGCTGAAATGAGGGGTTCTGCGACCTCGCCGGCGAGGACGGTTGGTGCGTGAGGGACGGGACTGACTAGCGATCTGTAATGCATAACGCCTTGTCTTTGTTTCGGTTTTATTGGACGCGTGGACTCTGTTGCTCTGTGATTGGCCAGTGGTGCTGTCCTCCGCAAACGTTCCCTGTTGCTTGCGTGGAAATATCAAACATGAAATTAAATTAAATTAAATTATTTATTGGTAACAATATTTATACGTTACATGTCAGTTATCAATACCATTCAACATTTGTAAAATGGACGTTACATCAATATTACATTTTAAGTCATTCACGATTAATTTTAAAATAAACCAGTACGTAGCATTCCATTTACAATATATTATTATAAGTCACATTTACATTATATTACATGTTTTAAAAATAAAAAAATAATAAAATGAGTACAATGTCAAATAATCAAAGATAAATCATGATACGATAGAAATTACATTGTGACGTTTGATTTTACGAATTAAGAAATTCTTTAAAGTCATAGAATTGTTCTTCTAGTAGCAACTTCTTCAACTTAATCTTAAAACTAAACGGTGAAGCTGCATCCTTGATGTCATACGGTATCTTATTGTATACTAATGTTCCTATTACGTAAACAGACTGTTCTGACTTGGTTAATTTGGACGGAATCTTTTTAATGTCGTTAAAGAGTGTGTTGCTGCGTAGTGCATACCTCGAGTTAATCCTATTACGCTGAAACTTTTCTAAGTTGTTATGGACAAAGGTAGCTATTTGCTGTATTAGTAAGCCGGGAAGGGTCATAATTTGGTATTTTTTAAAATAGTCACGCGCCGATACATTATCAGGTACTCCCGCCATTGCACCAACCGCACGCTTTTGGAGTACGAATACTCTGTGCCAATCGACAGTGTTTGCCCACAGCTCCGATCCATATGTTAGAACGGAGTGCACTGTGGCGCAGTGGCATGTCCTAACGACGCCTTCAGTCGCAGTGTTCGCAAGACGACGCAATGCAAAACACGCTCTGCCTAGTTTGGTCACAGCTCCTCGATATGTGTGTCCCATCTGAGCGCACTGTCGATTGTAAATCCTAACAGTTGAGTACATGTCACTTGCTTAATGCTAGAGTCACCCACGCTAACTACTACTGCCTGTGGGGAGTGACCATTAAGGCTGAAGCGCATAAAACACGTTTTCTCTTTATTTAGGGCCAGTCCATTCGAATGGAACCACGAACACAGTCGCTGAACCACGATACAGAGGTTACTCTCAAATTCATGTAAGTTAGTCGCAGTGACAACTGCGGTGACGTCATCAGTGTACATAAAATATCAGCTCCTTCGATCGCTTGAAGAAGGTCATTTAAAAGGATACTAAATAAGGTGTTAGACAGGCAAGAGCCTTGAGGTACGCTTAGTAAATTTTTCATTTCAGACGATTTTATACGCCCACTCTCTCCAACTACAATCTGCGTTCTTTCACTCTAGAATGAAACCAATAGTTCAAGCGCCGGTCCGCGTATTCCGTAATGCTGTAGTTTTATAGAGACAAGAGAATGGTTGGCTGTGTCAAAAGCGCGAGAGGTCACAACACACTACAGCAACATGCTGCGCAGCCCCACGGGCACTCAACACACGCCAGACCACTTCTCGTCTAGTACGAGAGTCGGTAGTAGACTTGCCCTGCCTATAGGCATATTGTTTATCTGACAAGACGTTGCGTGGTATCCAAAAGGACAATAACGTTTTATTAAATTTATTCCCTACCTCTAATATTTTTACTAATCGCTGGGACTGGTGAAATAGGTCTGTAGGACTTTATGGCTGCCCGCGAACCTTTACCTTTATAGAGCGGTGATATTTTCACTTTTTTCAGTGCGAGTGGGAACATTCCTTGCTTTAGGCAGCAGTTAAATAGTTCGGATACGATCCAGCATAAAGACGTGCATGCAAATCTTAACACTCCTACTGAAATATCATACACGTCAGTGCCCCAAAAAATAGTTTTTTTTGGGCAATGTGTTTTGTTGTACAGTTAGAATATTTTCCACTTCATTTGGAGTAAAGGGTACAAGTCGTAAGGAACTATCGCAGGCTGACGCGAAATCTGACAATGTTTACATTGCGCTCCAGGTATCAGGGGGTCTACCTTCGATCTCCGTCCGAAACAATTACTGTCAAATTAGCAATATTCGACAAAATTAAAAGACAAGTATCCAGTATGAAGCTTCATTCGCATCACGCGTCTTTTCATTTGGTCAAGTATTGCTTATTTGGCAGTAATTGTTTCGGACGGAGATCGAGAGTAGACCCCCAGGTGCAGGGGCGCAAGATAGTGTCGCCGCTGTTATAAATTCCTTATTTAACGCGTCAATTAATTGATGTTTGGAGACGAACGGAAGACCGTTAACGTCTCTGACTAAGTCTATGTAATCGATAACGTTGTTACTCGTCCTGTTGAGCTCTGGGTTTATTACTTGCCACATGCATTTACTCTTATTTGGATTTTTGTTTATTAAACGAGTGTAATATTTAATGCCCTTATGTTTTATTAAGCTACAGTATCGCACGAATAAGTCATCAGCAAATGTTTTCAAATCAGTGTTGAAAGGAAACTTAGTCTTTAGGTAAACTCAAAGGTCAAATAGTAACATTTTCATTTTAATGACGTCAGTGGATTTCGTAGTTTTTCGACTCACAGTTTTTTTTAGGAAAACTGGTGTCAAATTTGTTAGTTAAAATACGTGTAAACGCATCTATGAAATTGTTACAACCCTCAGAGTAATTTGACACAAACTCCACTCAGTCAACTGACTCAAGAACAGTGCAAAAATTTATTTTATTGGCCCTGCTAAAGACCCTTTCAATCAATGCGCAATGGTGTGTCTTCGCCGCGAACGGCACGAGTGACACACAGTCTTTCATGCTAGATATCAAACACACGCAAGGCAAAGCAAGCGGCGGGCACCTACGCGCACAAGGCAGATCTTTGCGTATGCGCGAAACGAGTCACGTAAGCAAGCGAAAAACACAAGTGAAAGATTCGTGCACCCGGCATAGGATGCACTTTACTCCCGTTACGTAACGTCAATGTAGCCACATTGACGTTTTTTTAAAGCATGAGTATTTAATAAAGTTTGGATAAACTTACAAGAATGTAGGTATGCAGATCCATACGTAAGTAGGAGCCAGCGCGTACGACGACTGGCCGCTTATTCGAAAGCAAGACATTTAGAAGTAGCCGCCTCGGTTTCACACCCATCGTGTGCCACGGGCTTTGGTATACTGCTTTTGACACGCGGTCCGCCTGAATGTAGTGAGTACCTTGTTTTGTAACTTGCTGTATTAAATTAGATATATTGTATCCAAGCGTCTGAGTTATTCGATTTTTACGGAAGTTGACCAAATTTAAATAATCTTTATTTCATATGTAACTAAATTGCACTTGTAATCATCATACTTATTAAACTCTACTGCTTATTCGTAAGGTGAGATTCACCTGAGTAGAATGAGCAAGAAACATTTGAATACATTTATCATTACAATATTTAATTTAAACATATTAGATTGAGAGTACCTAGCAAGAGCTAAACGGGTCACCACCACGGATTTTTGTCATCCAAGTACGCAGAAGTTGTATAATAACCTTTAGTATAAAGTTTTTGTTTTACTATAGTCCTAAACCTCGCAAAAGGTAAAAAATATCAATCGGAATCTTAATAAAGAAGCGTATACAATTGAACTATATTGTATACAACTGAAATCGTACAGTAGTAGACAATTGCGGCAGCGCTCGCCGCCGCGGTTGCAAGTTGCAAGACGCGTTCCCACTATGTCGTCACGTTTTATTATCGCTGGACGATTGTCGTTCTTGCTATTCCCACTGTGACGACAGTTTGTCGTTGTAACGATAAAAAATCGTGAACGAGAGTTAATCATGTCGTGCTATATGTGAACAACTTCATTTAAATATACAAGCTACGACACTGTAAACTGCACGACAATCTGTCGTCACGACATAGTGGGAACGCGCCCTAACGCCACCGCCCCGCGGTGCGCGTATGAAAGTGTGAAAAAAAATACAAGGGCGACTACAACTGCGGCTCCGCGTTGCCACTGTTGTTACGGCGCCATGTGCAATCAGCCTAACAGACTAAATTTCGTTCGCCTTTTTCCGGAAAATTCGAATGACTCAAAAGCTTGAAGTTAGAAAATCGAATAGTCGTTTTTGCGTCCAAAAATGGCACGTATGTAATGTTAATTCGTTTTTTGAAAAATGTGCAAATTAAATTAAGAGTCCCTACACATTTATGAAAAGTAAACGTAAGGTTCTGTTCTTAGGGCGCCTTCAAATTAAACGATTATAGAAGCTCTGTAACCGCGCCACTATTATATTTCATAAAATATTTAGAGGCGCAGTTGCAACGCCACTGTTGTATGTGACACGCGTACGCCACGTTGCAGTCATAAACTAACTAAACGAGCTAAAAATTACTGAAACTCTTTTACTAGCGTATAATTGTAACATATCTGTTACGTTACCTGTAAAGTAATCTGATGTCCGAAGTAGCAGTAGATGAACATGTCCAAAATGACAGCGCCTAAATACTCCACAGTTGCCATATCGAATTTCTGTAACAGATAAATGCCAAGTCCAAGACGTTGTTTTTTGTGAGGAACTATGAACTGATATCGATGACGATAGTGTCCCTTAGCTAGAGAACAATTGTTATCTCCTAATATTTGTTGTATAAATTAATTAACTGGTTTTTATTGAAAAATGAATATGAAAGTCATGGCTACGACGGCAATAACGTCGTTTGCACCTAATCAGCATAGGTACTAATAGTACTAGGTAAAATATTTCATCCATGTGATTCAACTCGATGCTGGCATGATTGTTCTCCAATCTGTGGCAGATATAGCAGAAAAAGATTCCCACATACCAAGGATACAGCATACAGCAGCGTACACAAGTACAAGGTGACTTGAATCACGCGCAACACGAGCAGCGGCGATACAAACCGCTCGAAGCGATCTTTGTAAGCGTTGATGGTACGATAGATCCTCGCACAGTCTCGTAGGGCGAAGGATGTTGCCTCGTCGAACTCTTCACTGTTAATATCTATTATAGAATAAGAAATTTTATGTTAGGTCCATTGCACACCGTATCTTTGTGCGCGATTATTTAAAATTGAAGGTCACGGTCACCATACTGAGCGGGACAGTCCCGCTTTTAAACTTCGGGTCCCGCTGCCCCCAAAATACTTGTAAATATCCCGCTTTGCCAAAACAGGATACACGTGACACGTTAAAAAAATGGAGCGATAACGAAAATTATTTAACGCCAGCCTGTCATCAACAGACTATAAAAGATAAGCTAAGTTTTTAATTTTTTGTTCTTGTTAAGTTCTTTTTAATTTTTTTTTATATTTATACATTTCCACTAGCTTGTGTTTTATTTTTAAAACAATAGTAAAATTCAAGCGTCCCTCTCTGAGGGAAGAAAATAGTGGTCACGTTATACATACCATATCTTCAATTTTGGCTCTTACTTACCAAATTGGGTCCTCTGATCCGACAAACGAAGAAACTGGAATCAAGCCAAAAGAATACTATACACTAACTAATACTATAAACTAACTCCATTGAGCTTCATGACACCGCCTATTTCACATTCAATGATCCAAACTTTAGTAAATGGGCACGATGGTAACTTTCCCGTGATATTATCAAGTCTCAATCACCCGAAAAATGGCATAAAGGCAGTGACGTAACGTATAACATATTATAGTACGTCGATGCAAAAAGGTGACGGTTTTCTGTGAGATAATATATGTACCTTAGTGAAGTGAAGTACTGCTACCTTGCCTATTTCTGCCACCAAGCAGTAATGTGAACATTAGTGCGTTCCGGTGTTGAGGGTCCTGAGTGCTGATGAACCTACCGGCGCATAGGTCTTGTCAAATACTATTATAGGCGCACAACTTGTGTCTCTCGTCACTTGCTATCATAAAAAACCTACATAGGTACGACCAAGACGCGATCAAGAATCAAAGAAAAAAAGAATATTGTGTTCTCAATAACATACCATCTGCCGATCGAAATGATATGCAGATTCAGTCATCTCAGCTTTGTTATAGATATAATTATGCTGCTCGTCCTTTAATATGTCCTTGTACGCCGCAGCCAATGCGGCATGGGGCACACCGTGCTGCAGCAATGCGGTATAGCGCACATTGCGTAGACAGCAACAGAGTAAATCTAGCTGCCCGCAGATGAGAATTGCGTTCGCTACAAAGAATACTCCTGGAAAAGTTCATTTATAAAGTTAATTGAAATAATTTAAAGACAAGCTATAGGTTACTACATAAAACAAAGCAAATCGCAACTTTTGTAATAAGGGCAGAATGTAGTAGTAAGGTTGTAAGTAAGGTTGAATGGGAATACATAAAAAAATTACAAGAATTGCAGGAAAAAGAACAATTTCATTTAGCAAACAAATTACGCATTACACACATTCAATTTAAGCAAAACGTTATGAAGGTAAAACTAGCCGCCCAACTATAGGTATAGCCGCAGCGTAGCAACAGCATTGCTATTTTGCAAGAATGAACTTAAACTACTTTGCTTTCCAAGGCGTAGACGCAATAGCTAATATGCTACTTATTATCAATGACTTGTTTGACATACTGGATTCAAAAGTTCATAACTATGGCTTTGAACGGGCACTTAATCACGATAACTCACCCATTGTTTTCGAGAAATTAGAACAGTGCAAAGATTTTCTTCTAACCGTGAGTGCCAAAAAAAACCAAACCTGCAATATAAAATTAAAAAAATCGCCTCGAAGCACGTGATTCCTCGGATTTTGTGTAGCAATACAAAGTGTGAAAGGAATATATTGTGATTTAATTGTAAATAGGAGTTCCTGTATCCAGTATATACCCTTCCAGAAGATCTCACAGGACCACATAGAGTTGTTTTTTGCCAGTATTAGATCTCACGGAGGGAGCAATGACAAGCCGACACCACGTTTATTCGAGTCCATTTACAAAAAAATATTGGTACATACTGAGTTAATCGAAGTATCGACTGGTAACTGTATTTCTTCAGAGAAAATATCGATTTTAAACTGTTCATCTGCGTTGCAAAGAATCAACCTAACTACAACGACTGAAGATAAGGAAGAGTCTCAGATCGGTACCGACAGTCAACAACATTTAGAGATAGCATCGATTTGCTTATCTCGATTTTTCTGAAAGTGCTATTGAGTACAAAGCTGGTTACGTAGTCAGCTCATTAATAAAGCACTTAAAGTGTAAAGATAAAAGTACTTTGACAGCGTATAAAGACAAAATCACGTACAGTTAGAAAAGCCAAGTACTAAAGTGAGCATTTCTGCGTTCCGGTTTGGAAGGGTAAGGTGAAATTACAGGCACAAGGGACTTGGGAACTTATGTCTCAGGGTGAAGGGCGCAGTAGCAGTGCCCAAATGTGATTTGAAGCTCTGAATGGCACTGCAACTGTTACGGAAGGCTTGTCGCTTACGACCAGACGCCCGACTTGTTCGTCCCGTCAATTGGCATTTAAAAAAAGGTCTTTCTGAAAATAGTCATTTTGATACCGACCCGTTATGACGATCTTACTTAGGGGAGTTACCGCATTTATCACCTCGAAAACGGAATATAAGAAAAAGCTTTACGTCCATGCAATAAGAGCGAAAAAGATGTTCCTTTCGTATTTTTCAGACAAATTACAGTCCCATATGAGACTTTTGAACTTATGTCTCAGGGTGACTGGCGTAGTGACAGGTCTAGGATCTTTGCGATTTGAAGCTCTGATTACTCAACTGTTATGGATAGGCGTGTCGCTTAACACCAGGCGCACGACTTGTTCGTCCCGTCACTTGGCATTAGGTATAAAAAAAGATTTCGGTGATTGTTTTTCGTTGGAAAGGAGATACCTCAGTATTGGACCCATTCAAATTTGAAAAAAATATTCCACCTCGAAGGTTGACAAATCAGGAGATGAATCCGGTTTACTGATTTAAACAAAACTTGGCAAATGGATGTAGGTAATTCCTTTACTAACAGGCTAACGAATAGTGTTTAGTAAATGTATAATTAAATTACGAACTTCGGAGCTTACCAAACTGCCCAAATGCCAAACCAATAAAAGCTTGACCGACAGTATGAAATAGGAACACGATGACGTACGTAGGGCCTCTTGTGACATCCATGTAGATCCATTGTTGGATTGGCATCTTCGTCCATACTGCATAAAACATTGCAATATTACATTACAAGTGGTACAGTAAACTCTAGTGTACCACGATTTCATGGTCTCCTTTTATTTAAGAAACTATGTTATTTAGAAGAAAACAATCCTTATGGTTAAGGTTTTCGATCAGTACCTATAGTAAACTTGCACGTTGAGTCCACCAGTATCCCCTAACCCAATCCCCCAGGGGATCTTTGTGAACTCAGCGGTTCATTAGAATCCCCTAAGTTAAATGTATGTAAAGTTGCTATCACATTGCGACAATAAATAATTACTTATTGTACCGATCGAATGATCGGGATTTCTTGTCGTTTTCGAACCTTTTTTTACTTAGGTACCGACTGGCTAGAAATACAACGGCATCAATAAAATTACATTAGTGTAGAAATTAAAGGCTGTCCATAAACCTTTGCCTTTCCGCAAGGAAAAAGAAAGAAACAACAACAATCTTTCTGTGCTTTAAGAGGGAGCATGCCAAAAAAGTTTTAAAAGTAAAAAGCTTTAAAAGCATTAAAAGTACCAAATTCGTTTTAGCGGAATAACTCTGAAACTAAAGGGATTTAAAAAAATCCCTAGTGACAGTTCTCGCCGATCATGCATGAATATAATTAATTATCTAATTTTTGTCCTGATAACCTGTAGCATTTCGAGGATGAATCGAAAAAATGTGAAAATTGGAGGTCATTTCGTAATTTTTATGTATCGAGGAAACTTTATTGTTTTATGTTTCTGATTAGTGTCTATGCTTGAATATATCGTGTAGTTACTAATACAATATTTTATTTTTAACTTTAAAGTGGATATACCCCTGTAAAATCAAATCGAAGATTAGGAATTTTTCCTCTGCTCCCTCTTAAGGATAACGGTAATAACAGGCGCGTGTGGGGGCGCCCACTATATTGACATTTATTTTTGAGAACACAGGTATAAGTTTAAACACTATCAAAGCAATAAATAAATACTTACAATGCACAAAAACGGGTAAAGTAATATACATAATAACACTGAACAAAGTGCAAGCAGTATAAAAATAAGCGAAGTTCTTCGCCTTCGCGTAACTCTGATACATCGTAGTATTAGTCAATCCTTTCGCTGAGTGAAATACAAATTCCTTGTTCAAAAAGTCTAATAGCTCGTACATCTCGTTTTTATAAATAGCTAAATAAACCACGATGAGCACAGATACTATCAGAGGCAGGCCGTCGGCGATTTTGACTAGGTTTTCCATAATTGCAGTCCACTCAGTGTACAAATTCACAGTCAAGGCTATAATCATGTTAATCAGTACAAATAACACCATGCACAAGTATACATCGTTGATGATAATCTGATACTCTTTTGTTGCTCTCGGATACCATTGCCAACAACCAACCATTTTCAAAGGTAGAACAAGATAATGCGTGTAATCATGTACTTTTTCTATATCCGCCATCTTGCAGTTTTCTTGATTAAGTGTTGTAACAGTCAACCGTGACCATGGGACCTGTAAAGGGCCCGAAACGTCGGTTTGTTTGAAACAACAAATATACGCGATTTAAATCCGGAAAAATAGTTTCATTTCCTATGTGTAACAATTGCGAAAACCTAAGAACTCGATAAGTGTTGTAATGTAAAATGTGCTCAGGAATTTACCCAAAAAATGCACTCAACTATAGATTGATTTCTCGTAGAACTCTGCCACTTTTTCGATTGTAAGCTATTATTTATTTGGGTGTGTAATGTGTCATATAAGTATTTTGAACCTAACGCTCATGTAATACAGTTTTATTAACCGACTAAAAAAGGAGGAGGTACTCAATTCGAGTGTATGTTTCTTTTTGTATGTACTTATGTTACGCACTAACTACGGATTTGGATGATTCTTTTTTGTCAAAATACTCAAATTCATTTATTCCAAAATTTACAAAATGCATTTATGAACAATAATAAAATGTATAACCTAAAGATCAGCACAAGGCTTCGTCAATAGGTAATCTAATACAAAAAAAAGTGAGATTCACGTTAAATATACTTAATTTAAAAAGAAATCCCGCCCTGTATCGTGCCCGGGGCAAAAGTTCCCATTATACTGGCAGCATTGCCTCGCTGGACAGCAATGGACACCTGCTGAACCAACCACGACCCAGAGCGGGCTTTTTTGTTAGAAAGAGGATATCTCACAAGTGGTCCCATTTAAATTTGAAGAAAATATAGGGTGGCAAACTAAGGGATGAATGACTTTTGAGGTCGGTTTTATAATTTCATTTTCATTTGTAGTGTATTTTATGTATTTTTTATTATATTTATTTCAATATTTTACGTTTTGTGACATTCATTGCATATTTATCACATAATTGATACATTGAGTGCACGAGGCACACAAAGACTCTCGCTTCACAAGGATAAACATACAATTATTCCGTTGTTTGGACAAGGCTTTCTTTTTTAATTTTTCAAATTGTAAAATGTGGTTAACCTTAATTAGTTTCACTAAATTAGCATAATTCCTAAATTGTAACTCTTGTGGATGTAAACTCTTGTTGACCCGAATAAATAACATAAAAAATAAAGACTATTATTACAAACGAGAATTATATAAAATTAAATTATAGGAAATGTTTTTAGTCCAAGCGAAAATTATTTCAATTAAAATGAGCGTCATATCTATTAAAATTAGTTTATTTTATCGAGTTCTTAGGTTTTCGCTATTGTTAGGTACACATAGGAAATGAAACTATTTTTCCGGATTTACATCGCGTATATTTATTTTTTCAAATAAACCAACTTTTCGGGTCCTTTACAGGTCCCATAAAAAGATAAATAGTTTCATATCCTAGTTTATTTTATTTTCACACTTATGGGGCACGTTCTTTTACTTGACCGACTCGACTATGTTCTAATAACTAAACAGCGATGTCAGAGGTACCCGGCGTGTCTCACTTCGCTTTTTTTACTTTTAGGGAATTAAATCTTGTAATGTATAACAACACATTTGATAAGAATTCAGACGTAACCTTACACAGAGTAAAACGTTAGTTTTACAGTAATTATTAAATACATATAATCTAACGTGGTATATTAATCAAATGTAGTACACTTGTATTCAACAATGGATAGAAACGATAAATGACAACTTCATTATAAGTACAGCTAAACCAGTTAAATGTGTAACATGTTGAAATACTAGTTGTTTGTCTGTCTGTAATATTTCAGGTTGGTAGCAGGCAGGCAAGCCCGCGCGGAGTTCTACACAAGAAGAGACGCGGCCCCAAGTGCTCATGAGGCCCCCTAATGTCTACCTTAATAGAACCACCAATCCTACCACAAAAAAATGACTGAATATTGGTTTAATAGCAGCTGTTAAAACAGTTTGGTTAAGAACATTTCACATGTTAATCAATTTTTGGTAAAGAAAATCTCTGTTAGAAGAACCCTATATCTAAAAAAAAGTTATAAGCCTCCACTTGGCTAACGACGGTGCACAACAAAACCTGTTTTCAGGTAACTTGAAGTCAACTAATAATACTGTAACTAAACGATAAGCAAAACCAAGTTACAAACAAGTAAATTCACATTATAGAAATCAAAGAAATTAACAAAACCAATTAAAACTTTTAACCCTTTAACTTTAACTACGGAAAGTTCAAAGATAATTGTAGTATTAACTAGAGTCAAGATTTGCTTAATAACTATTTATAATTGTTAAAGTCCTTAAGTAGCTAGTAATTATGCACTAATATGAAATTTTCCGAAGTCCAATTTAAATTTGCCTAAGTACGTGTGTTTGAAGTTTTTACTAACAATATAGGTAGTGTTGGGTCATGGAAAAAGTTCTAATTTGCAAAAATATTTCAGAAACATAAATTTTTTTTTTTCGAATATCTTTCCAATACTATTAAATTTATTTCCATATTTAATTCCATATTCCAAATTTCCCAAATTGTACATTTCGAGAAACACAGATGGCGGTAGTGAATTTCATTCCTTTGCTCGTACACGTTAGGGAACTACACTTATCGACGGCATGCGGCATTGCTTTAAGCCGGTCAGTAAAACTATTATGTCCATGTAGTGTTGGATCATGGAAAAAACGTTATTTTATCTAATAAAAAGTATTTTTAACGCAAGAAATTCCTCTTTATTATATTTAGATGAAGATAAATAGCTGTACATGCACAATTTAGGACAATCATAATAAATAAATAGAAAGACATTTATAACAAGGTAGAAGTGAATAATAGCAAGGTACGTTCGTAATAAATAAATTTAAACAGTTTCAACATCAACGTGTTGTATTTAGCGAATGGCTCACTGGCAGCCTTGTTGCCGTTCCGTCTTTGTGATCGTCAATATGCGGAGCGCGGTACGGTATCTAAAGCTAGGGAGGGGCGGAGAGTGACCATTCTCGTTACTATTTTATTCCCTGCTTTGGTCACTTTGGTGAAGGGTCACTTATCTACTGCATTTTTTTATGACACCATTAATAATACTTTAAAATCCAATTTCGACTTCCTAGGTTAGTAGTTTTGTCCTACGATGCTGTAAAACCGTTTCCGGAAATCCGAAATTTAAAAAGAATAGTTTATTAATATTCGGTGGTTCTAACAACTTATAACACCTTTTTCCGATCGTTGCTCATAAGTAAAAATGGAAGTAAATTAATTTGCTACTTCGTGAAGCCAGTCGGGGATAAGTCGTGCAAAATAGCCGTTAAAAATGTCAAAAAAAAAACAACACACGCGCGGCTGTTTTGCACGATTTACTTCCATTTTTAATAAGTAATAACGCTTGAATAGATTAATTACTTAAGAGCTCGTAATATGATTGTTGTACTAACATATCTGAAATAAATGTATAATAATAATACATTTATTATTATTATGATTTTTATCTCTGACCAGCTCGAGCGGATCACGCGTTAATTGGTGTGGTAAGTCCCTTATGAAGGAGGAAGGAAATTTATTCGTGGGAATGAATAATATATTAATAGCATAAATAAAGGAGGTGAAATAAAACAAACACAAACATTTGGAACAATTTAATAACTTTCGCATGCAAAATACAAAAATAATGTAACAAAATGTATCAATAAATATATACTGTATTTATGTAATACCTATTATATTATTTAATTATTAAATTTGGCCCGATTCCGCCTCTCTGTAAATAACAGATATGTTTGTTTTAATCAACAGCTGTTTAAATAATACTTTGTCAGTTATAATTACTTATTTGTACACGGGTAATTGTGGCGAATGATCCATATGTCGCAATGTTCATAGTCTTGTATTAAGAAACACTACATAACTCGGGTTTAAGCATACCTCATCGACAATGAAGTATGGCCTACACCCTCTATTTAAAGGAGACCCGTGACCCACCGTGAGACGTATTGTAAATTGTGAAATAAGTTTTACTGTGGGAACCTTTAAGGTTTTAAGAAACTCCAATACTTTGAGATGTTTCCCTATGGGTTGTGTTGAAGAATTGGAAAAAAGAATTGACGCTATTGGCATTAGTGGTATATCTGTTTAGAAACAGCCTGAGTTAACGGGCAGAGATGGGCAGTGGGTTAAAACCCAATCAAAGGTAGATTGGGTTTTAACCGAGTTTTTGAGGAAGCCAAAATAACTTTATTGAAAGCATATTGCCAATCCTTCTACACGGGTGGTATGTGGGTTAACTATACGCAGAAGGAACTCGGCGCCCTGCGCGTTCAATGTAATAACGGTTTCAGGGTGCTGTTGGGACCACCGCAATACTGTAGGGCATAGTCGATGTTTGCTCAAACTTTTTTGCTGTGATGCGGAAAAAGACGGCGTCACTACTCTCTAGACTGCATTCTAGTCCTAACAGCATCCTGAAAACGACTCAAACGATTCGATGCGCCAATGCTTCGTCATTTCGTCCAGGCTCTAGTGAGGTGATGCGGTAGTCGACGGGGCCTCAAGCGAAGTAATGTGTGTATTTGTTTTGTCTCTGTATCTACTAACAATAGTCATAAGTTTAAAAAGTCTGTATTTACTAACAAGTGAGCCTTGGATGCCAAATAAATTATTTACTACTTATTATTATTATATCTATTTTAGACTCTTATTATTGTTATTATTTAATCCACTCCTGCGCAAAAACGGCGAATACGGGATTTGGTATAATACCAATATACTATTTACAAATTTTGATGATAAAAATATTTTTTAAACGAAAAAGAGGCAACTCCACACAATTACCTTGCAATCCTGTGGAATCTCACTATTAAGGATGTAACATTATGATTCGAATTTTATGAAAATCGATTCAAGTGCATACGATCTAACGATTTTTTGTATCGATTTATTTCAATGATATTTTCAAGCGAATCGAATGGTCTAGGTCAGAAAGAAAGAAATAAACATTTTTTAATAACATCATTAAATTTGAACAACTCGATTTACTGTACTCGACTTCGGGCATTAATGGGTTTTAACCCGCTTCATTTTATTTTGTTTTATTTTCTGCTTACTGTCTTTGGTCACGGATTTTTGTATGTTCGCTTAATCATTTTGTCGTCGACTGTAATCACGGGATAAAAATACTTACTTCTCCTTGGATCGCCTCTGCGCGATTCTATAAATTCTCCTCAACTCCAGCAATGCTCTCATTATCACAACCAATTGCTGTTCGAAATCACTCTTCTTTATGTTAACAGTCAGACCCTTGTGCTTGCATATCTTCACATAGAGACTCCATATCGCTGAACGGACATGACATAATTCCACGTGGCGTTTGGCAGCTGTTTCTTTGAGACGGTTGAGTGCTAGCTCCCATTTGATTACCCGGTTCCTTACTTTATCATAGCGCCACTGCGAAAATGCAAAGAATTAGTGCTAGGTTTTGACGTGAAACATTTAGAATAAAGACCCGTGGCTTCTTGTTTAAAAGATCGACTGTTGCAGTAACTGTGACAAAAACACCTTTGCCTTTAATTTGAAAGTTACTCTACATTTGTGGATGTTTATTAGCAATACTTCTCGATAAGCCAGCAAGGCTAACGTGACCATTCTATTTTTCCTTCAGAGCGCCTATAAATTTATTATTGTGTTAAAAATAAAATACATGTTTATGACAGTTATATACGGAATATCGTTGCCTTACTTTCTCAAACTCGTATCTTAAAGCACAAAGTTACTGAAATGCAAAAAATGGATTGTTTATACAAATTTTGCAGGCTTATGTCACATCGCATTTCCTTCATATTCACACTGGCTTTTACCTATTCCTAAAGTAATGCATACAAATGAACACACTGGATAAGAAACTTAAAATAAATAGAAAGTTTTGCCATCTCCTGAAAACTCTTTATAAGATACGAGTTTGAGAAAGTAAGGAATCGATATTTAATGATAATTTTTTTTTTAAAGTACTAAAAATGTTTAGTAATCAAAAATAAAAAAAAGAACTAACGTAGTGTGGCTAGCTTTAAATATTTTTAGGGATGAGCAAATTTTCTTTAATACGTGAGGTTTAGATTTTTCCATCTATGCCACGGCAATCACCGCCAAAAACAAGACACGCGCAGTACGGACGCACAAACAAAAGAACCGGGCGTCAAAGCTTTTTTTTAAATAATCACCTATATTAAATTTATTTTTACCTGTTTTGTCAAAGCGTCAAGCTAACATTTTTAAGCCTTTTGGGGGTAGCGGGACACGAAGCTTAAAAGCGGGACTGGTCTGGACGTATGGTCACATGGTAATGAAATAAATCGATCGACTTAAAACGTTTCACGTTAGAGCGATGCCACAAGATGCTTTGCGGCGGCGTTGCAACGCATGTGCTGCGACGCTGCGTTTTACTAATTTTTTTTATAAAATTTTAAAATTTATAAGACGCAAGGGTTAATGGGCGTTAACTAGCCTTAAAATAGTAAGGGCTGTTAAAATGAAGATGTTAAAAAAAGATGTTTTCAAGAAAGTCAAAGCTCTTCACCTGCAGAGTCACAGATGGGTAGCAAATAGAGATAGTAAGCGTCCGGACCCCACAGATGCGAGAACCAAATAATTAATTACCTTGCCATTGTGGCAAGTTTAATGGCTTATCTCTAACCAATCACGTGAACCTGTGTTTTCTCAGTATTAGCTCACTAACTAAACTAGGGTATAGATATAAATTAGAACTACATGTCACATGCGTTGAAATGGATCGCGGTGACGTAAGGAGTACGTGACACACAAGGGCCAGGAGAGGAAGCGGGGACGGGTGCTACGTCGTTACGTTGCGACACCGCATGGCCAGTGTAGTATCGCTCTTATACCAGCAATCGTGTGCATCTATCATTTACAAAACTACTGTTTTTTTTTTAAATAATTATGAATACTAAGATTTAGAAAAAAAATCCTTTGATCCGGCCAAATTCGAACCAACGTCTTCTAGCAAACCGTTGTCGGATCTTTGTATTTGGTTTTCAACGACTTTTCAGCCGTAGCGCCATCTATGAGAAATCCATGAAAGTATTTCGTCACACAGTTAGGCACCTTTACAGCTACCAGCCCTGGCTAGAGATGTCGCTATTCACTGTAATTGTATTGTTTTCTTTATTGGTTTTATATTAATGTGAGTCGATCACGTATTGAGGAACCGTATTGTACTACAATGTGAATTGTCCATGATATAGTGATAAAATATTTACTCTCAGATTAGCGAGCGTGTTATTCAGCCCCATGATGAAGAGCTTCTTCTCCTCGGTGAGAGCTGCAATCTCCTGACGAGCGTTTTCCAACATCTCCAGATCTCGCTCTTGACGATCAGCCAACGTGCTTTTGGCGGCAGCTAGAAACCACGTTGTTACTAAGGCATACCTGTTTCTCATACTGCAAAAGCCTGGAGTTAGTGCATAATTAATTTACATTTAGAAATTCAAATTGTTCAATCTCATTGATGTAATGTATTACAAGATAATTAGCAACCGCGTTTTTAATCGAATAGAAAGATAGAACTATTGCTACTCAACGCAGAGGGGAAACGTGGCGATCCTTTAAAATTAAAACAAAATTACACATTTTTAAAATGTACGGAGTATACGTTATAGAAAAGATGTAGTTTTGTTACTATTAACAAACTGATGACCTTCCTTGAAGTATTTACGCCGCCGTACTAATAAAGGTTTGTTTTGTTTTTTATAGATAACTTCGGATTTCTATGGAGGAAACTACAAATAATCGTGTTTCTAAAGGGCCTGATTTATAGAGTGAATCCTTAAATAGGTACATTAATTTCATAACTAAAGCTTTTGTAATAACGATAGAGCAAGGGATCAAACGAACGCAATTATTTCGCAATTACGTATCGCTGCCTCGGCGCAGTCTTCAAGTTCAGTAGCCCTTTTCCCAGTTTCATGACCAATCTACTTGAAAATTTGCTTTTTTGCTATCCGATAACATATTAACCTTCAATTTTTAAGTTCTTTGCGTTCGACCACCATGATATATAATATTTTTATGAAATTACTCCACTAGTTTGATATAATCGTTGATACAATGATCGAACACTTAAAGGGGGCATTCGTTATCCTGCATTGCAGTCTGCCTTGTCGTCCGCCGCGTAATGCAGGGTTATGAATGTAGACGCAGGTTGAAAGCCATCCTGCAATACGTCCTGCGAGACTTCATGCATGGGATATTATACGAAGGATAGTGTGTGGCAGTCTCCTGTCTGCGCGGCGCAGTGACATGCAGGTAGTGAATTGACCGTTTAAGAAAAAAATCCTTCCATCCGGCTGGATTCTAACCGACATCTTCCAGCAAATCGTGCCAGACCAATTTATCTATATGCTTGTCGCAGATCTTTGTTTTTCCTTTTTAACGACTTTTTGCCGTAGCGCCATCTATGAGAAATTTATTTCTTCACTCAGACTACAAATAACCTTTATTTCTGCTGTGACCAGGATAGCCTGTAGACCACCCAACTCCTCAACTACTTCCAGTAGAATTAATGTCTCTGGGCTCATGAAATTGATCTCGTCGAGTTGTTGGCTTACAGATCTATACCTCCAATGAACTTACGCCATCTTTATCTTTTGGTCACTTTCTGTTATTTTGTAAACAGCCATATTTATTTACTAATATTATGTTTCCCGATTTTTATAAGAAAAAAATAAAGAAACAAAATTCGAAAACATACAAAAAAATTAATTTTGTGAAAAAATAAAGAAACAAAAAACAAAATAAAAACAGAACAGGCCCAAAAATTAAGCTGGCATAGTGTTCATTGGAGGTATCGAGATGGTAGTTTTATTTGACTTTTTGGGGTTATATACACTCAGGTGTATTGTGAATTTGAAAAATCTACTCCAGGAATACTTACCTAATGCTTCATAGCGATTCAAAACATCCAGAGGTTGCTTGAATTCTGGGTACGCGTGCACGATTGACATGAGGTAGTCCTGGAATAAAACATGTTAAAACATTGTATTCTATTAAACCTTTCCGTACTTAATCGACTATTTTAAGCTTTAAATCATAAAGATCTGAGAGACACTGCCACTGCGCCCGTCACCCTGAGACATAATTCGACAAGGGCATGTAATTCCATCAGCACCTTCACCCTTCAGAACCCGAACGCAGTAATTCTTGCATTACGGTTTGGCGGTAAGGTGGCAGTACTTCTCTGGACGAACTCTTTCACAACGAGCTTTGCTGCTTTTTTGATTTGAGAGAACTATTTTGGTTTCGAACTTTTTTATTGAAAAGCAGAAGTTACGAATATAGGTATATTCGTATAGGTTCCGCGGTTCCGCGGTTACATGTCAATTTCAGAACATTGTAAACGTATAAATGAGTGTGTGCATTATTATAAACGTTTAAGAGTCCAAGTTAATATTTGAACATTCCTTTTACTGCTACGATCAAATATATTGAATTGAAGTTTTGCTGGATTATAGAGTTTCTCTATGTTAATTAGGTTTATTCGCGTGTTCCCATGAAGCTTTAACGACTTCCGAAATTTGTATTTTTACAGGAACAGCAAGAAGTGGTTATCCGAAATCTCGATTGCATGAAGTTGATAACGACTTCACGCATTAACTGCATGCAGTCGAAACCGACTTCATGCAGCCGAGATATCAACTTCATGCAGTCTTGGTCTCGGTTGCAAGAAATTGATTACGACTGCAAACATGTAATCAATCTTTTAGCAGCCTAAGATTGGGTACGTGAATCACGTGAGAGCGGCACGAGCGCCACCAACAGCGGAACTGAAGCAGTTGCCATAGCCGAAAATGGTCAGGAGAATGTATTAATGCATTGCTCCACAACCACAGCCCAGGGAACCAAGGAAAGGGAGGAAGGAACGGAAACTCATCTCTGGAGCTGTGTCGTCAGTACCACCGAGACGAGGTGTCCAGTTCGACGAGGACGGTTTCAAAAAGGTGGAAAAGAAAAAGAAGTACATCAGACGTAACCGTAATGGCACCGCCTCGACTGGCTCCAATCAACTGTTGCGTCCAACGGTACGTTGCTATACATGTCACTTCATTACTCCACAAAGTCTGCGGCTATTGTAGAGAACACATGGGTGAAAGCCAATACTGCCCTGAGGGTCGAGCAGTTGGAGTCCCGCCACAATATGAATTTTAATTAATTTGTAGTAAGAGCACCAACTCAACATCTGTCGACCTTCATGAAGGACGACTTTCGGTTGAAGGGTGTCATATTCCGGCGTTTCCGAGGACGGCTACCGGACACCCACGTTGCGTTACACGTCGCGGTCCATACGTGTAAATACACAAATAGTGTTAGTCTTTTTGTATTTATTTATTTATTTTTATTGTATTATTATGTATGTTAATCTATATAAGGTATGTATTTATGGGTCTTTTGTAACCTGGACATAAATAATAAAAAAAATCCTACTGTCTTACCTCGTAAATAGTATATTCCTTGACTTGCTGCTCCATTAGCTGCTTCACTTCTTCCATCTCAGCGACACGCTGCCTCATGGCTTCCGTCTCTTTTGTCTTACGCTCCAGAACTTCAGTATCCGCCTCCATCTTGCGTTCTGCACGATCACGTTTTTCTTGGTTTTCTCTAATGAACTGTTTAACGCATAAGTCAATCATACTGATTATCAGTCCGATCACGTCCACAGCTGAGTCTGTACAAGACTACTACGCACTAGCTCCAATGTTATAGTTAAGAAAACTAGATTTAACGTTTTAGTGTTTCACAAAAATATATTCTATTGCGCTAAACCAAGACTCTAAGACTATCGAAGAATAAAGGGTTTATTCATATAAAGTGTGTTGCAACAGTTTAGTGCTGTTGCGAACATGTCTTCAAACCTTATTGAAGCTGATAAAAGACTCCTTCAACAGTAGTTCTTTTTCCCTCAAGTCCTTCCACTTCTCGTCCATGATGAGACGGTTCCTCTTCTCTTCCTCGCGCTTTTCAGCGAGCTTCTCTTCGGCGTCCATGAGGTCTCGTCGCGCCTGCTCCATGAGGACTTGAGGCGTGGGACGGGCCACGTCCCATACTGGATATTTTCTACGGTTAGTAAAGAAAAACATACCGTTTAACCGCCCTAATAAGTACCCGCATAATAAAGCCCACTGTCCATTAAGATTGAGAGAACCTATTAAAAATAAGTTATTTTGACTAAAGAGATCACACAGGGAGAGCTTTACCACGAACAATCTTGCGAAACCTATACATTTGTGTACTCGTAATGTGTCAATGTATGTGTATATGAGTGCTAGCGTTCTTTTGAATTGTTTATACCTAGGTAAACCAATGAGAAAGTATTGAGAATGGTAGACGAGAAAAGTACGATCCTGAATACTATGGAGTACAGACGTGGGAAAATGATTAGATATTTGATACGACATGACACTTCTTTCGAGGGGAAAAGGGGAAGAGGCGCAGTTATATAGACCAAATAAAGGAAAAGGCCGGTGTCGTGTCGTAAAAGGAAGTCAAGGAGCTGGCTTATAAGAGAAATGACAGGAAGATGCTCCACCGACAAGAGTATAATTCTTAAGTTCGATGATTATACCTAGGTAGGTATAAACAATCTAAAACAGCACAGGTATAGGTACGGTATTTGAAATAACTATTACAAGTGATAAATGCGAACAATATTTAAAAGTGTTTTTCTTAAGGGGAATCTGTTCTGTCGTATTGCATGTTCGTTATTTAGACGTTTTCAATGACGTAATTTTTTATCTATGAATATAGAAATATTAATTTTGAAGTCAAGTATATTGAAATGTACATTGTACGTAAACGTAGTAATTAAGATTTTATCAGGTACTTGAACATTATCAAAAAAGTTATAAAATGCATTGACGTCATAAATAAGTTCACCACTAAAGAACTTCAAAAAAAGGTTGGCATTACCGTCACCCTTTGGTATCAGGGTGGGAGATTATAAGCTTAACCTGCAATCGAATATTAGGAAACATTTATCCCAGCCCTTTGTAGGTGGTACATTAACCGAACATTATGAAATTGTCCTTTTTTCAAAACCATGAATAGGCTCATTTTTGATACTCTTCATCTGCGTTTCAAGTTCTGAAATTTAGAATTGCTTATGGAGTTCTTAGGTTTTCGCGATTGTTATACGTAAGAAATGAAACTATTTTTCCGGATTTAAATTAGTAACTATTAATCACGTTTGACCTTTGGACCCTTATAGGTCCCGAAACGTTGATTTGTTTAAAAAAACAAATATACGCGATTTAAATCCAGAAAAATAGTTTCATTTCCTATGTTTCGCATTGCTTGAAATTCAGACTAGTTTTGACTATCTCGGTGGCCCAACGGTTTGCAATATGAGGTTTGGATTCTCGGTAGGACCAATTAGGGAAATAAACTTTTCTTGCCCAGGAGTGAATTTCGTTGCTCTGGCAGGTACTCATAGTACAAGGAAGTCCCTAGTTTCAGAACCGGAAATTGGTGTGCTTCTAGCACATTCTTCTTCTTCACGTCCTTATCCCACGCTAGGTGGGTGGGGTAGGTTCTTATCCACATCATCTTTCACACAATCCATCCATCTTTTCTTTGGCCTTCCTTTCCCGCTTATCTAGCACGTTGTTATATAAAAAGTTAGATGGTTACTGTTCACGAACCCCCGTCCTAGCCACCAACCGCCACAACAAACATTTGAACCCAATCAGTCGTCGTTGCAACCTCGTTTTACCACATCCACAGATTTCTCCACAGAACATCGCCGACGTCCAGTTGATCTTTAGATATGCAAACAAACTTACTTAACCATATTCCCGCTTTCCATCTTCGACTTGAAGTATTCATCAACAGCCTCCACCGGTGGGCCATGGGGAATGGCGATGGGAGCCAGATCTTTTAATTTCTCTTTCGTGAACATATTTCTAGTTTACTACAACTTTGTGATCTCTTTACAATACTAGCTGTATTTGTTTCTTTTGGTAGAAGGTACAGGTATCTATCTGTATTTTACTTAATCCGGTTTTTTTTTAAATTACTGGTGGTTTGCTTCCAAGTGTGGCAGAAAATGAATGGCAACTAAAAATTAAATAAGCAAATAAACAGACTGGTTGCTTAGCAACTGACATAGAAGTTGAGATAATAATAGGCACCTACCTACCATAGATTTAGTAAGTATACTAAATTTATGGTACCTAATTACCTCGCTTGAAAATCTTTCGAAGTAAGTTTTTCCATCCTTTAAGTTCGATACTGACACTGGCCCATCTGGCCTTTAATGGCCGCCATTAAGGAAATAATCTTATATTATACCTTTAGCGTCCAGTTACACGAGGCGAAAGTTTTGTGTAGTTACCACGCCTTTACGACGCTTATTTAAGTTAAAACGTAAATGCTAAAAAATAGAGCGTATTTTGCCATGACAGAAGAGTCGGCGACGGCGCGGCGGCCGCGCGGGGTTCAAAAAAAGAGTGTGTAATGAATCATCTTGAAACACTCTTTTTTTTTAAGTAAATAAACATTGTTATTTTATTTATATTTATTTTTTAAGTTTAATGTCATTGATTTATCACATTTGATCACAGTAATTTATTCTCAGCCGTCGTCGCTCCCCTTCCATTTTTCATTCAGTCATAAGTAAGATGGCTCAGCGCCTCTTCGATTTTGAACCATTTCCAAGATGTTTCTGCGCTCCTTTTTCTTTTGTTACCTGTGGTCCCTAAGCTAACTAACTTAGTTTAATATTTATAAAATTAAATCTCAAAACTTGATGCCTGTATACAATGTATATCTCTCGTCTATGAGATATCTATGCGTAGCGTGTGGAGGTCTGTATTCACTGCCTATACCTATGATTCACCAAGGATTCTGATTAATCTTCTTGATTTTGACATGTAACTAGCGTGAAAACTCCTTGTTAAGTAGGTAATTAATTATTTCCTTATAGGATGGAAAAAAAATAAGGCAAATAATTTCATCGCGCTGAAAAATTGTTCGAAATGCTTACGCCCTTCGAGTTCAAAGAAAAAAGTTGCAATGCAAGGCAAAATGTAGTACTTAGCAATATACGTAATATACTACATTAACAAGAGAGAATATATTCAAGCTCATGTGATTTTTATAAAAAAAAACATGTTAGAAGTACTTATGTTTAGTCCGTTATACAAGTAGTGCATGTGAGTAAATATATAAAATACCTTATTTTGTTATGACTTGCGGCCCCACTGAATAAATGTGTATTATCAAAACTCCAACTTTACAGGAAAAATAAATAGAGTATGTAAAAACTTTCAAAAACTTATATTTTATAATAAGTAAAAACTTCAATAGCTCTGCATTAGATACTTATTTCGAGAAAATGTGTATTTGAAAACAATGCAAATAAATGAACCTGCATTTATATGTCATAAATGGAATTTTAAGTTTTTTATAGGTGTCATATAATTTATTTATGTTTTCCCTCCTTACATTTCAACGACTTAAATAGATGAATAATTATAACAAACTAGTGGAGTAATCTCACATAAGAAATAATTGAATATCAATTCAATAAAATATTTTAATTGATTTTCTTTATTAAAAAATTAGGAGATAAATTACAGCGTAGTAAAAAAAATTGAGTAAACAATTTTGCACTTTCATTAGGGGGATGCCGATGACTGCAGAGTTGTTTTAGGATAAGTTTGTAAAATCAAAGAGTTTAAATTACCTAAGAACAGATGGCAGCGCTTCAAATGGCTACATTGACAAAACTTGTCCCATTGCACAGGTGATATTTGAACAAAAGTGTACAGCTTCACTAAATGTGGAAGAAAGAATACAACAGACACATTATAATCAAAAGCAGAGAATAAAACAAAGAACTATTCATATAAGCTTTATTTACAACAACTTCAAATGTCCAGTAACTTTATCAATCACATCCTTAGGAGCCGGTCCCACACCCAACACTGTTATTGAATTGGGTGCTATCTGAGTTCGCCCTGCATCACGAATTAGTGAAGTGATGAGACCCATCTTCTTCGCGTTATCTGCTATTTGCTTTATTTCGTCTACTGTGTCAGTTTTAAGAGCCACTTTTGCTTGTCCAGTCATTTGCCAGCACTTTAGACCTTCTGGGTCTCGTTTTTGCGCCTTTTCAAACGCACCTACCGCAGCGTGACTGCATTGTGCAGCGATCTTGCCTTTACCCATATTTAAGTCTGTCCTTACCACTAAAACTAGCTTGTATTCCGAGTTTGAAACGAACTGAAATCAAAGTTAGGTTATAATTTATTTTGGTGAAAATCTATATGAATCCAGAGTGACAAAAGGAATTTATAGATATGGTAACCAGGAAATGGAGTAGTGTACCTTCTTTACAGCCTTTGCAGAGTCAGGAAGCGTACCAAAATACTTCTTTAAAGCGTACATAGAAAAACCTAGGCAGATACCACATCCTAAGCCGGTCCAGAACGAAATGTTAAAATCCATTTTTTTACTAGTGGCTGAAATGCTGACAGTGTTTAGTGAAAAATAGCTTTAAGTAATTTAACAAGCACGTTTTATTTCAATAACAAATATTATAAACAGTTTAAAAATGCAGGCATAACTTTTTTAACATCGCTAGATTGACGTATGAATGACATTATTCATTCTTTTTGTCCAAGAAGGGGTAGCTAGGGTCATACGCCATACTGCCTCATCAATTGTTGTTGAATTAATTTTTGTTTTTGGTCATCTCAAAATGTATTGATAATGAATTTTCATGAGAAAATATCCATTACTATTGAACAGTCTTATATACATGTTCATTGATAGTTTCAATCAAAATTAATATAAGTAGGGCCCATGGGCGTACTCAGGTTCTGGGTAAGGTGGGCAAATCAGATATTTTTGAAGCTGGGTCTCGTGCGCTTGTTTTGCCTTACACACTACACGAAAACACCTAGTACCTAAGTATAAACGGGAAACACCCGCAGGATACCCTGTTAATTCTTTATAGGTGCCTAGTCAAATAAATAAACAAATTAAAATAGGTATTTTTTATTTAAATTCTTTAATTATATAGGATGGCTATTTTAAAAGTTACTTTCGAGGATCTTCAGCCAAACGGTTTATGATGTCCTCCGTGTAAGAATCGCATATAGCGTTAACAAATATTCTATATATGTATACACTGAGCATATAAAGCCCATTTAATCTGTCTTCGATCATAATTGATCTCAGCCACGTTCTTACGCGTCTGAATGTGCTGAATTATCTTTTAATTGTAGCAATTGAATAATTAATTAATTAACGCATATTATATCGTATCGTATATTATATCGTATTGCAAAATGAGAACTTTTACCGACAACACTAGATAGTTTGGAGGTAGGCATAAAATATATATATAAGTAGTTACAAAATGTACAGCTGCCCCTGGGGTACGCCCATGGTAGGGTCCGCCTGTGGTGTGCAGGCGCCGCCGCCGCGTTTTTAAATGCCTACACTTCACATTTTATTTTATTTTTACATCACAGTACTCTCGTGCTTTACAGAAGTAACCTTTGTTCAATGCGGTAGGGTAACTTACGTAACTATTTTTATACCAACATCGCGGACTAGTATCTTGATTATGAAATAGAAACAAAATGCTGAACAATTCTAAATGTAAAGCACTCCTGTTTAAACTAATATTAATACGTAATTGTCAGACCTTAAAAAGTATCTATTATCTTATAAAGTATATAGTCGGAGAATTAAGTACCTCATCATTTGATGACTGCTGCGGCAAATCGCACATTTGTTCACCTTCCATGTCGTGGCACAACTGCGCCAAGCAAGTGGCACATTTGTCATCCGTCAATGCTGTGGCACAACTGCGCGAGTATAATACTATTATCTATACACAACTGTTGTTTAGTAAATATTGAATTCATTTTCTTTTATTGGTTGGCTAAGTTGCTTTATATTTAAAAGTATTAAAAAAAATTTTTTTTCCGGAAATGTAAGTACATATCCGTCACACCAAAGTTTCACTTTATAGGAATCTTAGTGGGTGTCACAAAATTGATGATGCTCCATTAAAGCACAGTGGGGTTTGTCTAATTAAAAAAAAGAGTTATTCGGAAGTAACATTCTTTATTTATTATACAGGCGGTTCAAAGGCACTTAGTCGGACATATTGTGCATTTTACACAAGGAATACAAATCCAATTACAAAACAAATAAAATTGTTTTTTGAAAAACATCATTGTGTGTATGTAATAGGACTTTCAATACCTACTATCATTATTGTAATTAAGGAACTAAAAAATCATAAAAAGTATTATAAACTATCTTAATCATAAATGACACAATTTTTATCTGTATATTCAAAAATGTAATGTTTTTATAGGATTAGTGTTGACCGAGGAGAGTGTTGTTAACCATCTAATTAATTAGGCCTGTAGGAAACAAATAAGGCGCTGGCGACGGTGCTACAAATTGTCTTGTGACCTTTTCACCCACTCACATTATTAATAATATTAAGTACGACGAAGTCTGGCGACGACGCGACACTTCCTCAGATGTCCCTGGCAACACATGTCGCAAGTCAATTTCCTTCTAGTATATACACCGCTTGGACTCTAGTAAAAAACACTCCCCTTTCTAGATGTACCAAATACTGTACTTATTAATTGGGACATAAAGCTATGGGACCGATCTAACCAAAAATTGCAAATTGCGCCGCGTATTTACGCCACATTTATCCTTAACTTTAAGCAGTTCTCACACGGCGAGGTGACACGCGACACTACGATTTTTGCATAGTCTTATCTGTAGGTTCGATCATCCAAACGCAAACACAGAAACAAATGCTACGCTAAAGTCATAGTGCCGCGTGTTGCCACGACAATCATGACCACGTGAGAGCAATCTTTTTCTCTACAGATTTGAGCACCAATAAAATAGTATTACAACATTTAAAATGGATACAAAATGTACCTATTAATGTACTGGAAACACAAAACTTACAAAACTATAATTAAAAATACAACAATCAAAATCCTAAATAAGTACTCGGTAAAAAGGTTTCTAAAAATTAGGAATGGGCTGTTGAGTTACATTTTGACTCTTGCCTCTGCCGCGAGTATACAATGCCGGTTGTCGCTGGTGACCGCATAAAGTACACACACCGGTACAATTAGCGGAACATTAATAAAATACTCAAAATAATGCAGTGTATTTTCAAAGGTCTGGTCCGTCCGTTATTTTATTTATTTTTTAATCTACAAATTAAAATTTTAAAATAAAAAAATATTAACTGTCATTTTATCATTCTTCTTCTTAGTGTGCCGCTTCTCTACGAAGGTTGGCGGCCATCAAAGCTATTCTCATTTTTGAAGCTGCTGCACGAAAGAGAGAACGTGTGCTAAGGAACCAGTCTCTCAGAGTCTTCAACTACGAGGTTTTCCTTCTATCACAACTGCGCTTTTCTTGTAATTTTCCCTGCATTATTAGTTGAAGAATCCGGTATCTACTTATTACATGGCCAAAATACTGCAGCTTCCTTTCCTTTACAGTTCTGAGATATTATTATTAATTTATTCTGATTTCTTAGTAATACACGTTTGTCGAAAGTTTCGAGAACGATTTTGCGTTCTTGTAAAATTCGTAAACTGTATCTGAACAAGTTTTATATTTATTAAACTTTGATTTAATAAACTGTTACAATGTTTAAATTTTTAGCCAACACGGCTGATTTTGTTTGTTTGTTTAATTACTAACTACGATTTACACTAAACTGACGTTGAACGATATTAATTAACATGCAATTTTACGTCCAATACTTATTCATTGAAATGAAATCGCTACTATTTTATATTTTCACTCTTTTGTTCTGCTAAATGTGCCAGTACTGTTCAGTATGGCAAATTACTGCGCCCTTGACCGTCACAAAATTAAGAAGCATTTTGTTACATTTTACGTTTAATTTGACAACTATCATTGTAAACTCGTAGTACGAGGCGACATAAGAGTACATAAGACGAATGACATCTACAACTAATGGCATCATGAGGATGTCGAAATAACGAAATATTCGTTGCTGATCCAACTTTTTTTTACTCGGCTTTGATTGATAACAAATGACGTAACCTAAACTCAACTGCGTAATTACGTCTCTGATTGTTCCAATCAGACAAGACAGACGAAAAAATATTTTTTTGTAATTGGACGTAGTTAAGCAAAAAGGATCCAATCACAAAATTATCAAAAAATGAGTTATATATACCAAACGGTTCCTAAAGTCTAACCTCTTAGATCAGCAAAAAAAATCTTAACATATAAACATACATAAATATATCTGCAGTTACATTATAAGTTTTGAAACTTTTCAACTTCAAACTGCCATATCTCGAAATTGACTGCATGTGCATTGGTCCCTTTTTGTTAACTACGTCCAATTAATACGTCGTTCTCCATACTAAAGCAATTTTGTCATATTTGATAAATAGCATACTATTATTGTGCCAGGCAACCACACGAATTTGGTCTCAAACAAATTCCCTTTACTACGAGTATCAAAGCAACGGAATTCACTCCCGAGGCTCCAGCCGAAACACCCCGACCGGAGCAAATTTTGAAAAGTTCATATTCCAAATTGGTCATGCCGGGAATCGAACCCGGAACCTCCGAAGCACCCAGTGCAAACCGTTGGGCCACCGAGGTCGTCACGTTGTATATGGTATTTTAGGTCTTTTATCAGGCGCCTCCGTTTCGTTCCGTCATTTTATAAGCAAAACAGTGTAACAAATACCTTGAAACGAAATATTGAAAGATATTAACTAATTTTATATAATTAATACGTTTCTTTTAGTCATACTATGCGCTAAAGATTAAATGAAACCTTTCTATTTTTACATATTTAATCTATTTTAAAAACTTGCACTGTAAAAAAACTTGAAGAAACAGAAGCTCCAATTTCATCCAGATTTTTTTCTATAAAATAATAACACATTACTATAGTGTGATTTGACTAAAATATAAACGTCATTTGTCATCAATTCTCACGAAGTCTTCCTGTACTAAATTTGTCGTCTGAAGTGAAAAAATCACGATCGCCGCTTCTTTGTTTACGTATTTTCTAATTCTAAAAAAAAATGAAGTATAGTGCCACGTACGTTATAATATATAAATGAAGAAATAAATAAGTTTGTTTTATTATTGAGGGTGAGTATGTAATCTATGACAGGACAGCGATCTGTGGTTGGAACCATTCGGCACTGAAATTACGCAGCTGAATTTCCGGCTGAAATTCATCTTTAAAACGACAAAATATAACTTTTTCAGCCCGTGATATTTTAATACTTAAAATTAATTACACAGTACCTACATTATTGTAGTTTGTAATAAAACTTAGTCTTGGGCAATACTTAATCGCAAAATTTGTTTAAGTTAGTTGTAAAGCAAGTTTACCATCGACAATTCGTCTTGCTGCTGAACACGGACCTCTTCTAAGTGGAAGGTTTAGGCCATCACACAGGCCCAATTCAATTTGCCATGAGAATATATCTGAACCATCACGGATGGCCATGTTTTTGTAGTGTATTTATTTGAAACATTTCCATTAGAAGATATTTGGGTGCACCCCCCTTTCCAACTCTTAAATTTCTATCTTAAGATTGTCTGGAAGAAATTGTTACTTAGCAATAAGTCCGCTTGTTGGACATTAACTTATTCTGTGACATTTACATTATTGATCTGTTTTGTAATTTTTTTTTTATGTGCAATAAAGAATATTTCATTCACGATGTTTTTCCTTCACTGTTAAAGCAATGTGGAAACATTTGAAAATGACATAGTAATGTAGGTCCCATTTGTAGGAATCAACCCCACGACCAACTGTAAAGGTGATCAGCGTCCTCAAACTACCCATCACTATTCGTTATTAGTTAAAATCATAGCTAAGTAATTATACTTTGTAGCTATAATAATTACAACGTGTCACCACTAGAGGTGGGCGTTTAAACGCACTTAAAAAAGTTTGCTATTTAAAATAAGCACTTAGGCACAATTTTCAATTTAAGCGTAAACGGTAACAACTTGCTTATGTTTCAAGTACTACCATCTATGTTTCCTGAACAAATAAATTCATCATTGTGAATAATAATTTTTTAGATGAAAATAAAAATCGTATTTTACAAACAAACTTATCTTAAGAGGGAGCAGAGGAAAAATTCCTAATCTTCGATTTGATTTTAGAGGGCTATATCCACTTTAAAGTTAAAAATAAAATATTGTATGAGTAACTACACGATACATTCAAGCATAGACATTAATCAGAAACATAAAACAATAAAGTTTCCTCGATAGATAAAAATCACGAAATGACCTCTAATTTTCACATTTTTTCGATTTATCCTCGAAATGCTACAGGTTATTAGGTCAAAAATTTGATAATTAATTATATTTATGCATGATCGACAACTGTCACTACGGATTTTTTAAATCCCTTTAGTTTTAGAGTTATTCCGCTTAAATGAATTTGGTACTTTTAATGCGCAAAATTCAACATCTCCTGTCGCATGTCACGCGAACTTCAGGCGTATATTTGTTTCACTAATTTGGGCGGAGCCAACGTCAAAACTTTTTTGGCATGAGAGCTCTTAAAACCTTTAGTGGTCTATTCTTGCTTTTCGCTATCAACACAATGTTGCAAGATTTTTTTAACATAAAAGTCTATGGCACTTAAACTTCAAACATAAAAAGCATTATAAATGAAAAACGTTCAAAAAGACACGTTTTATTTTTTTTTTAAATGCACGTTTCAACGTTTAAAAAAATAAGCAATTTTCCCATCTCTAGTCACCACATCAATTGCTAGTTTAAACTAGGGAATTTCTTGTACTAATTATACCAGACCAATAAAATTAACTCCAGGGCTCTGTCCAGAACATACAGACCATTTACAAAAGATCCGTTTCCAAAATTGGTCCTAACGGCAATTGAACTAGGGACCTCATGCTAACTGCCCGGCCACCAAGATTGTCAAGGTTAATCTACTTAGTCTACGGTTAGATAAGACGTAGCTAGTTTAGTAAGTGGTTTTTTGAGAATAAATGTTGCCCAACACTGAAGATGATATACCATACTCGGTAAACAAATAAGAACTGATTAGTTGGTGGGATTTTTCTGTTTACATATAGATTAAGTATACTTAGAACTCGAAAGTTTAAAAAAAAATATTCTTAAGAAAAAGTATATGGTAGTAGATTGTACTTTTGAACAACAGTGACCTTCAATGGTCGTTACGCTGTGTCGTTCAAAAGTACAATCTACTAACTCTTTCTTCTAAGGTAGTAGATTGTACTTTAAAAGAACTTCAGTGACCTTCAAGGTCAGCTCACTATCGTTCTGAAGTACAATCTACTACTTCTTTCGTCTTAAGAGGTAGTAGACTGTACTTTACTGCATTGGTGAACTTCACTGGTCCGTTGACTATAATTCTGAAGTACAATCTACTACCTCTCTCTTCTTGTAGTAGATTGTACTTCAAAAGAACGATAGTAATTGTACTGGTCATTAAGACTGAAAAAAGGCTCTTTTCTAAAGAAACCAAACTTTAAAAAGATATTAAGACCAAAGTGTCGTCATGATTGCATATTCCAGAATACCTCTATAAAAAATACTAAAATACGTTATTAATTTTTTCGTGTTGTGGGTAAGATAACATTAGTTACTTCTCAATTTAAAATACCACAGCACGACAAGGCTACAAATATAAGTACAGACAACAACAAAAAATGAAAAAACTAAACTAATAAATGTTGAATGTTGTTACTTAACATTATTGCTTTATTCCGTCGATAAACTTTCTAAGGTCCTGTATGGACTTGTTATAGGCCTCTACCGCTTGCGGGTCCGTGCTCCGCAGCGACGCGGCCTGTTCCATCATGCTGAGCATTACTTCTAGACCAGTCGACATCGTGCGGCGCCCAATTATTTGAAGCTGTGAAAGTAAAGTAATTTTAAGGGAATGATCACATTTAGTAGAGCCTGAGTCGGTCAGAATTTCAGTTAGGGGGTCACCACACTTATTAATGCGTAATCGGCTTGAGCCTGTCAGAAAGAATTTTCTTCGGCATGAGCCACCCCGCACGACGACGTACCATTTTTTTCGTGTAAGTCTGACGCATGTTACATAATAATACCGTACTGCCATTGACGTACAATTATATGGACGTCAGGTCCGCGCTAAAAAGTATCCGAACTTATAGGGCGTTAAAATCGTATACAGAGCGTCATTCACGCTTTAGTCTTCGTTTGTTCGACTGACAGCGAAGCAAGCAAAATTAGACAGTACTGCGATGACATTACAATTTAAATTCAACGTTTTAGCTTTTTCATATTCCTTTACATGTCACTACGTTTAAATAGGTTGACTTGGAACATTTTTTTCGTGGTTTTTGTATTAAACCCGTCGTCCATTTATTTCTAAGTCAATGCGTACTGCTCATAAAAAGTCTATACAACCTCAAATGGTTTTGAATGATTCCGCCTAACAGTGAAAGTGTTGTATCGATCATTTTGGAAAAAATATATACCAAAAATTTAAGATATACACTGATTAGTATACGGTGTGAAAACACGATTTCTAAACATTATCACGATAGAAAAAAAAAACAAAGTTGCTACGAAATTTTACAAGAATTGAAAATTGAAAACCAATGATTTTTTTTTATATCTACTGAACTAAATAGAACACGTAGTATTCGATATACATTTTTCAAATAACTTTAACTTCGTTTGTAAAAAAATAAATACAGAAATAAAGCCGGGGCACTGGCGTTCGAGTCGGGCAATAGAATGGTATCAGTACGGGAAAAAATTGAATTCGAACCGAGATAGTATTGACTCTTAACATTTTATTTTATTTCGACATAATAATAATAACGCACACACTCAACATAGCCCCGCACTAGGGAAACCCTGTGTCGCGGGTGCCATGGACACACACATAGACCACAAATTACACACAAACTCACGAGAGAAATAAATGTAGGCCATACAAATGTTTCTCCCGGCCCCGGAATCGAACCTGAGACCTCTGCGTGGCTGCCCGGCATGGTAACCGTTCGGCCACGGAGGCAGTTAAAATAATACGATAAATAATACGAGTACAACAGAGAGACATAAGTTGACAAGTCCCGTGTAACTGTAATTTCACCAGCACCCTTGCCCTTCATACGCAGTAATGCTTACATTACTGCTTAGTTGCAGGAATAGGTAAGGTGGTAGTACTTCCCTGGACGAACTCTTTCACAAGGAGCCCTTCTGCTACTAAATCATGGTAAACAATAAAATACATATTAATTTAGTAAAGTTTTTTTTAATTATTTATTGAATGTCACGATGTTTCATTATCATGACATCCAATTATTTTTTTGTGAAATTACTCCACTAGTTTGTTATAATTATTATAACAAAGATCGAAACACTAAGAAAACTTCATTCAAGCATCCGCAGGCAATCCGTGCCAGATGCTCTGCCAATTAAGCTACGGAACGACCCAGCAGACTTTACGAATTTTTCTACTTCTTGCAGATTTTGTTTTTCGTTTTTAACGACTTTTTGCCGTAGCGCCATCTGTGAGAAATTTATTTCTTTACTAGCATCTTAGCATCGCTGAGTGGAGATGTCGCTTGATCGATGTTTTTTAAAAAAAAATTAATATTGTTCAAATATTTTATATATGCAAATCGAACGTTGCGCAAATTGTAAACACAAAATCGGAATTTAAATAGTAATTAACAGAAGACGTATTACAGGATATAGCATGGCCGAACGGTTACCATGTCCGACTGCTACGCAGAGGTCCCAGGTTCGATTCCCGGGCCGGGAGATATATTTGTATGGCCTATACTTATTTCTACAGTGAGTTTGTGTAATTTGTGGTTGTCTATGTGTGTGTCCATGACACCCGCAACACAGGGTTTCCCTGGTGTGGGGCTATGTTGAGTGTATGCGTTATTATTTAAATTTGGAGAAAATATTCCACGTGTAAAGGTGGCAAACTAGGGGATGAATCTTTCCACATAGACAACCACAAATTACACCCAAACTCACGAGAGAAACAAATGTAGGCCATGCAAATATTTCTCCCGGCTCGGAAATCGAACCTGGGACCTCTACGTGGCAGTCAAGCATAACAACCGTTCGGCCACCGAGGCAGAATTAAAATGGGACCAATACTGAGGCACACTCTTTACAACAAAAAAAGAATTATCAAAATCGGTCCACAAATTACGTATATACAAGTTATCACGTAACATAAAAAAAAACCGGTCGAATTGGAACCTCCTCCTTTTTTTGACGTCGGTTAAAAAGACTGTCAAGATTGTGATTGAAGCCATGTGATTGGTCAGTTTGAATCATATTCTTGCATATCACGTGACATTAAAACAATTTTATTGGTAAAAAGAAATGAACCTCACCGGTGGCAGTTCATAGCTTGTGTCGTCATCTGCAACTCCAGTTCGCTTCGTCTTTGGCTCGAGCGCGTGTTGCGGCTGCTGCGTGATGCGGCGCTTGGAGCCCCCCTTTTTGCCGTCCTCGTCGTGTGATTTGTCCCTTCGCGGGCACGAACATACGCGCGCGCCCACTGTTTGGCGACCGTATACATGACCACTGGAACAATATACCCATGATGCTATTAAGTGGATTCCACATTTTCGACTAGACAATAATGTGATTACTGTTGGGTAATTTTCCGAAAAATTTCAAATTGTGAAAAATTTTCGGAAAAATTGGAATATATTGGATAAATTTAATTAATTCCACGTTTAAAAATATCTTTTAAATTTTAATTTAGTTTGAATTATAAAATAAAATTATATAGCTAAAAGCAAGTTTGCAAACAACGAGATCTAAATTGATTGGACAACAGCGGAAGACAAAGAATCATAGGTAAAAAGATCTTTATAATCCATCGTTTTCGTTCAACTTTCGACAGATGTCAGCTGTGAAATGTGGAAAAATACAGTAAAAATATAGGAAAAATAACCGCAAAAATATATACTATGTATATATATATATATATATATATATATATATTGAAAACCAGCGTCACAACCTAGCCTTGGTTGTGACTTTAGCTGAATGGGATCCTTTTGTACACGCCACAGCCGCACACATGTCAGTATAGTATTATGCAACTTGTTGTTGAAATGTTTTTACGCTGTTCTTTGTGTTATTTCTGTCTTAGTTATAAGTATTAGTCTTTGTTTTTGTGTTTTTTTTTATAATGTGGCGTTACAATAAATGGTTTCTATTTCTATTTCTATACTTTTCTGAAAAATATGAATTTTTCAAAATGGAGACCACACCGATTACCCGTTTTCAAACTAAGGAATTCCATGTACAATGAGTACCAGAGAACGGAATTCACTATGGGGCATAACCCAGAACACCCAGATACTAATTTAGAAAAGTAAATTTCCCAAACTGGTCCCAAAAAAATAATAAAATGCATACGGGTTAAACAAATTCATTCATTTATATTTAGATTGGTCCAATACTCACGTGCTATCTTCCAAAGTGAAAATGATGCTAATAGCCCTGCGATTAATGCCGTTCGAGCAGGAATTCTTGCAGACGAACTGGTAAGCATGAGTGGCGTGCCCGGTAGGCAGCAACTCCACAAGAACGCTGTACCAGGAGTCAGACTGTGTGTCCGTCCCGCAGTAGTAAACCCCTTGTGCATTCATTTCACGGGATGAATGGAGCACGTTCTTAACTACATTCCTGTTGAGACCTGAAATCAAATTAATGGGGGGGTTGGTTACGGCGTGGATCAATAACTTAATTGCCCACCCACCAGTCAGTAGGATAGTTTCTTGCCGCATTTCATTCGCCCATTGGCAGACTGTCGCCCAGGTATCGCGACTTTACAACAACGTACATAAATTAATCTCCATTTACACTTTAACGAAATATAAAGTCTAAATTTAGGTGCATACAAAATCTTACGTACGATTATACAGAAAATCTCTTCTCAGCCTTCTTTTGAGAATAATGACGACAGCGCAAATCATTTTCCTTATTTTTCCTTTTCTTTTCTCAAACAAAATATACATTAAATATTAGTTGTGTTTAGTTATTTTATTTAATTTTTATTTTATTGAATATATTAATTTACTTAATGTTTAATTATTTTAATTGCCTCCGTGGCCGAACGGCTACCACGCCGTACTGCCACGCAGAGGTTAGAGGTTCGATTCCCGGACCGGGAGAAATATTTGTATGGCCTACATTTATTTCTCTCGCGAGTGTAATTTGTGGTTGTCTATGTGTGTCCATGGCACTCGCGACTCATGGTTTCCCTAGTGCGGGGTTATGTTGCGTGTGTGCATTATTTATCATTTATTTATTTATTATTTATTCGTAGTAAAAGTATTGTATGCAATCATTACTTAATTAGGTCTTAAAATCTCGTACCTAATACTAGGCCACGAGACACGGTACTATTTTTGTTCATCACTATACAGTTAAACTTATCAAATTATGTCGGCCGCCAAAAACACATAGTTGATGAATTTGTAAAAAAAAAATATTAAAAAGCACACGACAATTTTAATAGCAGTTAGTGGATAATGTTGTTGATTGCACGTGTACTTATGTTAGAATTAACTAACACTGAATTCACGTAAAATAGCTTGTTACCCCTGAAAAATAAATAAAGCAGGGAGTCTACGCAAAACAGAAAAAAATTGCAAGACGATCTACGAGACATTCTACAGGATATATCACGGAGAGTGTGCGATACAATTGCATGATTTGATTCCGCCTTCCCCTTTCCATCGTCGAGGGACAAGACGTGGGTTGTGGATATTCCCAGGATTCGCTGGAAGGGTTTCACTCCACATTTATATGGCGAGCAATTATTTTTATATAAAAAAAAAGACAAAAAGTGAGGGAACCCTGGTTTAGTCCATTTCACAACGCGGTAGCCTCAATGTGGGTCGCCCACTAAAAAAGGAACTTGGTAGATAACTTACCCTCATTACTATTGTCATGCGTGTGCTGTGTACAACGCTCAACTCGTTTCTCGGCTTGGGAGTCCTCAGAGAACACGGTCGTAGCACGCACGTACAAATACGGCGGTGCGCAGTCTACGTTCCATCTGAATTGTACTGGAAAGCTGATCTTCATGTCCACGTAGATGCGGTTCAATTTGTGCGAATACTAAGGGAGAGATATCATTATGATTGATATCATTTTAGAGATATCTCAAGGTTACTTATCGACTGTGAATTGGCAACCGGTACTATCTCAATTTTGACAACTTTACAGGATAAAGAAAAAATAATTTATATAGCATCTAGTTTATTAAATAAAAATACGTAGTATACACATTATATAAAACATAATGTAGGCAGAAATATGTCAAGTGGTAGCACATCTCTGGTCGAACTCTTTCACAAAGAACTCTTCTGCTACTAAAATTAATAACTTTGTCATTGTAGTTAACAATGTTCTTTGTAATTGTCTTGTACCGTATCATACCTGTATGTATGTCACAGTTGTTTTAGAGACAATCTGAAGATAATACTGCTAAACTTACCAGATATTTCAACTTGTCCGTATCAGATCCATTGATCTCCACCTGGAAGTCGAGGTCTCCGGAGAAGACTTTACGCTCGGGCGGGCCACGGGGGGAGATCTGTGGATTTTAGCTAATATACACATGAACACTATTACTTTAATGTATATATTGACATTTTTTATGGCTATAGCGTGGGCGCTATATTACCTTGTCATTGGAAATAAACCATGCACAAAAGTGTGTAAAATTTTTATGACCGCTCCACCTTGGCTACATAACTTTTTATATATTTCAAGTTTCACCTGTGTTGTATTTGTTTTTCGAATATGTTAAAGGTGTATCTCTGATGCACTACAACTGCTTGGATGCAGTAGGTATATATGTAGACATCACAACTTGCATCATAAATGCTAACCGCTTATATTAATGATTTAAAATAAATATTGTAAATGATTAATGTTTTTTATATGTAAAGCATGAGGCTGCCTATGCGTTGCCAGCCCTTGAAAGCCCTGTTCACACGGTTTTTGAAAAACCTCATGTCATAGCGCAAAGGTCCGGAGGGAAACCATTCTACATCGTGCAGGATCTTGCAAGAAACGAACGTGACGCCCGCGTAGTTTTACAATGCCAGGATATAAAAAATATAAAAAGCAACCCTTACAATTTCTTACTCATTCTTCTCAGGGGAATCTACCTTACGAATTAGTAGTAGCTTTTAATCAATACGACAATTTCCAACGTAATTTGTTAACTAAAAAAATTAAAATATTTTTAAAATTTCATTTGATTACGCCAGACCGCTTCTAATGCAGTTGCACCATCTGCAAATGAAATTCTCAGCATCTATTTTTTATAAGTTCTTTGGTTCTTTGGGCGTTATTTAAGAAATGATAGAAACTTTAAGTAGAATACAGTTTTGCATACCGGTTGGAAATGCTGGTTGCTGTAGGTGGCAATATCAGCCGTGTTCTCGTCATGCAGAGCAACCAAGTGGTTTTCCTGGCTCTCACTGGGGTTGACGATATTGGAGCTGGCAACATCGTAACTATCGGGCATGTTCAGTATACACTCGGTAATTCTAAAAAAAACAAAAATGCAATATAATGACATTGGACCTCAGCTAATTAACTTAAGGATTACTTTTAAAAATTAGTAGCTACGTACATTCTAGTTGTTAATAAACTACTTTTGATATGTAACATTATTATATATTATTTATATTTATATTATGAATATCACGATGTTTATATGGCGTGCGAGCAAAAACTTTAACAAACTTTCTGCCATTTACGATTTTGACTTATTTAACACTAGCTGTGCGTGTGTTAAGAAACATTTAACTAATTCATTTTTATGAATACAGTGAGTTGGCGGGTTTGAGTGGTGATACATTATTTGTAAGGGTGAAGAGTATGTGTGTGTGTTATGTTATATTTATATTGTTAATGTTATATTGTCTTACTGTTATCAATGCATCAAATATTATTGTATTTTTATCAGTAGGGAACTGTTTTGCTTCAAATTATTTAATTAAGTCTCTATTTTATTGTAATATAAGCTGTTTGTGCCCTCCAAAATATAAATAAATAAATGTGTTACTACCATGACGTTCAATATTTTTTTTGTGAAATCACTCTATTAGTTTGTTATAATTGTTAATACTAACATCGAACACAAAGAAAAATTCCTTAGATCCTGCTGGATTCGAACCAGCGCCTTCAGCATACCGTGCCTGACACTCTCCCAACTGAGCTACGGGATGACCAGCAGACCTTACAATTTTTTCTTTGTGCTTGTTGCAGATCTTCGTTTTTAACTAATTAATACTTTTGATACGCATGTTACAACATTATGTAATAAGAGATAAGTGTTGTACCTATTTTGAAATCTTGACTACATGCATCATCTTTTGAAATTTGCCCAGGGCAGTGTGGTGTTTCTTTTTAAATACGATATTTTAAGGATTTTTTTTTCACTAAATTCACGACGTGCATGCTTATAAAGAATACGGGGACATTTTATAAATATATGTATGTCATAATTATTAAATTATTAGATATATACTTCACGCATACATAATTATTTAGAATTAGTTCGTAGATTATTTCACATAATTATATTAATTGACTATCGAGTTCTTAGGTTTTCGCGATTGTTACATATAGGAAATTAAACTATTTTTCCGGATTTAAATCGCGTATATTTGTTTTTTCAAACAAACCGACGTTTCGGGCCCTTTACAGGTCCCATGGTCACGGTTGACTGAGGTGGTACAGTCTTCAACCAGTTATGTCTAATATTGATGCAAACCACCCAATTTTTTTTTTCACTATAGTTACAAAAGTTATTAATTAAATACCTTATTGCGCGAGAGGCCATTGAAATTAAAAAACATCCTAATTTCAACAGGGAAGATGGTTTCTCAGTACAACAAATATACGCGATTTAAATCCGGAACAATAGTTTCATTTCTTAATTGACTATGTTAAAATTACGATTAATTATTGATAATACAAAATTTTATACTGGATATTTAAGTTTTAAGTTTAAGCTCTTATATATTTTAAATGTAAAATTTGTGATTGTATTTTGTAACGGTTCTTGTAATATAATAGATTATACTGCAATGCAATGATGTAAAGTTTCAAGATGATAAATAAATTCAAATCGTTAAACACTGGAAAATTTGTGATCACGTACCGCCTAAAGATGTGATCTAGGCAGTCGATTCTCACCATTTCCAAAAATATGACTATGACCTCTTAACTAAGTGACATGAATTGTATAATGGTGAGAATCGACTTCGACGAATCGAGAATCGAAACTCAACTCCATTCTGAATATCTCATTGCAGGGTTTAAAGAAGTTTATTCACACTGTTGTATTGTTTTGGTATGACTTTAGATGCCAAATTCCAATGAGTCGGCTAAGATTAAAATAAAACGTAAACTTTTTAGACGCAGAAACCGCTATATTAGTTTAGTTTAAGAACTTCCAGAATTTGATAACATACGGCAATACGCCTTATAGAAATTACTCATTCATTTGGCGACACAGTACATTTACGAAAACGTAATAATTAACGATAAAGAAGAATAGTATTTTTTTAATGAAGAATAGTGAAATATTAATACAGAGAACAAAATTAAACTGGCTGACCTTGACAGTCATTTGTTACAAAGTCACAAATTCATTCACTGATGATGATACGCTGTACTTATAATAAGATTTTTCTTGATATTCAAACTTTACCACTACGAGCTTTTAAAACTATTGTCAAACAAAAACTTTATACAAAAGGTTTTGTAACAGCGTTGGCATGCTTAAACGACAAAAATACATGGGAATGATTTATTATGTTTAGCTGTTATGTTTAGCTCTTTCAGGATTCTTAGGTTTTCGCGATTGTTACACATAGGAAATGAAACTATTTTTCCGGATTTAAATCAATAAAATAATTTGTTAAACTTAATATAGCGTAAATTGGAATAGTTTCTTTGTAAAATTAAAAATAAGGTATTTAATTAATAACTATTGTAACTATAATGAAAAAATAGGGTGGTTTGCATCAATATTAGGATATAACTGGTTGAAGACTGTACCACATCAGTCAACCGTGACCATGGGACCTGTAAAGGGCCCGAAACGTCGGTTTGTTTGAAAAAACAAATATACGCGATTTAAATCCGGAAAAATAGTTTCATTTCCTATCTTTCAGGATTTTCTACCTATTTTTAACGGACTTCAAACAAGGTTCTGAATTCGACTGTATTTTTTTTTGTATGTATGTTACGCGATAACTCATTTATGAACCGATTTTGATTAATTTTATTTAATTTTTTATTTTTATATTTTTTGTCCCATTTCAATTTGAAGATAATATTCCATTACGTTTACCAGAAAGTTTTCGTTTTAACTAAGGTAAACGATTTTTTATGGGGCAGTGTATACGTTTTTACAATAAGATTCCGGAGCATATACTAAGTTTACTATTTCCTAAGTTTAAAACTTACATTAAAAGTGTTTTAATTGAAAAGTCATATTACAAAATACGAAAGACGTATGGAAAGACAACGTGAGTCTACATTCCACACAAATATGATTCAAAATGTATTCTATAGCATTTAAGTTTATTTGAAAAGAGCAATCTAGAGTTTCCTGCTTGTTCTTCTCAGGGAGAGGTCAGCGTAGTGAACGAGCAGTAGCTTAAAAAATGACGTTTTTAAGTGTAATAATTTTACCTAAATGGAATAAATGATTATTTGACTTTGACAAAGTAGGGAATGAATCCAGTTTCGCGCATTTTCTGGTAACCGATTTCAATAAAATTTGGCAAATAGATAATTCCACGAACTTTTGAGATTGGTTTTTTGGTAGTCTGTACTGAGATTATTTAAAAAAAAAATACTTTTGTGGATGTTGCGCGACTATTCCAACATTCATGAACCGATTTCGATGATTTGTTTTTTGTTGGAAAAGAAATTGCCGTAGTAGTTGTCCCATTGAAATTTGAAGAAATTATTTCATCTCTGAGGATAATAAATTAGGGGATAAATCTGATTTATAGGATTCCACCCACTTCCTGTTAAACGATTTCAATAAAACTTGGCAAATAGATGTAATTCCACAAACTATTAAAGACAGTTTCTGTTTAATAAAAAGGTTATAATAAAATTATTGAAAAAAAAATATAATAAATGCTAAATGAGCATCCCCTCGAGTTTCTTAGTTAAGCGCTATGACGTCCAGTCAGGGAAACTATGCCACGTGTGCTATGTGTTTATAGTTGCCCACTTTGCGTAAAAAGGTCGCTAATATTCATGATCAAAACTTCCGTTCACAGATAATTAAGACTAATATAAAACGGAGTTTCAAAAGCGCTTATACATAAGTATAAAATATCTTATCACTATGCCCTTAATAACACGCGCTAATATGTTATTTGCCAAGGTCATTGACATGGCAAACAGTATATGAGTAAGATTTATTGTGAATAAGGGATTGCGTCATCATTATAGCACATTGCTTATCGGGTAAGAGATTATGGGTCGTTGTGTAAAAGTTACATAGGGACTGAGTACAGCTCTTTACATCCTTAATTTTGTTATTAGGCTCAACTCACAATGGCGCAGAATCGCATCGCGTCCTGTTTTTCAAGTGCTCGTATTAGCGCGCCCGGATCGCCATTTGACGCGTCACTGCGCGTAAGTAACACGCGAAACCGCTCGGCTTTAACCAAGTGTGGACGCGCGATTCCATATTTGCATGACACAAATTTGTACCTTAATCATGGAAAAATAGACATAAATGTCCTATAGGCGAAAAACATGACGCGTCGTGACGCTTCGACTCTGCGCCAGTATCAGTTGAGCCGAATTCATAAACTCCCTATTATGTTGAAATTTGGGTAAACTTCAAATAGCATATAATAACCAGCAATCGGCAAAATATATTTGGTAACCTATCACAATATTATAATGTAACCGCTGTTCTTTCAGGATATGTTGAATGTTAATCTCAAAGACACGATTAGGTTCGGTTAGGTTAGGTTAAGTTCGAGGCACACCTTGGAGGTGTGCCCGACCTGGAGCCAGCAGCGCCGGGATCTCGTAGACGTGGGACGAGACCTCTCACTGCTCAGCTTAGTTAGAGCCATGCTGGGAAGCGAGAGGTCATGGCAGGCGATGGTCTCCTTCTACGAGGATGTGATCCGCAGATGGGTCCACGAAGACTGTGCCCTCTCAGACCCCATTCGGCGTCGGCGAAGAGGACGCACGCGACGGCTCTTTGCCGACCGCCTGCATCCCATCAGCGAAGGCCAGCAAGGTGCAGTGTTGGGAGACCCTGCCCCTGCACTGCACAGGCCTCCGCCGCCGGTAGATGCCCCAAATGTTCCGGGGCATTCCCCCATGATTAAGGGGGGGATGGTGTAGGGAGTCGCGGTCGCATCTGAAAGGGACGCCGCGGCTCCGGCGCTAGGTGCGCGCAGGAACATCGTGAGGTTTTTAGTGGGTATGCTCTTTGGGAACGACATAGTCCCCAGGAGAGAGTCCCACACATCGCCGTCTCCCAGTGGCGGGGAATGCGTAACGCATTTTCCTCACGGTCATAAAAAAAAGTTAGGTTAAGTTAGGTTTAAAAGAAAATACATATTCCTCTCAAAATTACTTTCGAGGTTATCAAAATCCGAGAAAACGTTATTTCTGGAAAATGTCATATCGGACTTCTGATAGGTAACCTGTAATCCCCCAAATAAAACCCTCGAACTTTTTTCTTCTCATTACAAGACTACGTCTGTAATGGGACGAAAAAGGCCCGAAAAAGGTAAGGGTGCTGGTGAAATTACAGGCACGTGGGACTTGTCAATTTATGTCTCAGGGTGACGGGTGCAGTGACAGTGCCCTTTGAGCTGCACTACAAATGTTATGAACAGGCATGTCGCTTAGGGTCAGGCCCACGACTTGTTCGTCTCGTCATTTGGTATGATAAAAAAAATACTGGATCCCAAATTGATTATACGGTGAAACCATATTCCCTGTTGAAATTAGGATGTTTTTTAAATTTCAATGGCCTCTCACAGCAGCCTGGGGTCGGTCTCAACTTAACAGAGTGTCTAGGTTTCTATGCTCGCATTGTTTGAAAAAACAAATATACCCGATGTAAAGCCGAAACATAATAGTTTTATTTCCCATGTGTAACAATTGCAAAAATCAAAAGATCTAAGGAGGCGATATAATATTCTGTTTTGTTACTATCACAAAAAAAATGTTATAGATAACTGTAAATGAAGAGACTTGCGATTTTTAATTAAAGATAACAAACTCACACCTACTAATGTCACATTTTCGAAGAAATAAGCGTTGTTTACACTTCCTTATGCCTACTTAGATTTCTGTGGGTTTAATGTTACTGAAACAAACTATCAAAAACAAACGATATTGATATTATTTATTATTTTTTTATTTTAGAATTGAGAGATAAGTTTAAGGAAATTAACATTCTTACACTAGCCTCACAATACATTTATGAAAATGTAATTTATGTTAAAAGGAATAGTAATTTCTTTATGAAAAATAGTGACAGACATAACATTAATACGAGGAATAGAAATAAACTAGCTTTTCTTCATAGTCGGCTTCACAAAGTAAAAAAATCATTTAAGGGGCAATGTATACGCTTCTATAACAAGATTACGGTTGATATACAAAATTTGCCTTTCACGAGGTTTAAAACTATAGCGAAACAAAAACTTTACAGTAAAGGTTATTATTACACAACTTCTGCGTACTTGGATGACAAAAATCCGTGGTAGTAACCCGTTTAGCTCATGGAGGTAGTCTCGATCTCTTATGTTTCAAATAAAAAGAAAATATTGTAAATGTTATTTACGAAGAGCAACCCCTAGAGTTTCTTGCTCTTTCTTCTCAGGGGAATCTGCCTTACGAAAGAGCGGTAGAGTTTAACCATTGTGACGATTTCAAGTGTAATAATGCTTACCTATGAAATAAAGATTATTTTGAATTTGCATAAAAACATTTAACATTTTTTCTAAGCAATATTTCACTTAAGTGGGTTTGTGACGTGAAACACCATGCCAAATCCCTTTACCCCACCTAGTTTGGGATAAGGACACGAAGAAGAAGGTCAAAAGGCATTAAGTTAAGCCATAACATACATAGCATAGACTATTGCACTGATAACTCGGACACAATTTTTTTTAAACATGCCATTTATTCCTGATTTCGGAAACTCTTTTATCAGTTTTACCATTTTCTCGCGTGGCATTTTGGAGAAGGAATTATCAACTTTTTTTTACTAATCTCTTATTACAAATCGGTCGAATCAGTACATTTGATATCAAGTGAACATAATGGAATTATTTTTTTGGCGGCTAGATGTAGCTCAACGTTAAGAAACTGACAGTTGTAGATGTCAGTCTGGTTATGGTTTTTTAAATATGATTTTATTTGCAGACTTAGATAGGCCGCTATTATAATATAAAAAACTTAATGAATTTACTTTATACTTTTCTCTTTATTCATACTTGAAATGAAGACATTTGAAGACTTTCGGATTCTTTTAACTACGATTTTGCCATTGTTCCTTGCAACAATTTCAAGTGACATATAGTAGTTTATAACCGAAAATCTGTAGAAGCTAGAGCATAAACTACGATACCCTGTATTTTAGGTCACATCTATAAAAATATAAAATCCCGGTCGCGTTTTTCATCAAAACTGATTCCACACTTGGGCCTGAAGCATGTAATTATATTTAGTATATTTTAATTTGAATGGGTGTGTACTGTGTAGCGGTTTTCCCATTGTAGTCTACGAGTCTAGTCTTAGGAAGATAATAAAAAAAACTGCTGAGTCACTATAGTCAATATCTGTTTGTGTCATATTAGTGAATTAAATGTATTTAAACATATCAAATGCCAGTTTATTATTTCTAACTATAAATCTGACTACAGTAAAGCTATGAATGCCCACTGAGTTCTAGTATTATAAATAACAGATAAAATAACCATGCAAACATGTCACGGATTATCCTACACACACAAATAAATTTGACAAACCCCAGATCCTTGCAAAAGTTTTCTTTACCCAGGATGTAGTGAGAGGCCATAGAATTTAAAAACCTCCACATTCACCGGGAAGGATGGTTTCTCCGTACCACCAGTTTGAAATCCAATATTCCCTTTGATAAAAAATCCTAAGCACATATAAGACTGCGGCACCTACCAACTTTGTTTATTCTTACCTTATTAATTATTAAAATAAAAATTTTGGATTAATTGACATTGTTAAAATTAAATACTTCGCGTAACCGAACATGTACTTATTAACTGCGTACGTGGCCGTATGGTTACCATGCCTGATTCCACACGCAGAGGTCCCAGGTTCGATTCCCGGGAGAAATATTTGTATGGCTTACAGTCATTTCTCTCATGAGTATGGGTGTACTTGGTACTTGGTGTAACGGGCTGGTGTCCGCAACTCGACGTCAAGGCGCATAGTATGGGTGTAATTTGTGGTTGTCTATGTATGCGTGTCCATGACACCCGCGACACAGGGTTTCCCTAGCGCGTAGCTAATCGAGTGTGTGCGTTATTATTAAAATTATTATTTCTATTATACAAAAATGTGTGGAGAGAGAGGCCTTTTCCCAGTAGTGGGACAGTATACGCTCAAAAAAAAATACAATATGCTCCTTTTAAACAGTCAGTGGTATATTTATCACCCTGTGTAAATTGGACTGTTTTGTGATATACTGCATGTAGGTGATGTTCTGTGATCTAGATGTATTGTGAATTGTAGTAGTGTAAATCAGATTCATCCTATAATTTTATAGGCCTTGGCATTAAGAGGTCCATTCTGTGGAACTTGTTGTGAACAGTACTCACAGTGTGTCAAATCCAGCATTAGAACTGCCAAATTCCGCAACATAACCTGGAGAACTATCGCCCACCAGGTTCAAATCCATCTCTTGCTTGAACATGACCTGCAAAGAAGTGTTTAGCTATAGCATTTGATTGTAACATTGTGTATTCCAAGCTCCAATTCATTTTACAAAATGGCAACCAAAAATGTGGCCCATAATTATTATTATTAAGAGTAATTGAATATTAACATTATTAACCGACTTAAAAAAAAGGAGGAGGTTCTCAATTAGACTGTGGTGTTTTTTGTATGTATGTTACGCAATAACTCCGGTATTTGTGAACCGATTTTCATGATTCTTTTTTTTTGGAGAGAGGGTATTCCATAGTGGTCCCATTTAATTTTGAAGAAAAAATTCCACCTCTAAGAGTCGCAGTTCAAGCATGAAGATTCATTTTTATAAATAGCGTCTAAATTTTATTATAAGCAGCAATTATTATAATGGTTGATTTTGCTATTCTCCAATTCAAGGCGTTTTTCTCTCTCGATGTACTTTGAGAAGTAAGAACCGATTTTTATTATATTTTAGTGGCGAACTAGGGGATGAATCCGGGTTAGCGCACTACCCGGTAACCGTTTTCAATAAAACCCCTGATGATCCCTGTGGAAGGCCTCTCCAGACAGTTCTTGGTGGTAAAAGGGAGTTGTTAACACTGACTTGAATTAAATGGGCAGAGAGGAGATTAAAAATTATATTGATAAGCTTCCCAGGTATACTCAGATTGAGCATCTTTTGCCTGAGTACTGGAAGTAATACATTGTCATACACTGATGACATATCCAAAAAACTCCAACTACATATTCTCGTTTAGACAAGTAAATCCAAATGTCTGTCAGAAAAATACTGAGGCTGTCCATGGTGCTCATGCCCTTCCAGAAACCATATTGACTTTTAACGAGTAAACCCCTACTTTCAACTATCCACTCAAGGCGATTTTTAATGAGATGTTCTAAGACTTTGGCTAACATGCAGGAAAGAGCAATGGGTCTATATCTGTTAGGGTCATTACTAAGTTTACCTGGTTTTAATATGGGTATAATGATTTGGACTTTCCATTCATCCGGAGGAATTCCCGTCAGAAATATGTTATTAAGAATACTAAGAAATAAGTCTTTGGTTGAATCGCTGCTGTTAATGATAAAAGAATATGGCATACCATCAAATCCAGAGTCATATCGTTGAGACCGTTTAACACTGTCAAGAGTTCCTCTCGAGAGAATGGGGAGTCAAAAACTGAGGTTGGATATAGAGTCGGGGATGTGGACAAAGTTACCTCATCTTCCTTGGGGACTGAGAGAGGAGCCAGTTTGTTTTGAAAATGATCAAGCCACTCTGAGGTGTCATTAGAAGAGATATTACCGGAACAGGGGGTCTACTCTCGATGTCCGTCCGACATCCGTCCGAAACAATTACTGCCAAATAAGCAATACTTGACCAAATGAAAAGACGCGAGATGCGAATGAAACTTCATACTTGACAATTGTCTTTTAATTTTGTCGAATATTACTTATTTGACAGTAATTGTTTCGGACGGATGTCGGATAGAGATCGAGAGTAGACCCCCAGGATATAGAGCCCCTAAATCTCCTGATTCCTCCAAATCAAGGAAGAATGAGATTTTGGGGAGAGAGTTTCACAAAATCTACGCCACCCAACTCTTTTTTTCTCACTACTACTACTACTTTGCAGACTTCAGTACATTCAGAATCCCACTAAGGTGGAGATGGAGAGTTACCCTTGAATACATTTTTGGTGGGGAGGCATTTATCTGCTGATGACAGCAGACCATTTCTAAAATCAGCATAGGCTGGGCGAAAGTTTTCAAGATCAGCCACAGGTAAGTGTTGCATTTCCTGGTCTAACACACATCTATATTTTGACCAGTCAGCCTTCGACATGTTAAATTTTAGTTTAGGACGAGGAATATTCTGAGTAGTCGAACGGTCAGCCCTGTGTTCCGGAGCTAGAATAACAATTGGAAAATGGTCACTGCCGTGAGTAACCGGCAGGATAGTCCAGATGAGTTTGGAAGAAAGTGAGTGGGAGCACAGAGAGATCCACGGCACTTCTAATATTTTGGGACGGATAGACTTTTCGCGTCGGGGAGCCATCGTTGAGAAGGCAGAGGTCTTGGTTGTCGAGATATCCAGAAAGGCAGAGGATAAATGGTCATTGTAATATGAGCACCAGGAAGTGTGGCGTATAATAAAATCCCCTAATATTATAAGCGGGGGACTACGGGAAGGGACAATATCCGAAAACTCTGCAAGGCATGTAAGGTTAGGGTGAGGAATGTAAACCGACAGAAACGTTATCTTTAGCAATTTGGCAGCAACTGCATTAATGTGTTCGCTATGAGGGGGAAGGGAAATCTGCAAAAAGGTTACGGCTCTTGACACTAGGAGTGCCGAGCCTCCTTGCCCGTCTGTCCTGTCATCGCGGAGGCACGAAAAACCTGGAAACCGTACTCGATCGCCTGGTTTACGTCGCATCTCCTGGATTGCGAAAGCGTCAGATTTTTTTTTTTATAATATATAAGTGCGCATTTGACTTCCCTCCCCCCTGATGGAAAGTGACGATGAGGTCGACGATGGAGCATGCATACCTAAATAATGCCTATTCACTCTCGCCTTGAAAAGGCCCAAGTTATAACGTTCAGGGAACAAGTCTGCAGGCATGTCCTATAAAATACCGATAAGCAGGCAACTTTACGGCGGTGTTCAAGGCTCTGCAGCTTCGCCTCCACTAATTCCGAGTCGCCTATAAGCCTCTTGACACGGTTGTCAATTGAATCCAAAGTGGCCAGTTGGTATGTAGCAGAGCCATCCTAAAGGTGGCAGCAGTACTCCAAGCACGACCGGACTTGCGCTTGGTACAGCTGAAACAACTGTCCTGGTGTAAAGTAACGCCTTACCCTAGAAAGGATGCCAAGCTACTTTGCTGCATTTTTGGCCATGGATTCAATGCATCTTTCTGTTCTGTTTTCTTTATTCTCACTGCTGTCACAGTTCCACTGGAGAATAGGAGCCATTGTAGCAGGTGAGGTGAATGAGCTGAGACAGTTTTGATCTTTGAGGTTATTCGGTAGGGGGTCTTCACTAAAATGCCCTAAGAGATTAATGATGGTCGAGAGGAGATGAGAAATTAAATTATTGTTAGACATTGAGGAGTTATTTGGGAGTGCACATCCATTTCCTAGTTGAGAATTAAGAGACATAACATATGTCTCTATGAACTTGTTAATTATAAACTGGACTAGAAGCTGGGACGGGTTTGGTGCCTGGGAATAGCTACTGTTTTGTGTGTTGGGGAGATGGATTGGAGGGAGAAGTATACTGAGGGGTAGGTGTAGGCTGATATTCATTTAAATCAAACCTCGCTGTGTCAGCAAAAGATCTTCACACTTGAGTGAATCTGGCAGATGCTTCAGAGTAAGATACATTTTCTTGGGCCATGACCAGTTTTATTTGTTTCTGCCTTGATTGCTCAGGGCAAGAGGGATCGGTGGCTTTATGACGTTCAGAGCAGTGTAAACAGGTTGGTGTTTCCTTGGTGCAATGTAGGCCTTCATGAGTTTGTGCACAAATAAAGCAGCGGGCCTCCGATCTACATTGAGTTTTGATGTGTCCAAGCCGGCAGCACTTATTGTACTGAATTGTGGACAGGACATATGTTTCCACTGGGAGGTAGATGAAAAAACAGAACACATGGAAGGGAAGTTTTTGACCTGAGAAGGTTAGTACCACTGTTTGGGTGGGAACCCATACAGGTGACCCATTACTGTCGTGGGTTTTCCTATTAAGTCTCCGTGCCTTAACAATAGAGCCATAACCCGTTGGAACTTCCACTGCTTCAACTAATTCTTGCAGTGTCCATTCAACTGGAATATGTTGGACAATACCCATTTTAGTTAAGCTGTAACTTAGGATAATCGCTTCATATTTGGCTGGAGAAAGAGCTGGGTGGTCAAGGAAAGCATTAGCATCACTGAAAGTTTTGAATTCAAGAGATATTCTATTTCTGCCAACACGTTTGATACCATCTCTGACAATATTTAACATTGTTCCTAAACAAAAAATGGCCAAATTTAATGGGGCGTAATGCGGTGCCGGAAGAGGGGTCCGATACTGTTTTGCTCACATGTACAATGAATGGGGCGATATCTTGTGCCATGTATTTGTTTTTGTTGTTTAAGAATTTTGGGTTGGTGAATGAAAATTGGGTGGACAGAACAGATTGTGAGGTATTGGTTTTTTTGGGGAGGTTGAGATGATTCCACGTCTGTGGGGGCTCATTTCCTACTTTGGATGATCTTATCTACTTCCATTACCTCAGTCTGAGATTGCGAAAACAGGCGAAGAGATGACTGAGCACATGGCTCAGCATCGGCTCCCCCCGGATCGGGAGGATCCGACATTTACAACAAAGTTATAAAGCTTTTACTTACCAATACAATTAACAACACTCATAAACTACTTAATATAGACACATAAAATAAGTCAACAGGGGTTATGAAATAAAGAAATTAGCCAAAAAATGCACTAATTCACAAAACACCTTGTAGCTAATACTCAACCTAACAGCAGAGTCTCAACACGAATATTATCAAGCCGACAAGACTGACATGGTCGTCAGAAAACACAACGCTCAAAACTTACACTGTCAAGTCTATATGCTGGCATGATAAGCACTATTTACTGAAAATAATAACACGATTTTTGGGTAAACATAAATCAATTACTTGTACAAATAGTTTTAAAAGTTTTTTAACAGAAGTAAATATAAACCTGGCGTACGACAAACCCCCGTAGCAACCCGATAGCTTCTGTCAGTGTTACCAGAACCCTTGAGCAGAAAATTACATTACGATAAAAAGTTCCATTCTCGTGCAAAAGCTACATACATTTTACAAGTTCGTTCTTTTTTTTTTCTTTTTTTTTTTTCAATTCAAAAATTGTAACTGTTAAGCTCAGCTCACACGGGCGCAGAGTCGAAGCGTCGCGACGCGTCATGTTTTTCGCCTATAGCATATTCATCTTTATTTTCCCATTATTAACGTACAAATTTGTGTTATGCAAATAAGGAGTCGTGCGTCGATGCGTGTCGCCGCCCGTTACTTGGGCGCAGTGAGGCGCCGACCACACTGTGATCCGGGCGCACTAATGCGAGCGACGACGTGCGTCGCCAGACGTTGTTGTTGAAAAATAGGACACTACGCGACGCGACGCTTCGACTCTGCGCCAGTGTGAGTTGAGCCTAAAAATATGCCTAAATCCTAAAACTAAATACGCTTGGATAGAGACACGGGGACAGGTTATTATATATCTCAATCAGATTGGGGATATCCTTAAAAAAGGTCCGGTTAAAATATACCCAAGAAGAAACGGGCGTGTATGAAGAGACTGATAGTGGTGGAGTGGTTTATGAGAAGCAGGTCCACGGCATCTGCCTACCCCAGTGGAAGACAGGTGTGATAATATGTATGTATATAATATATGTATCTGTAATAATATGTACCTATGCAAGTGGTTTGCACTCTAGAAAAATGAATTTATAATTAGAAATTGATAGATTTTATTTTGTTTGCTGCATCTTTGAGTTACTTTATCGTCTAATTTGGAAGCGTTCGTAAACAATTTAGAATATACAATAACATAATTACAGTTGAATTTAAAAAAATTCAACTACCTCAAAAGTTACAACAATTGCCTTACAAACAAAAGTTACTTACATATTAAGCGAGAAAGTCAAAAATTACGAAATGCGTAAGAATGTAACAATCTGGCAACACTGGTTTTTGTATTTTAAAATGACGTCACATGAGTCGAAAAGGGGTACGGGGCGGAGGCACGCTGCGGCTTGTTAGGGGCAGGCAGGTCTGCAGGATAATTTGGCAATTGGCAACATTAAGTATATAGAAAAGGGCACCGTACACATTGGCATTGGTCGGTAAAGAGCTCCTTATGAGTGTAGTGTTCTGTGGTACCGACACAAGCACAGGAATTGCGCGAGCTTGAACGGTTGATTGATTTATTCGAGGAACCGATGAAGATATTCTATGTATATAAATAATATTGATCAACCCTGACCGTAATTAATGCCTCGCTCTAGAAGTAGCGCTAATGTTATTTCGCGGTTGTTCCGTGGTACAGTTTAACTAAATCCGTGGCCGAACGGTTACCATGGTCTGCCACGCAGAGGTCCCGAGTTCGATTCTCGGGCAGAGAGAAATATTTATATGGCTTATATATATTTCTCTCGTGTGAGTTTGGGTGTACTTAATCTGTTGTTGTCTATGTGTGTGTCCTTGGCACCCGCGATACAGAGTTTCCCTATTGCGGGGCTATGAGTGTATGCGTTTATTTATTTATTTAAAGATTATGGCCATTATAATAGTTGTTGTTCATACTAAGCGATCGATCAAGAGATATGAATCAAGTAGAGGAATGCACCGTCAAGAGCACGTGAAACTTATGATGTGTTTTTAACCCTGTGCTATTGCGTTATGTTACGAAGAGAAACTATTTCATAATATAACGTAGGCAATATTACAAAGTGGGTTTTTGTTACTATAATATTTTGTTAATATTATAGTAACAAAAACCCAGTGCTTGAAATCATACTCAAATGCTGTACTTGAGTATGATTTCAAGCACTGAAAATACGACCCTAACGGCAAGGACTTGAGTATGATTTCTAGTGCTTTGAATCATACTCAAGTCCTGACTTGAGCATTGAGTAGAGTTCTAGATTGCACTGGAAATACGACCCTAATGGCAGGGACTTGAGTATGATATCAAGTGCTTTAAACCATATTCAAATCCTGACTTGAGCATTGAGTAGAGTTCTAGAATACAACCCTCAATCTCGGGTTAGGGTCGTACTTAGGGGTTACAAAGCATATTATATTTTTCCAATTCTTTACACGTTTTTTTCCGGAAAAATGGAAAAATTTCCATTCTTTAAAATTTTTCGGAAAATTACTCTTATGTAGGGTAGACAGAGGTCACATATTTAATAGTAATTTTTAACAGTAATTACAGTGGTAGAAGTGCGTGTGTGTGTGCAAGACATGTCCACTTAATTACAATAAATCAGGGAGCGGGTGACACGTCATAAAATAAGTAATCTGCAATATTGATAGATCATCTAATCTATAAGATTTCGGTCGGTACCGTACGTTCCATTGCACGAATGCACGAATAATGTGAATGGACCATTAATACGTTTACGGAGTATGTTTGAAAGTAACAAATCAGAATTACTAACATAAAATTTTCTCACCCATACTTACTACGTTACTAGGTTCTGCAGCTCAATTAACTCAAAGAACTAGCTGAAATGTTGCTTTACGATTGAAGTAGTATTTAATTTTAATGAAGACACTTTTGACAGTTTTTCACAGGTCTTCGTAAATAGCAACTGGTATTGCCATGTTTTGTACAAAAAAATTAAAGAATGAGAAAAAAAATACACCAACTCCGCTTCACTTGTGTGTTTTTTTCTAATTTTTCTGTCATTAGAGCAATAATTTGATGCATATTTTGTATGCAACAGTTCCTTTGACTCGATAACGTGCTTTATTATGTACCAAACTACCGCGGGCAAGCCTCCAAGTGGTTGTAATAAGTAAAATCAATAACAATCAGCGAGCAACAAAGGTACGCTTCTGTTTGCATTATAACCTGTGTTTTGTACTGGCGTCCGGTTGGCGTCTGTCAAGGCAAACGCGAACTGTAATAGGCTCAATTTTGTAGCAAGAACTACGCGGAGATGTGTATTGAAGTGTTGAGAAGTGGTTCTTGTACTAGTGCTTTATGTTTTTAGTTACCAAGATGAATTATGAGGCGGAGCGAGCGATGAGCCAAAAGCGGTTGCGGATGGAGGAGCCGGGACACGGAGTCGTGCAAGGGAACGGTTTGCCGCTCAATTACATCGGTACGTTGTATTTTTGACTATTTTGCTATCATGGAATACTAAAATGGACAAGTTATAAGTTGTTTGTTTTCATATTGAATGTTTATTCTAGATAATGGTCATCAAATACCGTACCAGCCGTACGCAGGGGCTTATAATACGCACTACCCGCCTCCAGACGCGTTTGCGGCGTACGGGCCTCCGCCTCCTGGGGGCTATGCCCCCCAGAATCTGTCATACGCTCCACCAGCTCACCAGAACTATCCACATCACCAGACTTTTCCCCAGCAGCCTCAGGCTCAATTGCACATGGCTCAAACTCATATGGGTATGTATTTACTTGGTTTATTCTACTTTTTTCTTTAAATGGTAAGCCTTAACACATTCAAATAGGCAGGATATATTTACCAAAAACTTAGTAATAGCGTTTTCTTTTTAATTCCGGAATTTCAGAAAGAGTATATTATCCACTCTGTGTCTGATACACAGTGTCCTTAAAGATTTTTGTAATGTAGCATCCTAGAGCTACCACAATAAAACGCCGTTGCAGTTGTTGTCTTTAACAATTTTTTAATTTATAGAAATGAGTAACAAAATTTTACCAAAACCATTACAAACCAGGAGACATACGGTTATGTCACTAGGACATGCAATAGGTTAACGCTTAGGTATATATTATGCCTGTTTTTCAATCTCTGCTCTAATTCTCACATTATTATTAATATGATTTTAATAATAATAGTTTTATTGTAATGGTTTTGATGTTCATGGGACATGTCAACTTATGTCTCAGGGTGATAGGTGCAGTGGCAGTGCCCCTCAGGTCTTTGCGATTTAAAGCTCTTAGGACACTGCAATTGTTATGGACAGGCGTGTAGCTTACTATCAGGCGCACAACTTGTTCGTCCTGTAACTTGATATTATAAAAAAAATTATGAATGCTATATTTTCAACAAAAAAGCAAAAGTTTAATAAAGTATAGGAAATGAAACTATTTTTCGGGATTTAAATCGCGTATATTTGTTTTTTCAAACAAACTGATGTTGTTTGAAATGGTCACGGTTGCCAACGATGTCAACCGTGACCATGGGACCTGTAAAGTGCCCAAAACATCGGTTTATTTGAAAAATCAAATATACGCTATATAATAACTTAACTTATATAATAACTTAAATCCGGAAAAATAGTTTCATTTGCTATGTGTAACAATTGCGAAAACCTAAGAACTTGAATAATAAAGTATTTTAAACCCAACATAGAGCAAAGTTTATTGATTTGTTGTTTTATAACTTGTTTCTTAATCATTCCTATCTATCTATTCTTGTCTATTTTCTTTGTAGACTATCTATACATGTAGATCTTCAAATATATCTTTTAAAAAATTATAGTTATTATTAACAACAAAAATTTCAGTACAAGGCTATGGGGATGTAGTAGTACATAAAGCAGCATGGCCACCACAGCCACATTTGTTGCCTCCTTTGGATACACAAAAGCCACTAGATGTCAAGCAACTAAAACCTGAGATCAAACTAGAGCCAACCGATGCACAAAAACGACCGCACCCTGAAGAGATGATGGTGAGTACTCTATATAAAAGATATACCAAAAATAGTAACAACTGTATTCTGTGTTCCTGCTCTACAAATTAGGTCCCATTTATAGTTAAACAGGTCATATAAAAGTAATGCCGAGCATAACTTGTGCAAAAACTGAAGTGTGCAGCACAAATAAATTTGTTCTTATGAAAATGTGACCTTAAATTTGTAAAACGCTTTTACAATTTTTACAAATTATTTTTTTTACAAATTATTTATTTCTGGAGGTCATTGATACAATGTGAAATAGCATTCTAAAATCAGTTACAAATATTATGTGGTTTACTAAAATAAGTGAGACGAATACATTAAATGCCCACTCTTTTTGAACCAATAATTATGTCCTTAATACTAGCTGCAACAAGGTTTTAACCACAACATATGAAAGACAGAAGGGTAAGTATATTTGGGTAGAAATGCTCAGAGCTATACATTTTAAGCCAATGTTAGTGAGATGGTATTAACAATGGGCTTGCCAACATATCTGAAAATTGAACTACTTGCGTTTCTTTAATGTTAGTTTAATGTAATGTACCTGGTAATAGAAACAGACTGCTACTTTTGTTTTCGTTTTTAATAAGCATAAACTACATGAGAGCAGAAATTATTGTTTCTGCCTCAAAGTGAATGAGATGCCTCTGTACTTCTAGAGATACAAAGCCTTCCAATACAAAACTCGCTCCTGGGCAAATGTAAGTCCCGAAAAACAATCAAAACTAAGACAATTCCTGCTCTTTAAAATTTTTGGTCCTGGCTGATAATCACAATAAACCCACAGTTTGATATATTTTTACTAAACCATTTGTTTTCTTGTAGGGAGGAGATTTGGATCAACCGAAAATAAAGATAAAGACGGATATATTTAAACCTGACGATCATAGAACTGATGTGGACAAAGCTCGCAGTACGTATTTTCTATACAAATTTACTTATGACTTTAATTCTACATTGCCTTTATGGTATTAGTTCGTAAATTACATGAGAAATTTAGCAGCTTATATGCACCTCAATTAGCGCCATTTAATATGTATTTTAAATACAACATTTCGGCTTTGCTATGGAAGTAATAACGGCTCACAGCTGTCCATTAATGACAGGCTGGTCTTATTGATATTCTGTTTTTTTTTAATTTATTTATTTCATAACGTTGAATTCAAGTCCCTTAGTCAAAATATTACAGATAATAAATGTAGAAAATAATATAAAATGTAATAGTGTAATAGTAAAATCAAATTAATTAAATTTTTCTATAGTGTTATTATTTTATAATGAATTTAAATACACGTATGCATTGACTTACAATTATACGTATGAAATAAACTGAATTTGATAGTAAATCTTTCCGGCTAAGCGCTGAAGTATAAACAACTGATTCTACTATTGGTATATCACTTTTTTGACAGTTCCAAATTCAAATTCAATCATACGGCACGTTTTTACTAATATTGGCCGCATTAAATTTAATTATATGTAATTTTGTAAATTAATGGGATTTATGCCTAAATAAATAAATTTATTATTATTATTATTATTATTATTATTACTCCAAGGCAAAATGCCATATCGATGCCTTAATTTCTCAAACACGTATCTTATAAAGAGATGACAAAGCTTTCTATTTTGTTTTAAATTTGTTATTAAACTGTGAAAGTAATTGAAGTAAAGCAATCTGTGAGTTTAGGTGTAATTTGTTGTTGTCTATGTGTTTGTCCATGTCCATGGCATCCGCGACCCAGGGTTTCTCTAGTGCGGGGCTATGTTGAGTGTGTGCTTTATTATTATATATAATATTATTATCTGCCGGTTTGTATAGTCGTGTCTTTTTTGAAGACGGAGCGAAATGACTGTTCATTGCGCAACAGTGATTGCAGTTGATAAATATTCTATCGACTGTCGACTGAATATTGGTCACGCTTACGGAATAAAAGCCGAACTTTTTTCATTTGAATCATCGTCGACCTGAGTACAAGGTTACTTGAATTGCCGTGAATTGCAGTTTTTATAAGTTCATACATACACACACTGTATTTAGAACTATGTTAACGTAAAATACAAAGAGAAAACATATTTTAAAGTTTCATTTCAATTCAATGTAGATAATTAAATCCGTCTATTCCGTTTGAAATGTATTATGAATAAAGTTTATTTCAATACTAGTAGACTAACTATCAAAATAAGAATAAACAAGGCAACAACGCAATTAGTAATAATTAGAATGGCGTAACATTCACAATGCAGTCATTTTTGGCAAAATTTAATCTTCTTTCACAATCTCTCGATAAACTTATCGACAACAACTACATCACTATTTAAAATTTTATGAAAACTGGCAACCCTACAAATGTCATTTTACTCCATCTTCAAAAAAGACAGACTATACGTCTGATAGTTTCGTACTTTTTAAATCGAGCACAGTAAGGAACTGAGCCATTTTGATAACTTACTTATTTGTTTACCTAATGGGAATTTAGTATCTAAAGAACCTAGAAATACAACTATATGTACAAGGAGGAAGCTTTGCCATTTTATAATTGTTTGTAATAATTAATTATCTGTGAAAAATGTACACTATCAAACTGTTGATACTCAATAGAATTAGTGGGTAATAATAATTATTACCCACTAATTCTATTGAGTTCTGCTCAGTATTGCTAATGCAACACTGAGCGGAAGGATAGAACATCAATATCATGGGGTTGAACTTCCTGAATTGTCATAATCAGTTATGTAGCTGGGCTCTTTAATACTTGTTCTAATGTTGATAAAGATGCTTTAACATCTTCCCGAATTTATTATTTATTTATCAATCAAATGATGTAATAAACACTTATAATACTTATATTTAAGTTACCTCGCAAAGAACTTTTAATTTAATCTTTTAACTTTCTCATTTTGTTCATATGTTAAGTGTACTAAATAATTGTTTGATTTCAGGTTCTCTAAACAGGAATTGGTTGGTTTCAGATGCCTCCCAAAAACCAATGGACGCTGCCCAAAAGCCTATTCAATTACAAAATAAAGGTACATTGAATAGAATGCATAATTCCATTTTGTAACTTTAAAGTTATAATCGATAATCGTAAGTGAGAAACAAGTATTTCTCACTGTGTTACCATAGGTGAGAAAAAAATTGTTTCTCAATAAAAGGTCAACAGTTTGAATACGAGTGGATTCATGTCTTTAATTTCTAAATCACATAACATTTGTGAATGTTTATTAGCAGTTATTTCTAGCTAACGATAAAGTATCGTGACGAACCTTCGTGTCGATAACGGCACACAATTCCTGAAAAATTTATGAAATCTTACCCAATTAAGATATACGTAGCAGACTAAAGCCTAAACTCTCCTAGGAACAGACCCGTGCCCAGCAGCGGGTCGTATAATAGGGTGATGATTGTAATAAACGCGTAAATTATTTAATTTTTTTTATTGAATGATAACACTGTGGTATCTAGTACTACAGCAATGATTTTCCTGTATGTCTGTATGGATACAAGTCGTTCAGTCGAAGTATTAGAGATAATAAACATAGAAAGTAATATAAAAGAGTAATATCATTCATTAGAACAAAATTAATTCTACAGTTTTTACGATGAAATAAACTGGATTCAATAGTAAATCTTAAACGCGATTGGGAATGCTTATCGAGTTTTCTTCTGCAACATTACTAATCTCACTGACAAGTATCAATATTTTAATGGCAAACGTTTAGAGCAATATGTACAATTTGACAAAATTTATGGAAATTTATCAACGCCCAATTTGCTAACGTTGACACTCTTTGACAATGTGGCCATTATACCTTCCACTAACTTAAGTTTAAAAATTGCTGTAATAAATGAATGTTCGTTCATTCATTTCAATGTTCGTTCAAAGAATAAATGAATATTATTAATTTTGATTAAAAGCGTGCTACCGAACATTCAGTTGTATCGCAGCTAATATTCAATAGGTCTATGTTTAAGTGCTTAAAAATTAAATAGTGATAACTATAATAATAATAAGCATTTCTTTCAGATATAACAAATCCAATAGAAAGACAAAAAAAAAACGAATTAAAAATCATTAACAAATTATTAGATACAATAAATACGATTACTTATTAATAACTAAGATCCAATGTCGTAGTATGGACGAGTCGCAACTGCGAGCTATAACAGCTATAATGCTTTTAGTACTGTCTAGCACTCTCTGTCTAAGAGAAGAAACCCTCTTTAAATGCACAGCAGCTAACTGGTTTATACATGCTAACAAAAACATTTCAGATGCACTACAGTATGTTATGATTGAAAAATCGAGAATAACTATTGAAATTAAAAAGAGACGACATTATATTAAATCTAGTTACTTGTATTTTTTTAGATGAAGGACAACCGAATATTGAGAAACCCTGTGAGAAACCAGCAGGTTGGTACAATTTTCTAAGCATGTTATAAAATTTTATTATTACTAAAAACATATCCACACCTTTAGATCTATGTAACAAGATTTCAAAGAGGTTCTGTTTTGATAATATTGGTTTCTAGCTACAAGTACCCCGAAAACTTCGCTTCTGTGGCCGTCATAGTGGTATTTACATGACTGCCTATTTACATGTGATATTTACACAATCCCGCAAATTTACACATTTATAGGTTCTTTGTCATCAATTAGTAGAATTTTGGTTGAAAAAAAAGGGCTCGAAGTTCGAATCTGGGCTCCTCTTCCGAGTTCCTCGGAATTTAATTTTTTCGGTGAAGGAAAACAACTATATGTATACTGCCTCCGTGGCCGAACGGTTACCATGCCGGACTGCCACGCAGAGGTCCCAGGTTCGATTCCCGGGCCGGGAGAAATATTCGCATGGCCTACATTTTGGGTTTAATAATTTTAGAGTTTGGGTGTAAATTGTGGTTGTGTATGTGTGTGTCGATGGCACCCGCGACACAGGGCTTCCCTAGTGCGAGACGTTGTTGAGTGTGTGCGTTATTATTATTATTATATGTTCGTGATGAAACCTGCACGTCGAAGAAGGTTCACAGCACTCGGAAACCGTGTGAAGCCCCAACCCGCATTGGGCCAGTGTGGCGGACCTCGCTTGAGGAGTATAATGAGTTGATAATGGTTGAAATATATTTAATATTTGACGACATCCGTGGTCGAGTGGCTTGCAGACCGGTTTTCATGGTTTCGCCGTCTCTGGGATTCCGGGTTCGATCCCCGGCTAGGTCAATGTAGAAAGTTGTCTTTTTTATATTGTCTCGGGTCTGGGCGTTTGTCGTACCATTTATGTTTCCGATTTCCATAACACAAGTGCTTTAGTTACTTACTTTGGGATCAGAACAACGTATGTGATGTTGTCTAATATTTATTTATTGTTATGCTATTGGTTTCAAATGTTACCTTTTTGTCTTTAAATAAAGCGAAACCCGAAAATTTTATATACACTTCCTTAAATGGTAGGCAAATTTCAATTTCTCGTTATTGTGACCACAAAAACAAAGTTTTTGAAGGATTTTGTGCTAGAACCAATTTTAGAAAATCGATACCTCCAATCAAACACTACGCCTTTATTTTTTGTTCAGTTATTTTTTAAACGGCCATATTTATTTACTAATATTGCGCTGCCTGAATTTTGTGAAAGATATAACCAAAAAACAAAAAGAAAAGTTTTTTGTTTTTGTTGTTCTGTAACAGGTCCAAAACTTAAGTGGCCGTAGTGTTCATTGGAGCTATCGAAATGATATTCATAACCCAGAAGCTAATATCGTCTTACATGGTGTTTATCAGCAAAAGGTATTATTTCATGGAAATTTTTTCTTAGCTATATTTATCATTTTTTGTAGATGCTAAACCTGAAGGCTCTGTCGAAAAAGTCTGCGAGTTGCCGCGCCCCGTGGATGCCTGCGTCACGCCGGAAAAGAGGTAATATTAGACATTTGTAATAACAAATGTACATGTGAATTTTCACACAAAATTAAGAGTGACAGTGTCATTTAGAACTAATGTAATTATGTACAAATAAAGTAAAGAGCATACGCTAGGTGTCCATGTTGTAGCATCTCAATCTCGAAAGCACCGCGCATTGTCGTAGCCTATTTGATTTGATAGAAATAAAAATAAAAATAATTTATTTCAGACAATTTACGTTCAAACTTTTAATTTTGAAATAAAAATTAAATTTTACCAGTTTACAGTTAAAATATATATTTTTTATTAAACGAATAAAGTAATGCTTTACGTAGCCACACCAACTGCCTCGTCTCAAAACCAGGAGGTCTACCTCATTGTCCGTCCAACATTCGTCCGAAGCAATTACTGTCAAATACGTAATATTCGATTCAATTAAAAGGCAATGTCAAGCATGATGCTTCATTCGCATCATGCGTCTTGTAACTTGGTCGAGTATTACTTATTTCAAAGTAATTGTTTTGGACGGACGTTACACGGAGAATTAAAGTGCAGGGCCAGAGTTCGAATATCGTTTATAATTATTAAGATGATTATTTCGATAAATACACCTTGATATGTACAAAATGAATTGGAACAACGAAAGGTACCAATGTCGTGTTATGTGTTTGTATCAGAGACGTTTCCAAACGTCAAAAATCAATCTAAAAAAAATCACAAAGCAAGTAATTTTTCCAAAGATATTTCTTCGTGTTTATTTAGTTCCATCACTGTCATTTTAAGTAAAAAAATAAAGAAACGAAACTATGAATCAGCTTGGATCATTTTTGGATATATATATCGGATATAATTATATAGTTATGGACGTGTCATGCGCAAGGAATGTTATGTGACGAGAAGAGTGTTAGGTATGAATGTGGACGGATATAAGGGCGCGTTCATTTTAGCCGCTGTTAGCCGCGTTGCAGCAGCGCTGCAGCCACACGGCGGCCGCGTGGTGGCCGCGCGACTGTCACTTTTCATACAATTCTAGACGCACTGCAGCAGCGCGACTGTCGCGTGGTTGCAGCGCTTCTAGAAATAATAATATAAGGGGAAAGGAAGGCCAAAGAAAAAATGGATGGATTGTGTGAAAGATGACATGGATAGGAAAGGTGTAAGTATGGAAATGGCGGAAAAAAAACGGCTTATAGGGGAGAGTGGAAGAAAAATACATGTTGTGCCGACCCCACCTAGCATGGGATAAGGATAGGAAGAAGATATATCGGATGAGATAATTATCAAAGAAAAAAGTAGCTTGATCATTTAGAACATAGGTTCCCAAACATTTTAGCTCACCGCCCGCTAAAAATTAAAAAAAAATTCTAGTGTGCTTTATATAAATTATTCAGGTCTTTTTTTCAAATGCGGTAACACCTCCAACAGTACCTGCCAGGAAAAAAAAAAAAAAAAAAAAAAAACAACATCAACTCCCCCATTTGCTTCCGAGGCCCTTACCGCCCTAGGACTAGGAAACTATGATTTAGAACCTATGACTACCCGAATAAAGAAATTAATTACAGGGGCATAGCGCAGGCGACCCAGAACATAGCACATTTAGAAAAGTTACTTTCCCTAATTGTGCAATGTCTTCGTATAACAAAAAATACTGTTTGGGCTACATTTTAATATGTATGCTGTATGTTGCAGCCAAGAGGAGAAAAAGCCATTCAACAGTCCGGACGTTTCGAAACCAGGCGTCATTAAAGTGTCCACACCTGGTTCAGAGGTAAGTCGCTTTGCCTCCACACGTATCAAGACATTACACTTCGGTGTTGTCAGTTGTTGAACAACTAATTGTTTTTCTTAATTGAGGAGTCTTTGAGCCAAAGCCGATAAGTCTGATAAATTTTTGTTCTAATTTTATCTAGTTTCATTGAATGGATTCGTCGCATTATGTTTGAAATATTATATATATTTCAAATATACATATTATATATATTTGAAACGTATTTTGAACCAGCATTTAGTGGATGTTATTCAGGTTGGATAAATTATTCATAGAAACGTACAAAACTTCTTACTTTTTTAAACTATTTTTCATAAATAACATTCTCGAATCGTTTCCCCAGTAATTTCATAAGTTCTTTGTTCTTTTTGTTGCTTATTATTATATCATTACATTAAATGCTGTGTACGTCTAATAGGTAGACATATAAGTACAATCCTAACGTAAAGTTACACTGTTATTTAAGAGTACTACTGTTGATGTACCTTATCTATAAAATTAAAAAATAAATGGCTTTAAAAAGTGTTGAGGCAATCACTTTCGAAAAATATATCGACTGGCTTTAAAAAGTGTTGAGGCAATCACTTTCGAAAAATATATCGACTCATCCGAAGAACAGAGTCCGATGTGATTATATAGCGAAAAGAGAATAAGTACGTTACAGAATAATTTCATTATTTAAACTAAGGCCTACGTAAAGGTGTTTTGAGAATTTATATATCTTGTTTCGTTTCGGAAATTATAAAATTGAACAATAGTCGATCTGACATTCACAGCGAAGAAGAACGAACGAAATGTACTATGTCCTGAGAATAAGTAGCCTTGCACATAGACCTTTGTTCTACGGATGTGTCGATATAGTGAAGATATACACTGACTGTTATGTGGTGTGAAAACGCAATTCCTAAAAATATTTTATAGAAAAAAAAAACACAAACTTACCTCGAAATTTTACAAGAAAACTTTGGTGTAACGGGCTGGTATCCCCAACTCGACGCCAAGGCGCTTATTTTGCTTGTGGGAAACCCACAACAGCTGTATTCAGAAGGTACTTTACATAAACGAATATTTTTTTTAGTATCCATTGCAACTAAATAGAAGACGTGTACTGTACGACATACTTTTTTCAAATGGCTTTAATATTGTTTGTAAAAAAGAAATTCTGTTATAAAACCGTGCCGTTCCACCCAAGCAAAATGAACCGTGTTAGTACGGGAACAATTTTAATTCGAAGATCAAAATGTGACTTATCGGATTTTGTACTGACTCTCCTCGATTATATTAGATCATTTCGATTACGTGATCGCTTCTATAAGCTGTGTTTTATCTATTCCTATGCCAAATACTTGGCAGTCGACTGGGTTTCTTTCATAACTTGTAATTTATACTTGCAGCCGAAGAAACGTGGCCGACCAAAAGGTTCAACGAACAAGCCGAAGCCCCCCGGCATGACCCCCACAAAACTGTCTCCCAACATGCCTGGCGCCGTGGCACAAATGCGTGGTGCGGCCCCGCGGCCCGCGCCAGTCGTCGCGAGGCCTCGGGCCACGGGCTACCAGTATGCCATACGGCCCTTTAGGAAGGACTTCTCAGGGATACAGTTTAGAAGGTGAGACTAGTATTATTAAGTATTAATTTTAGTAGCAGCAGAACTCCTTGTGAAACAGTTCGTCCAGGGAAGTACTGCCACCTTACCTATTTCTGCCGTCAAGCAGTAATGGGAGCATTACTGTATTTCGATTTTGAGAGGCACATGGTACATTTCAACTTGGCGCAATGGTAGTGCCCCTCAGATCTTTGCGATTTAAAGCTCTGAGTGGCACTGCAATTGCTATGGACAGGCGTGTCGCTTACCACCAGTTATCTTAAAAAAAGTATTCAAATAGAATTAGATAATCATTTATTCCGTAAAACACACATTTTTCAAATACAGTATAACTAAAACGAGACTTACAGTAATTAAGGCCTCATTATAACTCAAGTGAAATAAATAATACGAATTTCAAATACATAATTACCGTAACAGTCAGCCAAACAGTTGCATTTTCAATTGATTATTGCCTCCATTTCTTTTGTTAAAGTTTTATTGCAAGAAACGAACTTATCTTCGTTGTTTTATAGAAAGAGCACAAGCGCCATTTCGAAAAAAAAATTCGGGGGAGCCTGTTTTAGGTTTTATAATACATTGTGTATCAATGGCGGTAAATAAGTAATTACCAACGAGGGGCCATAAGAAGTCCGAAGCCGAAGGCTGAGGGCTTTAATAACTTGAGTTTGGTATTTTATTCACCGTCCGTGATACATACAATGACATTTTCATGACATTTGTAAATATGGTTCACAACACAACAATGGTTCTTGAAAATGGCGGATTTTTTGTTTTAGTTTTTATCAACAGATGGCCAATTAGCACAACGCGAACTAAAATGTTGTAAACAGCGAAGACGCATACAGTCGAGATGGATTGTAAAAAAATTTGCTAAATTTTTAACAGAAAATAATTAAAATCAATTAAAAGAAATGCTTAATAAAAAGTATTTATGGAGTATGTGGCTGAAATGCAATAAAATTTCTGTTCAGATAACATTTTAAGCGAATATTTTAATTTTGAACTTAAGTAACTTCCTTGCTTGAACTTGAACCTGACCTATTTGAGGAAATGTGTCGTGCTACAAATTTTAAAAAACTCGTTACCTACCATGGTTTTAATAGAAAGAAAAAAGCCCGAGGGTTTTATATGCAAGTCAAGGTTTTATATGTTTACGTGCAAGTGTGATGAAAAATATTTTTCACTTTTCAAAAGTTCGTATTTATGCTAGGTGTAGGCTGCATAAAATAGGATTTTATGCTGGAATGCATGAAATAGGATTTTATGCTCTAGTGCATAAAATAAAAAAAAACATCACATTAAATATGTCTAATTGTTGTAATTTTACATTCAATTTCAATTAAATAATCGTTTATTTGTAATATTGTTGTTTAATTTCCTCGCAATCGAAGTGAAAAGCAGAGTGTATAACTCGTTCATAAAACCCATTTTACCCTCGACTTAAGTAAACTCGTCTCGGGTAAAATGTCGCGTTTTGTGCACTTGTTGTACAATCTACTATACGTCGGACGCGCAGGCGATGGAGCGACGACTGCCTGGAGTCGTCACACATCCCCAACGAGGTGTACTTCGGCGACGTGCCCGTGGCCACCGAGGTGCTGTTCAACTACTACGACGCCAACGCCGAGCGCGAGCGGCTGGCGGCGCAGGCGGCGCAGATCGCGGCGCAGAAGGCCGCCGCCGCCAAGCTGGCCGCCGCCAAGCTGCAGGCCCGGGGCATCCTCACCAGCGAGGTGAGCCGGCGCTATACCACATTTATTCCTACCGACAATTACGAGTCATTCGCTTACATCAGAGCGCACTTACCTCAGAACCTCCCTGGCAGAGGCTACAGTGTCGCGGTTGTGACAGACCATTATTAAGATTATGAGGAAAGAGAACGAAAGGAGAGAGGATTAACTATTTTTTTTTTGATAATAGGTGACGACGGTGGACTCTTCATCGTCGGACGAAAGCGACTCTGAAGGCAGCGATTCGGACGACACTGACGAGGTATGTTAAATATTATTAACAGGAATGGATTACAGCGCCTCCTATATGTCATATAATATAACTAAATGTCTGAATTGATACAAAGATCGACGAAATAAAAAGAAAAGATCCTTCGATCTGGCTGGACTCGAACCAGTGTCTGTTGCCTCAACGTGGCTACTATATCATGGTAGTAACAAAACATCATGATATTCAATTAAAATAAATATAACGTTCTGTATGTCGTCGTCTTAGAGTGAATATCTCGTAATTCTCGTAATAGACATCAGTCTATGTAATTTTTCAGGGCGAAGATAAAAATGTGGTGCAAAATGTAGTAAACGCCATAATGCTTGTAGTTAGCATTTTAATTAGTTAAATTATACCTTTTTTTTTTCTTTCTTTCATTAGATATATTACTATATTACTTTAATAATATATTTGAGCAAGAAGTTTATAAGTTTTTATTCAATGAAAATCAGTAAGAACGAATTATGTGAATTTGCGTATGTGAGAGTTCCTCTCTAAGGTGACGACATGTCAAATTAATTATCATTGACTATATAATACCGCATGGAAAATAGCAAGCCAATCCTGTCGGGCTTTTGTACGTGCAGTCGTTTTGTCCTGCGGGTTTTATAAAATGTGGACCAAAAGAGAGAATCGTTCTGATGCTGCAGGACGCGCCCCTGAAGAAGGGCCCCGGGCGGCCGAAGGTGCCCAAGTCCCCCTCTCTGGCGGCCACCCCGGGCAAGCGCGGCCGGCCGCCCGTGCCGCCCGAGCTGCGCGAGCCGGGCATCACCGACATGAAGAAGTTCTGCAAGGCCGCGGGCATCCGCTTCGACTACAAGAAGCTGGTGGAAGGTGAGTTCCACGCGTTATGCCATCCCAGTGAACTATAATAATAGTATTATCAATGGACACTCTCGGGGACATACTTCGAGGAACAGTAAAAAAGGTAAAATTATATAATAATAATATTTATATGAGCACACATTTTTTTTATTTGCCAAACAATGTGATTGTTGAGTCAACTGGTCTCAACATTGGGACTGACCAGAACCAATTCAGAAAAGTTCATTTCTTAGATTGGTCGTACCGGGAATCGAATCCGGGACCTCTTCATTCAGCGCACACAGTGCAGACTCTTTTTAGAGATCCCCTGTTCAGCACTGGGACGTAACGAGTTGATGATTCCGATTGCATGCTCTCATAAGACTTACAAATGCAAACATCATGGCCCACCAAAGTATCATAAGCATATTCATATAATTTTAAAATGAAATAGACCTTTAACACATATTAAATGTGATTGTGTGGTATGAGTGGGTATGATCCCTTAAAGCCTGCAAAAACATAAATATTTTCAGGGAAATCACGTTTTACCCGTTAATTCGCTTTGTAAAGGGAACTCTATTTGACAGGTAAAAACTATTTGCTTACAGGTTGCACGAAGAACAAAGAGCGCGTAGGCAAAATGATGGAACTTTTAGTCCAAGCGGGGCTCGAGGGAAAACCCACGCTGGAGAAATGCAAGGCGCTGAAACAGGCCAAGCTAGACAAGAAGGAACAGGCCAAACAGGCGAAGAAGGAAGCTAAGGTCAAGAAGGAGGAAGAAGGTAATTATTATTATATTAAATGTAATATTATGAAATTAAATGTAACTACATGCAATAGCATGAAATTTACTAAAATTCTATGATTAAATGAAATCGTCAGATTTCATTTAATCATAGAATTTTAGTAAATTTCATGCTGCAAATTTTAAATATTGTACTAAATCTAGGACATCCAGGAGCATCTCTGTGTATATTAGGTTACATTTTTTAGCGATCGGCCGTCCTCCGTCCGATTGGTCTAGTTCGTACATCGATTAAAGGCTCATGTCATACGTAGATCGGTGCAGAAGACATTGTAACGTAAGACGGTGTGAACGACCGGAGGACAGGCCCCTAATAGAGCCCGTGTTGCAGAGACGGAGACGAGCGTGTCGCGGCGCATGACGCGCGGCGCGACGGGCGTGAAGCCGCGCCAGCGCATCGTCATCTCGTCGGACGAGGAGGACGACACGCCCGCTACCCGCCGCACGCTCTCCAAGCTGCGTTCCAGCGTCAACGACGACTCCGACTCCGACTAGGTGCGACACACATTTTTTAACTTCTAAGAAGTATTGCCACCAAACCTATTTCTACCGCCAAGCTGTAATGTGAGCATTAATGTATTCCGGTTTTCAAGGTCACGGGTGCTGGTGAAGCTACAGGCACATAGGACTTCGCAATTTTACGTTTCAGGATGACGGAGGCAATGCCCTCACATTTTTGCGATGTGAAACCCTGTGCTGGTATTGCACTTGGGATATGCGGGGCATGATCTCTTATTATCAGCAAAACCAATTTTAGAAACATATTTATCTAAATTTATTTCGGCCTAAGTCATGCCCTCGGTTACTTTCATTAATTCTATATATAAAGGTGCTCATGTGAATTAACCACTTAAAAGCTATTGACAAGTTCAGAGTCAAATGTCAAATTTTATACACTTCCGAAAACTGTTGCCGACTTTCAGAAATTGAAACACTGGATTGACTGTGATCTTACCGTACAAGACTGGTTAAAAAGAATTAACTACAATGACACTGAAAATTTTATATCAGTTTTTAAGTAATATAAATATATTTATATTTATTAAGACGCCAGCTATTATAATTAAGATTTATGTATTATTGTAATTTATTGTTATTGAACAAAATATGTTGACTAACCGTTATGCTATAATCACCAATTTAGATACCTAAGACACAAGTAAACAATTTTACTTAGTTTAGGTATCACCTAGATTAATTGGCACTACTAACCTTAATTAAAGTAATGTAAACATAAAATAATTTCATTGTTTGCGATAATTTGGCGCATATATGTAAATAATAGGTTATTTATTAAGATTTATGTATGTATTTAGGTTAATATTTTTTATACAGAAATAAATTTATCTTTATCTTTATCTTCACTTTCAAGACCGTCATCATCTGCAGCTCGACTTCACCATCTGCTAGGTGTAGGCCTCCCATAATTTGTGCCATCCACTATGATATTGCGCTAGTCTCCCCTTCTATATCTGGCGACTAAGATAATATCGTTTACCCATGTCATTTCAGAATGTGCCACATTTTTATAACCATTTTTTTGACACATTACATTATTAATAAATGTTATTTTTCTTTAGGTGATCGCAAACTCGGCCTAGTGCGAGCAAAAGACAATACAATAAGTGTACACGACGCAAGACACTTGAGGACAGATGATTGATCCTCGGGCGGTATCGAAGTGCTACAGTATGTACGGCTGTTATGTTGGTGAAGCTATTATTTGCTTTCCTACTTTTAAGTTCTGCCGCTGCAGTACAGAAAGTCACTGTTCAATTGTAAATGTTATTGAGTACATCACTAAGAAGAATATTATAAGTTTATTTTTAATTTAGCGCCACACCTGCCGAAATTCAACCGTGTACTATTTATTTCCTGATGAGATCTGAGATCGTGCTCCGATTGGGCGCACTGACATTTTTAATTGATATGAAATTTTCGGTACCCTACATGAAATAGTATAATTTCCCTTCTACGTTTTTGTAACTCGAAACTGTTAGTGATTTTCTGTACAAAGAGCGTAAAACTGTTTCCCATTTCTAAACCTAAATTACTTTGACAGGTATAAAATTACAGGCTTTTCTTTAAAAACTTGCAATGAGTGACAAGGACAGTGGTAATTTTACACCTCTCAAAGAAATTTATAACTGTGAACACACCAAACGAATGTTCCACTTTGGTTTGAACTAATATACTCTGTGTTTTGAAACAAACAATGCAAAAGAGTGAAATTTATTTATAAGTTCGATGATAGACTAGAAGCTCATGGTGAATTTTACAACATGGACCTATACAACTTTAGTGTGGCACGTCATGGTCACTTTAATTTGATATGTCATGATCCTGTTTTTATTTGATATCTTTTTGCACTCTTGTGTCGAAACATTTCCAAATGTGTTTTCAAAAGAAATGTGGACCAATAAGATCGATACATTTTTAGGGAATATGCCACAGTTCTGTTTTCATTGAAAATTTTTTACCCAACGTGGGTCAATGTGTTTTCTATGAGAATCTAGTCTATATCAATACACAATCGTGTATTTGACGTTATATGAATGATTTTTTTACAATTATGCTTTTTACGAACACGATGTTAGAGATCGCGCCTGAATATGTTGTAGGGGTTAGAGTGATGAAATATTAGCTTTTGTACTGTGACAGGTTTCATGAGAGTAATTTCCAATGTGCGATTTATTTTATTCTAATAGTCATAAATCAAAACAAAAATTTTATTTCAGACAATGCCCATGTCGTGTTAGTTACAGAAAACTTATAGCCTATCTTAGTAAAAAGGTTGCCAGAAGAAAAAAAATACAATAAATTATACACCAATCCACTGGAACCCATAAGGTTGGAAATTGATTAAATGCGAATACTAGTTACCTTTGAAGAAATAAACTGTGTACGGTAGGCCACAAATAGTTGCACGTTTGTAGAAAACTTTACTTACGTCAATTACGTAGTTTTTAATTTAACAGTTTCAAAACAGGACATTTGATATCGGTTGATGTGTGGCTGAGTGAATTATATAATAAATTAAATAATTATATATTGAACGTGTTGCCTCAAAATATTTAGGGCATGAAAGGCAAATTTATCTATTCATGAATTCTATATAACTACATTGATATTCTTTGCATTACTGGGTTACGTGAAAACCAGTACATGTTTAGTTTCGACAGAAAAACTCGTATTATTCATGGCGACTGTAATATTTATTCGAAATAATTAAAAGTTTTAAGAACGTATAGACATTATGAGCCTTTACATTTATGAAAATGTAATTTATGTTAAGAACAATAGTAGTTTTTTTATGAAAAGTATAGATATATGTAATATTATGGAACAATAAAAAAGTGGCTGTCTTGATAGTCGCCTTCACAGAAGCACAAATTCACTTAATGTTCTTGTGAGATAAGATTGCTGTTGATATTCAAAATTTGCTAATTACAAGGTTTAAAACTATAATGAAACAAAAACTTTATACACTGCGTACGACAAAAAATCCACGGGTATGTTCTGCTGTTCCTTTCAGATTGCCTCTATGATATTTAAATGCATTTTTAAATGATAAATATGAACAACTGTCTTTTTTTTAAAATATAATAGACAAACGCTTGGCCACAAATTAACAAAGAGCAACGTTTTGAGATTTTTACTCATTCTTCTAAGGGTAGGCTGCCTACAAATGAGCAATGGTGCTTAATTTGACGATTTCGAGTGTAATTTAATTACCTGTAAAATAATAAAAATATATTATGGAATTTGACATTTATTTCAACGCTCTTTGTGAATATGTGAATAGTCTCGTGAAATCTGGGCACAGTATATAACAGCTACATTCGAAGACTGTGAAGGAAGGAGAGGTTGTAGTCAAATGACATCTTCCTTTTTGTGCCGTGTTCATTGCTTGCCTTTAATCAAGGCAGGTTGTTATATGCAATACTTACCTTAAGTGGTAGCTTAGTAAAATAATGCGCTCGCCAACTTAGTTTTTGTTAGACATACATAACACTATCTCTGAAGTGATAGAACGCGCAAATGTCTAAAATTTTCTATTAATTAGTCCTAGTCAAAAAATTCAGGTTTTTCCCAATTAATGTGGTTAGAAGTAAATGAAATGTTAATTTAAATAAAAAATTGATAATTCATTTAAAATATAGCCAGAAATTAGTATTTTAAAGTTTCATTTAATCCTAGAATTGGCAGCTTTCAGGTTCCTTTTACGTCTTATTTTGACAGCTGCTTATTAAACAATATTTCTTATCTGTGTGACGTTTATTAAGAAAAAATGTGGTATTGAATAGATTGTATATTGTAGGAAAAACCCCTCGCCTACTTTATAAGTAGTGGTAGTGAAGGCTTATAATAATAAGGCACTCAATATTGTTCATTTGTGCCTATAATACAATTATGTGAAAACTAAATGTAACTATCAGTGTGTGAATCGTACATATATCAACATAATTCTTTTTCATTTATTTACATTTAATAGCAGAATATAGGATGTTGTATTTTGGGTGGAGTCAAATTTTTATACTCTAGTTTTTAAACAAATTAAAAATATTATTAGAAATTATCAATAAATTGGTAACACCAAGTTAGTTTACTTCTAGATTGTGTATATATTTTAGAAATACATGTGTGTCCTATTCTTATTTTTGTACAGATAAAGTCGAGTTAAAATACAAAGTTTCGGTATCGCCATCGGCTTTGTAAATATGCGAGCGAGTGGTTTAAAACAAATATAATAATTGAAATTGAAAATATCGGGTTAGTTTGAAATTCGAATTTAATATATTTTTCTCCTATAAAATTCATTTTTATATTATTTGTAAAATTAGAATCTCAAAATGAAGAACGCATTTCTAAATATGGCAACATTCCCATTTTTTATACATTTATTACAGATCCATCAACTTGTATGTAACATGGTGATAAAAAGACTTATAACTACAATTATGTTGGAAAACGTCTAATGACCGCATAGAAAATATCATATATAAGTTAAAATATAATAAATAGAAAGTATGTGTTGCAATACCACAACACAAAAATTCACAAAAGGAAATAATAAATAAAAATAAAAGCAAACGAAAAAAAAGAACATATTTATACAATATTATATTATACTCTTATTGTGCGCGTGTGGCGTACGAAAAAGGATCTCATTCAGCGAAAACCGCAGCCGATAATAGGCTGTGTCATTGATTTTCATCGTACCCTAAATCGGTTCTTTTTATGAATAAAAGAAAAGTAATAAGTAATATTTATGTCGGTTACAATTTGTTTCTTCATGTTTTCTTATAAAAGCAATGGACTGTAAAGATGCTAATAAAAATTTACTTTTTAGGGAAGATATTAATTTCATTAAAAATAGAATTCATGTTCACAAGTGGTATTTTAGAGCCACGTGCAGTACAGCTACTTAATCACTCACTTTAACCGTGAAATATCGTGAGAGGTGTATGCCACCAAATAGGAACTACAATAAATTTAAATAAATAATAATGTGCTAGACGACTACACCAAAATATCCTGTCTGATACCAGGAAATTCTCTGAGTGTCAGAGCATCGCACTAGGGAAACCTTGTGTCGCGGACACCATGGACACACATAGATAACTACAAATTACATCCAAACTCACTAGAGAAATAAATGTAGGCCATACACATTGACTTACAAATAAATGGACGACGGGTCAAATACAAAAACCACGAAAAAAATGTCCCAAGTCAACCTATTTAAACGTAGTGACGTGTAAAGGAATATGAAAAAGCTAAAACGTTGAATTTAAATTGTAATGTCATCGCAGTACTGTCTAATTTTGCTGTCAGAAGCTTCGCTGTCAGAAGAAACAAACGAAGACTAAAGCGTGAATGACGCTCTGTATACGATTTTAACGCCCTATAAGTTCGGACACTTTTTAGCGCGGACCCGACGTCCATATAATTGTAAGTCAATGGGCATACAGATAGTTTAAGAATTCGTCCAGAGGGGTACTGTCACCTTACCTATTTCCGCCACGAAGCAGTACTGTGAGCATTACAGCGTTCCGATTTTGAAGGGTAAAGGGCTGGTGCAATTACAGGCACATGGGACTTGTCAACTTATGTCTCAGGGTGACTGACGGGCGCTGTGGGATTGCCCCTCAGATTTTTGCGATTTAATGCTCTGAGTGGCACTGGAACTGTTAAGGACAGGCGTGTTGCTTAACATCAGGCGCACGACTTATTCGCCCCGTCATTTGATGTTATATAAAAAAATCTTCCGGCCCGGGAAGTGTGGCAGTCCAACAAGGTAACCGTTCGGCCACGGTGTCAGTTTAAGATAGGCAATTGCCTAGTCTCAAATTAGGAAATTCCCTACACACGGAACACCCACCAATTTAGAAAAGATTATTTCCTAAATTGGTCCTACCGGGAATCGAACTCGGGACAGCGCCCACAATGCAAACCGTTGGGCCTCCCGAGGTCGTCAAACTCATCTAGTTACCTGCGTCAGCTTATGCATATTATGTGAACTGCTGGTAAAATACAATGATAATCTTGCAAAGTTGTATTGTACTGCTCAATCATGAAATTGATTCTGAAATGGGTTCCAAACAGGCCGGCCTACCCTAACCAAGGCTTTTGATTCTGCAAATCCCTATAGCCACTCATTAATTAATTTCACCTTTTTAACGTGAAATTGTAAATTTCTTTTTATAATCATATCACGGATAAGTTGATGGTACTGTACTTACCTTTACCTATCTTTGAGTATCCCTTAGATGTATGTTTGTGAATAGCGATTTAAAAAACTACCAACATCACTAAGTGTAGTAGATTTAATTTTGAAATTCAGGAATGTGTAAGAAAAACTAGGGGGTCTATGTTCAGCCGAGGATGTAATTCGGCTATTGATGAATAGGAAGTGACTCTATACTGCCCTCTATGTTATACGTAACGCTTGCGTTTCGGTAACTTTCGAGATATTAGCACCTAAAGTTTTGTTGTCCAATGTCGATTACGCGGATTTTGCTTAAGGCCGCGTTCCCATTATGTCGTAAAGTTTTTAACCGACTTCAAAAAAAGGAGGAGGTTCTCAATTCGACTGTATGTTTTTTTTGTGCGCCGATTTTCATGATTCTTTTTTTGTTGGAAAGAGGGTACCTCCATAGTGGTCCCATTTAATTTTGAAGAAAGTCATCCACCTACCTCTAAGAGTGGCTGTTCACGCATGAAGATTAATTTTTATAAATAGCGCCTAAATCTTATTATAAAGAGCAATTATTTTAATGGTTGATTTTGCTATTCTCT